AATATATAATTCTACTGATTTTTATCAATCTGCATCAAGCATCCGGAGCCAACTTTGTCTCTGTGTATAGTCTTTGCATATCCACTGCAACAACTCATATATTTGTCAATTAAAGTTTCAACATATCACTGTATTAAACAGAAGAGTAGTCTGTTATACCTGTAAAAAAATTTCAAAGTTGTGATATCACGATTTTTAGTTATTTAAGATTGTTAATAACAATACAGCAAACTCTATATAATTGAACCCTGGCTTAACTTTGTTCTGACCACTTAAATCACTCGGCTGTCAATATGTTTCCCATGCAAAATATTAATAGGGATTTTGCATTACTTGTCACTCTGCTTAAAACATAATTAGTTACATTCTAGAAATTCTTGTAAGTACTAATGTAAAATTAACCAGATAACTTGTCGTTAAGATGGTGTCTTGCATCGCAAAGGCCTCCCATTCTATCCTGTGACTGGTGCTTGGCAGAGGTTGGGCGCACATGCTCACAATCATTCCAGATGCCTCTAGTCTATTGGAGAGCTACATTGTGGCCTCTCTCCTTGGCAATCTTTAACGTCCACCTGAATAGGCAGATTGGTTTAACATCTCATTCAAAGGGCAGTGCCTCCAACATTGCAGCACATCCCCTGCACTGCATTGGAATGTCAGCTTAGACTATACAACAACAACTTGCACTTAAAAAGCGCCCTCCGTGCAGGGTAGCGTCTCAGAGTGGTTAACAATGGCGGAGTCTGGCTCCGAGCTGAGTTGGGGAGGTGACCGTAAGCATGGTCGAAAAGGAAGGTTTTCAGGTGGAATTTGAAAAAGGGAAGAGGGGGCAAGGCGGGGTGTTCCAGAGTTTATACGAGTTCCAAATATGCAGCTTGAACCCAAAACTTTAGGCCTCCGAGATGAACGTGCTACCAACTGAGCCAGGCTGACACACAAATCAATTTTTACAATTCAGAATTAATTAGTACCGAGTGATAGAAGTCTCTGAATACCTGTCAGTATTATAAATATTAATAATTTAATGTCCTTAAAATTAGGAAGTGGCTGAATTATCAGTATCCTTATTTTGTTAGTTTATTAAAGTGTTGACTCTATGTAGGTAAGAATTATAAAAGTAGAACAGCCAAATTGTTATTCATTAAAGAGTTTTTGGATCTTTAGATAATATCATAGATTCAAACTAATCAAGGTTACAGATATTCCAATTCATTTATCTTACCTTTTAGTAATTTTATGACTTATAAGAAACAGGATGATGATATGCCAACAGTATCACTAAATAGTGCATCATTACTTTTTATTTCCAAATCCTGTGAATGGTTATATTGGCATTCACAGGGAACCTGAAGGTAAACACTGCCAAACCAATAACAGATTCATGTGGATTTTTGTTTAAATAATGTTATTTTATCTTTCTATTTCTCTCCTCATTTCCCGCAAGCTCTGACTCATGCTGATGTACTGAACATTTTTGTAGGATAAAGTAAACGTCAAAGAATTTGAGTCTGTCAGTTTGCATAACACTATTGATTTTCTAATATGTTATTTCCAATATACCCAATCAAAATAATAATAATCCTTGCATTTGATATAGCGTTTTTCACGTTTTCTAGACATCTCAAGCGCTTCAAAGTGAATTGACTGTATATCTGTAGGTGAAATGCGGTGGCCAATTGCGCACAGCAGTGTCCCCCAAACAGTTGTGGATTGATTGACCAAATTATTATTGGTGTTTTTTTGAGGGATTATTATACCCGGAAAATAAGAGTAGAGCTTGTGGCAATGATAATACTATAGATGTAATGCACTAGCAAAGTGAACCACATTTCGTTGTGAAAGTTCTAAATTTATTACAATTAGGATCAACATGATTCAGAATAAGTAATGCAGACATGTTTTAGGTTTTAGGTTTAGTCGGGGAGCGGCGGCAGGACAGCGCGGGGAGGAGCCTGGGCCTACTGACCCAGGTACTTAAACTCGACGCCGGAGCGAGTTCAGCTAGGGCGGGGAGGGGGAGGTGTGGGGGCGGAGCGGGGGAACTGCTGACGTCATAGATTAGTTTTCAGGTGCGTGCGCGCGCAACAAAAAAAAAAAAAAAAAAACCTCTGCGCCCCCCCCCCCCCCCCCAGGGCTCACATCAGAGCCCACTATGGTCCTGTTGGGTTCGCTGCCCCAATCTACGGGATAATGCCATCCACCTGACCGCTCGCTCCCGGTCCCCGCGTGCGCACTATGGCTGCCGCTTTGACCCGAGCCCCCTCACCCCCTCCCTCCCCCCTCCTCTCTCCCCCCAAACCCTCCCCCCTCTGCATCTCTCCCGCTCTCTCCTCCTCTCTCTCCGTCCCTCTCGTCTTCTATCCCCACTTGACCCTCCCACAACCTCCCTCTGTTCCAGCCTGGGAATCCTCCGCCGGGCTCACCGTGGCACTCGGCGTTGGCTGTCCAGCAGCAGCCACACCGACTGCCCCATTCCCCACCACACTCGCCAGCCACCCCGGACACAGACCCGGGGAGTCAACCTCTCCTCCCTCATCCCCATTCCCCCNACCCCTGCCTCACAACCTGGACCCCCCTCCCCTCCCACACACCCTTCTGTCAACCGCTCCCTCCACATCGGACTGCAAAATGTCCGCTCCCTCTGCAACAAGGCCCTGGTCATCAACGATCTCATCCTTGATGAGAACGTTGATATCATGGCCTTAACAGAAACCTGGCTCACCCCAGGCGACACCTTCCCCCTCACGGAGGCCACGCCACCCGGCTACACCTCCCACCACATCCCCCGCCCCAACCGCCGTGGCGGTGGTGTTGCCCTTATCTCAAGGACACCACTTGCCCTATCCCCCTACTCCACTGGCTCTTTCCCCTCCTTTGAGCACCTCACCCTCTCCCACCCCTCATTCCTCTCCCTTAAAATCCTCCTCCTCTACCGGCCCCCTAAAACCTCTCCCACCTTCATCTCTGACATTTCAACACTCCTCACATCTCTTTGCCTCTGCTCTGATCGCCTCATCATCCTGGGCGACTTTAACCTACACTTCACACCCTCCTGCTCCATCTCCACAGACTTCTCTTCCCTGCTCTCCTCACTCAACCTCTCCTTACACATAAACTCCCCCACTCACAGTCACGGCCACCCACTCGATTTGGTGATCACCCGGGGCCTCAGTGTCTCGGGTGTCACTATTACCGACAAGGCCATCTCTGACCACTACTTCATCTCCGCTGAACGCACCTGTGACAAATCTGGCCTAACGGTCCACCGACAAATCTGGCTGGACCTCCTCAAAATCTACCGCTCCACTCTAGCCTCGGTCAAATCGTCCTTCTACTCCCTGGAGGCGAAGAACAACCCCAGGCTACTGTTTTCCACTACAACCCGAGTCCTCCGTCCCCCCCGCCACCCCGCGCAGGTCATCTCCTCCAACCTTCACTGCGAGGAGATGCTGGATTTCCTTGAATCCAAGATCAAGGGAATCCGCTCCGCGGTCACTTCCCCTCCAACTTCCACCAACCACCCACCCCTTCCCTCCCACACTCCGACTCCTACCCATCCTCCCCTACACACCTTCGTACCCGTTTCCCCACCCTCTGTCACTGAACTCATCCTATCCCTAAAACCAACCACCTGCTCCCTTGACCCCATCCCCACTCCACTCCTTATCTCCCAGCTCCACTTTCTTGCCCCACATATCACTGACATCATCAACCTGTCCCTCTCCTCTGGCTCTGTCCCCATTCCATTAAAAACTGCCATCATCACGCCCACCCTGAAAAAACCCTCCCTTGATGCGTCGCAGCTATCAAGCTACCGGCCCTTCTCCTCCACCCCCCGTACTGTCTCATGTGGTGTCCCTCAGGTCTCTGTCCTCGGTCCCCTCCTCTTCACCCTCTATATGCTCCCCCTCGGTGACATCATCCGCAGACATGGAGTTAACTTCCACATGTATGCGGATGACACCCAACTCTACCTTTCCTCCTCTACTCTCAACTCCACGACCACCGATGTCCTGACGGCCTGCCTGTCCGACATCGAGTCCTGGACGAGAGACAACTTTCTTCAGCTCAACGTGCGTAAAACCGAGGCACTCCTGATTGGCTCACGTCAGCGCCTCCGCACCTCAGGCGCTGACACCATCAGCATCCAAGGCTGCACTCTCCACCTCTCAAAGCCAGTCAGGAACCTCGGCGTTTTGTTCGACCCTGAGCTGTCCTTTCTCCCTCACATCCGCACCACAACTGGCACCGCCTTCCATCACCTCCGGAACATCGCCAGACTACGGCACTACCTCACCCCTCACGCTGCTGAAACCCTGGTCCACGCCTTTGTCACCTCAAGGGAACTCTCTCCTCGCCGGCCTTCCCGCCACCTCCCTCCACAAGCTGCAGGTCATTCAGAACTCTGCAGCTCGTGTACTGTCCCGCACCAGGCTTCGGGACCACATCACTCCCACCCTCGCTCGCCTCCACTGGCTCCCCATCCCCCAGAGGATCGAATTCAAGATCCTCATCCTCACCTACAAGGCCATTCACGGCCTTGCTCCCTCCTACCTCTCCAACCTACTGTCCCCCTACCTACCTGCCCGTACCCTCCGTTCCTCTGGCTCCGGTCTGCTCCACGTCCCCCGCCCCAATCGCCCTACCATCGGTGGTCGGGCCTTCAGCCTCTCAGCCCCCAGGCTCTGGAACTCCATCCCCCAGTGCCTTCGCCGCCTCCTCCCTCTCCTCCTTCAAGGCCGGTCTCAAAACCTTTCTCTTTGACCATGCCTTCAGCTCCCCTCTCGACTCTCTTCCCCCTCCTCGCTCCCTCCCTTCCCTCCCCTCACCCTGACCATTTCCCCCCTCCTCGCTCCCTCCCTTCCCTCCCCTCACCCTGACCATTTCCCCCCTGCTCGGGTCATGACCCAACTGTGCAGCGCCTTGGGACGTCCTCCTGACGTGAAAGGCGCTTTATAAATGGAATCTTGTTGTTGTTGTTGTTTTATGACACACAATCATTTTAAGGCTTTTCATTGACTTTTTATAGAGTTGAGCAACATTTAACTGGAATCAAATACTACTGCATTTGTCTGGACTCTGAAGCAATATCTTACTTTCAACATTTGACTGTACAATTATTTTTATCCTGTGGTTTGAGTGGGGGCTGGGGAGAGAAAAACCTGGGTGGGATATATCCATTGGACCAGTCTAACACAAAAAATTACATAGACATTGAACTGGGAGTACATTGTACACCTAATCTCTCAGTCTTCAGGGGGGACTAGTCGGCGAGGCAAAGATAAGGACAGGTATGCTTTAAATACTGCAATCCATCTCATTATGTGATTTTAATCTTTGTTGCCAAATGTTCCTGTGGCCCAAGCAAAATACAAACAAAGTGACTGATAGGTACACAAACAAACAGGCAACATAACAAGAATAACAAATAAGTAATTTTCAACCACTATAAATGTGGCTGGTGGATTTAGAACTACCACACTATAGAGTACAGTATTTACTTAGTGGGACTGAAAAGCGTCTTTGGTTCAGTCTAAATCTTCTTGTGTCCTTCCAACACTGTGATATTGTCAATGCTGGGAATCTTCCAGAATGTATCAGCTCCTTTTGACCTGGGTACCATAGACCATACACTGGGTTCTATTCAGACTGAGGCTTCAAATGCCAAAAGAGAGAGAGGGAAAAAGAGAGTGATAGCAATTTCATCATTCTAAATGTGTGTCACCTAATTACTGCTGTAAATAGTTTCTGCAGAGATTACAAGGTAGAAAGCTGATTCCTTGAGAGTTGTATTGAACTAAATTGTTCTTAAATTTAAAAATTAGACTTTAGGTTTAAATTCAGGTAAACACGTTTTTAGCTGTAAAATCTCTGTGACTGGCTGTTTCCTGTCCTGATAGAAATCCAGGCCAGTGATAAGCTCCACATCCCGTACACGTGCTGTGTGCATCCAAACTCGCTCCTCAACCCACTGGGACTCCTCCTTGCCGTCCTGACACAGAATACAAATGCAGTTGTAAGTGTTGCTTATAGCAGTGCAATAGATGTACACATTGATTTCATAGAGCATTTATATCATTATGTAACAATATAGGGATGTTTCTTACATTTTAAACCAAAGTTTGCAGCATTTCATAATGTATTCCTTGCGTTAATGTAATCCTTGTGCTAAAGTTTGTTGTATTTCTTCACAATGTGTCAATTAACACAAGCAAGCACTGCAAATTTTACTCTATAGTGTGATGGTCAAATGACCAGTTTCTGTGCTATGAACACTGAATGATTCTATCTGTTTAGCGATGTTTACCTGCCAGTAAGTAGGAACTGGGTTATAAGTCGATTGGCGGATCGCTTTTCCATGGATAATAATCCATTTAAAAAAATGTGGTCACTCAGTCCACAACAGCTTGTGGGACACTGCTGTGTGCAATTGGCTGCCTCATTTCACCTAGAATATACAGTCAATTCACTTTACAGTCAATTCACTTTACAGTATATTCTGTGAAGCACTTTGAGATGTCTTGAAGATTTGATAAGGCGTTATATCAAATGCAAAGATTATTATTATTAAAATAAAGGATTCTAATATCTCTTATGCTAATATAGTTTAGGTTGTTACATTATAAGACCTCAAATTGAATCACACAATAGCAACATTTCCAACAACAATAATAAATCAATGTTTTCTTTTAAATAAGTAGATTTCATAATCCAAAGTAAAGCTTTACTTACTGGGCAACTCTCACTATTGTCTGGTCTGTGGGGTAGAATGAAAGACATTGCATCCAGTGAGGCTTCACACTGCAGAGGAGTCTTTGTGGTGTTCCTGCAGCTGGTAATGACTATGTAGTAGTGAGTTGGGATTGGGATTGCTGTATTATTCACGTGCCTATACAAATTCATGCAAGGAGAGACAATGCAATGAGATTCCAACTTTATTTCTCCAGATATTTATTGTTCATTTTTTAATTTTGTTTAGCATATTGTGTCACAAATGCAGAAACCCATCAACAACAACAACAAAATTACATTTGTTTAGCGCCTTTCACATCGTGAGGACGTTCCAAGGCACTAATGCCCCATCAACATTAAGAGTATCCATACCATGCTGAGAATTCCACATATGTATGCTACATACCTATACATGGAAATTTCCCTGTGGCTCGAATGCAATGTGCACTCTCTAGCCAGAGGGACGCACCCTGCTTACCTAATTTTGGAGAGTATTAGGTGCAGATTGGTAAGAGCCAAGGCTTGTAGACTTCAGAGTGGGTGTCTGGGTATTGCTAGAGTTTAACCAGCTCTAAATGCATAGCTTGCCATTGAAAATACTGTCTACCAAGTTTCCCTCTGCTTTTTCAGCTGGGACCACTCCACCAGTTAGGGCTCTGGCTTGCAGGGTTAGCAGGGGCTATGTTGGAAGAATCCCTGCTGTCGGTAGTTGGTCATTTGGCATCAAACAAGCACAGGTTTGAGCACTCAGGGAATTTTTAGATTAATGAATAAAGAATAACATTCCTCAAAGTTAATAATTCAGTGTACACTGAGAGTTTGCTCCAGTTGATGATAACATTCACTACAGACAGTTCTTGTCCACCACAGAGCAAACACCACAGCAAGTCAAACAAATGTCATTATCCTTGAGGTGACATTCACAGCAAAGCAAGATATGATAAGGCAATCATGGTTATAAACTGAAATCTAGAATAAACTACAGTCAAACCTGTTCAAGGAACCACCTCCATTCAGCAACCACCCTCTGTTAACAATCACTCAAGAAGAGCCATGACAGACAGTTAGCACAACAACATACCCTTACTCAGAGACCACCCTTATATAAAGACCACTTTGATTAAGTCGCTGAATGGTTGTTGAAGACAGGTTTGACTGTATTGGTAATTTACCATTGTAAATAGAGTATTGAATACTTTTAAAGTTAAAATGTAATAAATAGCAAATTATTGTCAGAAATGTATCTCTAACAATGTTTGGCTTTCACAACAGAGTAAAATCCCTGATATACTTACTGATTGTCTAATGCTGTCCTCACTCTTATGAGCATTAATGTAAATACTGTAGTGACTGACTGGCATTGATCAGGAGAGATTCACAGTCCAATCATAGTAAATCCAATTTTAAATCTTTTAAGGTCTGTCCAGGATAACATTTAAAAATATTTTTACGGCAAGTTAAATTGAATATAATAGCAATCACGAGTCAAAGCTGTGACTATTTAGCACACCACATTGCCTCATACTGGAGTCTTGTTGCTCAGTGATTAGAGCACTCGCTTTGCAAGCGAGAGACCTAAGTTCAATTCCAGGCAGGGCGAAACCTTGGGCAAGTTTCCTTACTCCACACGCCTAATAATAATCCCTCCAAAAACCAACAACAATAATAAATTGGTCATTTTCAATCTATGATTGTTTGTGGGACATTGCTGTGCGCAATTGGCTGCCGCGTTCGCCCACAAATATACAGTCAATTCACTTTACAGTGTGTTTTGTGAAGCGCTTTGGGACGTCCTCCCGACGTGAAAAGCGCTATATCAAATGCAAGGATTATTATTATTATTATTATATACTAAAGGAGTTCCTGACATTACAACAAGATTACATTTGTATAGCGCCTTTCATGTCGAGAGGACATCTCAAGGCGCTGGACAGTGTACAGCATTTCAGACCTGACCTGGGGTCAGGGAGGGAGACGGGAGGGAAGGGGGGTGGCCGATGGCATGGTCGAAGAGAAGGGTTTTAAGGTGGGATGTGAAGGAGGCTAAAGAGGGGGGGAGGCGGAGTGATTGGGAATGGAATTCCAGAGGTTGGGGGCAGAGTGGCTGAAGGCTCAGAGGACGTGGAGCATGCCAGAGCCGGCTGAGTGGAGGGAACAGGCGGGTTGGTAGGGGGTTAGGAAGTCGCAGAGGTCGGGTGGGGCGAGGCCACGGAGGGCTTTGTAGGTGAGGACCAAGATCTTGAACTGGATTCTCTGATGGATAGGGAGCCAGTGGAGTCGGGCGAGAATGGAGGAGATGGGGTCACGGAGTTTGGTGCGGGAGAGGACACGGGCTGCAGTGTTGTGGATTATCTGCAGCCTGTGGAGGGAGGAGTTAGGAAGGCCGACAAGCAGGGGGTTTGCATAGTCAAGTCTGGAGGTGATGAAGGCCTGAACAAGAGTTTCGGGGCCTGAGGGGTGAGGTAGTGGCGGAGTCGGCCGATGTTACGGAGGTGAGGGAAGACAGATCGGGTCATGGCTTGGATGTGGGGAAGAAAAGACAGTTGAGGGTCGAACAAGACACCGAGGTTCCTGACTGGCTGGTGAGTTTGTAGTGTGCAACCATGGAGGTTGATGCTGCCAGAGCCTGAGGTGCTGAGGCGCTGGCGCGAGGCAATCAGGAGGGCCTCAGTCTTGTTCACATTCAACTGTAGGAAGTTTGCCCTCATCCAGGACTTGATGCCCGACAGACAGTCTGTCAGGACAGCAGTGGTCCTGGAGTTGAGGGTGGAGGCAGAAAGATAGAGTTGGGTGTCATCCGCATACATGTGGAAATTGACCCCATGTCTGTGGATGATGTCACCAAGGGGGAGCATGTAGATACTAAAGAGGAGAGGGCCAAGGACAGAGCCCTGGGGAACGCCAGACGTGACAGTGCGGGGGCTGGAGGAGAAACCATTAGAGGCAACAAAGTGGAGACAGTGAGAAATAGGATTCGAACCAGGCAAGGGCAGGTCCATGAAGATTAAGTAAAGAGAGGCAATGTATGAGGATGGAGTAGTTGACAGTGTCGATGGTGGCAGAGAGGTCGAGGAGGTCAAGGAGGCAGAGGGAGCCCTGATCACAGATGTTCAGAATGTATTAGTGACTTTGACCAGGGCTGTTTCCGTGCTGTGGGCAGTGCGGAAGCCGGATTGAAAGGGGTTCAAAGAGGGATTGGCAAGAGAGAAAGGAGCGGAGCTGAGACACAATGACTCATTCCAGGACCTTGGAGAGGAATGGGAGGTTAGAGATGGGGCAGTAGCTGGAGAGGAGGGATGGGTCCGGGGAAGGTTTATTCAGGACGCACATAAATATGGATCAAAATTGTAGTATTCATAAACAAATGTAATTGCCAATTTAAGAAATAGATCTGAAAGGGAGTTTAGAAGGAACGTCTTTACACAGAGGCTGATGAGAATTGGAATTCACTCACTGAACCTGTGGTTGAAACAGAAAGTATCAACATATTTAATATATTTAAGAGGAAACTTGCAGCCTGCATGAGTGCGAGGGGAATATAGAGATGTAGGGGAAGGGAATGTGAGTGGTGAAGGTTCATATTGAGTATAAACATTGACATGGACTAGTTGGGCAGAATGTCCTGCGTCTGTGCAGTAATATACTATGTAATTCTATCTTTACCCCAAGCTCCACAGACCACAAAGATGGTACAACCCTGATTCCTGAAGTTCTTTCATAGCCATTGTGAAAGCTTTGGATTCCAAATTGCGGCCTTTCAATGCCGCTTAAAAAATTAACCACTCAACTAAAGCAGTATCCTATCCTGAAAGCTGAAAACCACAGGTCGGCTAAATAAACTAAAGACAGTCAGGGTTTGTCAGTCAGGTTTGGATGCTCTCAATATTCAGGAGATTTGTGGTTAGTAACATCACTAATTTGACTCCAATATAGTTTTCTTCATTACTGCCTAATTATGGTCTTTATCCAAGAACCCGGTTTAAAGATGATTTACTGATTTATTTTCTTCTAAACAAACTAAGATAAGAAAGCGCAAAAGAATGTTTTCTTCTTACTCTGAAATTTTCTCAGGACTATCGAAATGTCCGTCAAAATCATAATCAAACACTGGTCCACTCATGATGTTGATGCCATTTCTCTCCGCTGCGTACCTTGGCAGTAAGATGTTGTGGACGTGATGCCATATTACTGAGAAGCAACAGACCAGTTAAAATATAGCCAGTGAGACTATTGATGAAAACATGACCATCAGATATTTTATTTTCATGGTATCAACAAAACTTAATATTTTTCATCCAATAACACCTAGGAAACATTTTTTTTATTTAGTGGGTCTGATTATTTTCTAATTATCTCCCCATTGGCAAATGGCTCTGCTCCTGCCTCATCATACCAGGTGCAGTTCCACATGATTCAGTACCTCTCCAAAGCCCTGTTCAATGTCAGCCTTTACAGTAAGTGTTGCCAAGAATCTCCTCAACTGGTTGCCAGTAAAGGATGTGAAGAAGGACCAAAAACAGGAACCTGGCTGTTTTTCCCAAACCTAACATTTGGAAAGTCAGGGAATTTAGGCTCCCCATGCAGTACAAGATGTGTCCAGCTAACTCAACATAGACTTGGATTGGAACCAAAATGTTCCTGATCAATAAGATCAATCCACTGTGCCAGTGGTGTTGCTTCAACAAAAGTTAATTAGCCTCTGTTCTTCCTGGCAAACTATCCAGTGGCACAGGCAGAACATGTGTTCTGAACTGATTTTGAGCTGGGCTTTTTTTTAGAGTAACAACAACAACAACTTGGATTTATATAGCGCATCTCAGAGCGCTTCACAGTCACGGATCCCAGTGCTGAGCCAGAGGGCGGAAGGTGACCAAAGGTGCGATTGAAAAGAAAGGTCTTCAGCCGAGACCTGAAAATAGGAAGAGAGGGGGCGAGGCGAAGGGAGTGAGGAAGGGAGTTCCAGAGCCTCGGGGCGTAGTGGCTGAAGGCATGGCCACCGATGGTAAGCAAACGTTCACACAAAACATTTTGAGGCTTTAATCTCAGTGAGTTATGGTCTCGGAGCATTGAAGTTTCTGCCAGTGAAATTACATTTTTGTTAATGGGTAGATAAATCAACTTATTGTTGATAATTTAAAAGCATTGTTTCACAAAACTGCATTCAGAATGCTAGTGTCATTGACTGCAAGTCATTAGAGTCAGGAGAAGCAATGGGTCAGCTCTGAGCGAGAGTTGGAGTTGAGAATCTGCAAAATTAGTGTTAAGCACAAATGCTCAGCTATCCATAAAATAATAATCTTTGTATTTGATACAACCCCATTCATGTCATGAGGCAGACTCGAAGCACTTCACGGGATATACTGTATAGTGACGGTGTATTTTTTTAAAAGAACACAGTCGCCAATTAGCTCACATTAATGACCAATTTTATCACCAGGAGACCAGAGAAACTCACTTCTCTTTTTGAATAGTATCATGGGATCTTTAACATGTTCTAAAATGTTCCTAACACACATCTCTAGTCTTAAGATATTTGTATGTGATTTTTCGAGTTACTGTTTCAAGCAGCAACAAAAACGTTTTCTAAATCAGAATGAAAATGTATCACAAAAATGTGAAAACATATGATGAAACATTCTGATGTTTCAATCTAAATAAAATTTTTAAGTTGCCTAAACTTTCTATATACGTAGTTAATATTGATCACATTAGAGTTATATTACTTTTCAGTAAAGTAAACCACTCAGGAAAGAGCTGGATACTGTCTCACTTACTTTTAAATGCCTCATACATGGGCACAATGTTGCTCGTAATTAAACCATCATAATGCTCAGTTCCTGATGTGACCAGATCTATAAAAAAAACAGGTTATTGCATTTTCTCTGCATATTATTTCAGATGAAGAATATGTAGAATGACACAGACTTACATAGAATGTTACAGCAGAAGCAGAATGTTAACAGCATTTGGCACAACAAATGTGCAGTGTTTCTACTGCACATGAACCTCCGCCTCTCCTTATCCCATCCCCCAAATCACTTTTGTATGCTGATGGAAAATAAATCTGAAATACTTTCCTCCTCACCCCTGCCCAGGAAGATTAAACCAAATTATGAAGAATGCCTGTCTTTGTAATGTTGCAATACTCAGATGGAAAAGATTTGCAACCGTGACATCCAACAAGTCCATCCCTGGCACATTTCAGCCAAGTGGAGAATCTGCATTCTTCCTATCTCCACAGACACTAATACCTCAACAGCTGGATAACAATTTTGCCTCTTATATGTCTCTTAGATGACTTTCTAGGTCTGAGAAGTTGCAAATTGAAAGCTAGCTGAAGGCTTCACCCTTTTGAGTGAAATGTTGTGCTATTGTTGTGCAATGTTGAAAATGACCAGGTCAAATTAGGTTTATTCTGGGATACCAAAGGGTTAGTTTTTGCTAACCTGTGCCTAAGACTTTCAGAGATTAGATGAGCAGGATGATTTCCTCTGAGAGAGTGTGCCAGATGGAGGGAAATTTTCCTTGGTTTGAAAACTCTCAAGCATGGGAAAGGGTTTCTCACCAAGCTGACCAAAACAAAAAATATCCTCAATGCCCATTACCAAGAGTATAACAAGTTCACTGGATACTACTTACTGGGAGAGTACAGAAAATCATAGCTGATGTTTAAATCTGCCTTATAGTTCGAACACTTCTGGCTGCTGTTTGCAAAGACCCGAGGATCAGCCCGCAGGCAGTCTGAAATGACTGGTGGTAAAGGCGTTGTTTCCTGTCAGGCAAACACAATTTTTTTTAAAAAAGCTGCTTTTAAAAGAAATTAGTTCACATATTTGGGTGATTCAAGCCAAACCAGTTCCTGGAATATAAAAGCTCACTGCCAAATTATGTTGCAAGAGTGCCACAATAATAACAGACTGGTGCAATACGAGGATAGAGCAATAAGACTTTGATTCAAGCTTTGATTTACAGCATCATCTGAAAGACCTTTATTTAACTTTATATTAACTCCAGATATTCTCCAATCAAGAGACAGATGATTTTAAAAAGTTGTTCCTTTTGAAGGAATTGGTTGATGCAACTCATTGATGTGGCATCAACTGCTTTATTTGAGAATCTATCCCCATATCCACTACTGTTTAAACAATACTTTTTTTTAATTCTCCTAAGTAACAGAATACATTGGAACTTTACTGTGGGTGTTTATTATGTTTAGTGTCAGCCTATCTCAGTTGATTGCATTCTCGCCTCTGATTCAGAAAGTTGTGGATTCCTGCCCATGTCAGAACTTGGACACAGTCTATGCTGACACACAGTGCTGTGGGATTTAGTGCATTGTCAGAGGTGCTGTTTTTCAAATGAGATGTTAAACCGAGGTCCCATCTCCTTGTTCAAGTGGACATTAAAGATCCCTTGGCGGTATTTAAAAATATAAGGGAATTGCTCCTGATGTCCTGGCCTATCATCCCCTAAATAGAATTAGTCATTCACTTCATGGCTGTTGGTGGGACATTATTGTGTGCAAATTAACCTCCACGTTTGTTGACAAATGCCCAGTCACTACAGTTTGCAGTATGTATTCTACGAAATGCTTTGAAATCTTTGGCTCTGGAACTCTATCCCCCAGTGCCTTCGCCTTGCCTCCTCCCTTTCCTCCTTCAAGGCCGATCTCAAGACCTTTCTCTTTGACCGTGCCTTCAGCTCCCCTCTCGACTCTCTAACCCTCCTCGCTCCCTCCCTTCCCTCCCCTCACCCTGACCATTTCCCCCTTGCTCGGGTCCTGACCCAACTGTACAGTGCCTTGGGACGTCCTCCCGACGTGAAAGGCGCTCAATAAATGGAATCTTGTTGTTGTTGTTGTTGTTGAGACATCCCCTTGATGTGAAAGACAATATATCAAATGTAAGGATTATTATTTTATTTAATACCACATAGTTTGTCTGTGTACATCAGTAATTTTATTTGAACACAAGAGCTCACAAGAGCTAAAATTAATAACCTTGAGTTTTCTATACACAGTGATGGATATTTGAACAGATTCTGAACAAAACAGTTGCTGCTTCATCAACTAACTCCTTCAAAGGAATTGATTCTGGACTGGATAAGAGGAGCAGGAGACAGAGGAAGCAATCCACCTCAGGAAAGAAGAGAGTAAAGTCTGAATTGTGTAGATAAAGGGATAGAATTTTTCCAATGAGATACAATGAGTAGGTTAGGAAATACACAATAGAGTTGCATTTTGCATGATCTGTGGAAAGAGAAGGCTTGAAGGTCTGGATATCCGTTTTAAATTATATTTATTTTCTTACGTAAATTCCAGTCAGTGCCATATGTGTGGATGTCAGCCCACAGTGAAAATATCTCTTAAAAGGGGAAGTGGGAAGATCATTTTGTGCCAGTGGTTTATTGCATCCTTTGGAGTATTTTACTGGGTTTGACACAAAGCTTCCCATGGTTTTGTGTTGATTAGTCACCATTTTCCATTTGGTCATCTTTACTCTGGCTGCCTTCTTTTCCTGCTTTTAATGTCTGCACTAATCTTTGAGAAGCCAGTATTTCAATACACACAACAACTTGCATTTATATAGCACCCTTCATGCAGGGTAGCATCCCGAGTGCTTGACAATGGCGGAGTCTGACCCTAAGCCAGGGAGAGAAGGAGGTGGGAGGTGACCGTAAGCACGATCAAAAAGGAAGGTCTTTAGACGGGATTTGAAAGTGGAAATAGAGCGGGCAATAATAATAATAATAATAATAATAATCCTTGCATTTAAGGCAGAGGGATTGAGGGAGAGAATTCCAGAGTTTCGGGGCGTAGTGGCTGAAGGCGTAGTGGAACAAAGGGGACGAGGAATGAACAGGAAGCTGGAGCCAGCCAAGCAGAGGCAACAGGTGGGGGAGTGGGGAGTAAACAAATCGGATGGGCAGGGAGGTGCGAGGGCATGAGGGGATTTGAAACCAAGTGAGAGGATCTTGAAATTGATCCGTTCAGTAATTAGGAGCCGGTGGAATCTGGCAAGGACTGGTGTGATGGTGGTACGGAGTTTTGTGCAGGTGAGTATCCGGGCAGTGGAGTTCTGAATTAGTTGAATTTTGTGTATGGTGGAGCGGGGAGACCAGCAAGAAGGGCATTGGAATAGTCCAGCTGGGAAGTGACGAAAGTGTCGACAAGGGTTTTGGCTACTTTTTGTTGTGAGGTATGGATGGAGGCGGGCAATGTGATAGAGGTGAAAAAAGAGGTCCTGGTCAGAAAACGGATGGAGGGTAGAAGTACCATAACATATTTTCATCCTTATTTATAACTGGAAGAGATGATGAGAATTAGCTGTGAAAACATACCGGTTTAAAAATAGTGTAGGCATTCCAGAGGGGCATTAGAATATCATCACTGTAGCCACTGATGTAGGATTCATGAAACAGGAGACAATGTGTGATGTTCTGTAAAACTCTGGGTCTTCCATAGGGTATGTTCTGCTCCTCTGTTAATTGAACTAAAAAAACACAAGTAAACATTTCAACATCCATCGATTTCCTTTCAATGGCTCCATTTACCAAAATCTTTTTATTTCTTGCAGAATATTTTGGTCACATCGAGAAAGAAAGAAGTCAGAAAAAATCACAGCATAAATGGCAATGCCCAGTGAAAATGTGCCTTGTAACACAAAGTGTGAGTCCTCCACAAAGTGTAAAAAGGAATTTTATGTTTTATCATACTGCCCAGGAACTTGGGTTTGAAATTGCCTTGGAGCAGATTTGTCATGTAAAAATGATGCAAATTCCCTTCAGGAGATGCATTTTACTTTACAAAGTACTTTTATTTTCCCGATGAGTATTCATTTTTGAACTTCATTACTATTACTCAAAGTGGAAGGATAAGATCAAATGGGCCGAAGGGCCTTCTCTATCCGAAACATTCCTTTGTTCTTGTGATGTCTCCCTTAGAAATGCACCCAAAAGCGGGTTATAAGTAATCATTCATTGGAATGCCAGAGCTGTGCATTGTGTGTTTTACAAGGCAACAACAACTTGCACTTACATAGCACCCCTCATGCAGGATAGCATCCCAGTTGGCACTTGGCAGTTAGACGTGGGTGTACATCAGTGTTCTCCACAAAGAATTTCCTGTCACTGCTGAGACTACAGTGCACTGTCTCTCTCAGGGATTCAGATCAAGCCTCTCACCCACATCTCCTGTTACCTGGAGTGCGAGTTTCTAAACATACATTCATACATCCAGCACCTGGAGTCCACCTTGATTGACTTGCAGAGAGGTAAGCAGCTGTTGCTTAAGTCCCCACCTTCGACTGGTCGAACCATCACTCAATGGTAAGGACGTGTGTCCCAGCTAACAGGACGATGGTATCAATGCTCTCACACATTTCATACTGAACTGAGTTGCCCTTGGGAATGGGAGTTCCTGATAACTACCATCCACCCAGTGAGGGCTCAACCCTATCCATATAATTGTCGAATGTCAAATGGCTGACTCTTCTCCACGGAGGAGGTAAGCAGAAACTTTTTGGAGCTAAACTGGCTCCAAGGTAACATTTGGCAATGGAATGTCGGAATTGAGCCAACCCTCTGCGGGGTCTCCGTAGTTCTGTTCCTGAGCTAGACAGATCCGGAGTACTTCAGGGCATTGCTCGTAACAGCCCAAGCAGGATATGGAAGGGCAGTCCAGTCACTGGGGGCAAGGACTCTTTCCCCTCAGATCCCGTTAACCCAGCAAGCCAAAGCCCTACTGGATAGGGTTGTCCTAGCTGGACAAGCAGAGGAAAAGCTTGCCCTCAATGGCAAACTATGCAGTTTTAGCTGGTAAGACTCCAGCAGTACCCCAACTCATACTTTGTGATCCCCAAACCTTGGTGATTGCCAATCTACACCTAATACTTTATAGAATTAGGTAAACAGGATGAGTCCCTCCAGGGAGAGAGTGTGTATTCCATTCCAACAATCTATCTGTGGAATTTCCATGTGTAGGTGGGATGCATGGAATTCTCAGTTTGGTTTGGATACTGTTAAGCACGGTGATGGCTTTTGCCCAGCTGACCAAAGCAAAAGCACACACCTCCTTGCAGTGTTGATTACAGAGTGTTACAGCAGATGGATGGATGTGGATCCTTGTGGATGGGAGGAAGTGACTGCTTGTACCTTTGGCCAAGAATGGTAACTGAGAGGGGATATAGGGGAGAGGAACAGCAAGTCACAATGTAATGCCTCTTTAAATTATAAACTCAATGTGTGGGAACTCAGTCAACGTCTGGGCCATAGTATTAATTATGTCTAATTTTCAGAATTCAATGTTCCATTGCTACTCCTTCCTACTGTACAGAACTCTAATCCAAGCAATTATTACACAAACTGATTATATTTCCTGTATATTAACATTCAATAGCATTAAAATTGTAACACGAGGGCGACCTCAACATCATGGTTTTCATAGTCTCAAATCTTCTGCCATTTGGGGATTAGGATTAACATTGGTGTTTTTCTTAGTCATAGTGGTTCAACCAAAATGTGCAGAATCGGTTGGCTTACTAAAACAGGGATTTCTCTAGATCACTGGCACTTTAAGAGTTAAACATTATTTGATTTATGCAAGTTCTGTGATTACAACATGTTGTTATGTTTTACATTTCGCTTACGCATACTTTGTTAATTAGAATTGATTTATTTTCCCTCCATTCTATTTTCTTCCTTATTCTGTAATGTCATAAATATGGCAATTATTACGTCACATAAAGCACTTCCTCCCCAGAGTTTCTATTGTGGTTTTCTGACTGTTTCATAATTTTCAACATACATCATTGTCAGGCATTTGACAAAATGAGATGGAATATAGGAACAGGAGTAAGCCATTCAGCTCCTTGAGCCTATTCCGCCATTCTGTTATATCATAGCTGATGTGCACCTCAACTCTATTTACCCACTTTTCTCCATGCAGGAAACAAAGTGGAGGTGGTGGGTCAAGCAGGAATTTAACCAGGAGAGATGGAGACGGATGAGGGAGGAGTGGTGATCAAGGAGGATGGGGAGGTCCAGTGTTGAATGCAACAGAGAGGTCAAAAAGGACAAGGAGACATAGAGAGCCCTAGCCGCAGAGAAAGAAAGAGAGGGAGAGAGGGAGGGAGAGAGAGAGAATATCATTGGTAACTGACAAGGACGCTCTCAGTGCTGTTTGCAGTCAAAATGCAGACTTGCAAGGGAAATCTGGAAGTGAAGTTGGATGGCAACAACAGTAGGTTGGAGAGTAGCCAGAAGTTGGTGATGAAGGGTAAGTCTTTTGTGGAGGTAGATGATGACAGTAGTTTTGAAGGGGAGTGGGAGAGTGCCGGAAGAGAGGGACAGGTTAACTGTATCTGCCAGCAGGGGACAGCGCAAGAGCAATTGAGTAATCAGCAGTTGGTTTGGGAGAGGGATGGTGAAAGGGATAAGTTTCACTTTGATTATAAGGATGGCAAGGGACGAGAAATGGGGCCAAACGTGTACAGGGACAGTGATAGGGACAAGAGCAGAAGGCATGTGGGGGAGGGGGAGTGAAGGAGGAAAATGTGCCAAGCAGACTTTATCTATTTTGGAAAGAAGGAAATGCTCACATTTGGCATCAAATGTGAGAATTGAGGGTGTTTCAAGGGCGGAAAATTGTGATGGAAATGAAGAGATTGAAGTTAAAAGGGCAGAATTCTTTACTGGTTTAGGACTGAGAGGTGAAAGAGAAAAAATATTACCAATTTATCTTCTGAATTTTGAAAGAATGAGGATGCTACAAAGAATTCAGGATTATGGACAACACTGAAATCTGGAGTAAGATGCCTGTTAGAAAGAGTCTGGTTCTGACCATTTGTCAGCAATTTATGTCTTAAAATTTTACAATAAAAATGTATGTCCAACCCCCATATTATGGAGTTGCTAACTATTCATGTTGGTAAACTAGACCGAAAAAGCAGTATAGTAATTTGTCTTACCTTGATCAGCGGTAAGGTTTAATCTTTTATTCATTTCCTCAGGCGAAGTCTAATAAGAGAGAAACATATTCTTTCGATGCTGGGCTTTGTCTCTGAAAACAATTGTTTTCAGTTCAAAGTTAATTTGACAAAAGGGCAGGCAGCCCATTACTTACCGACACATTACAAGAACATCCCAGACTATTACTTGGAGTCAGTGTATAGAGTGGACAGAGAGATGGAGTGGATATCTCAGTAGGAAAAGTAGGGGTATAAAAAGGTGTCTTCAACATATTATTTAAGCTGCCATGAGATCCATTATTAGGTGCAGGAGTGATCTGTAACAAATCTATCAGAGAAAGAATTGTCATCGACTAATCATAGTATGAAATACAAAAATTATACAAAATATATACAAAATACCAAGTGCTTTTAACAACTGATATTTGATATAAAAAAATTCACCATTACGAGGCGTGTATAATCTTATATGCAATATATTCTCAATGTTTATCCGATAAGATAGATCAAATAATTTCATATGAATCCTCACCCCTAATTCAGTAGAACATTTTCCTTTAAACCAATTACATTTTTTAAAAATCCAAATAAACTATTATAGATTTATAAGCCGTTAAAATTGTGATAAAAGGCAATGGGGTTGAAAAATACTCTCCGAGAAAGCTTTAACATTCTGGTGCCTCACTAAAATCATAGAAACATTGATTCTTTTCTGCAAGGAAAACTACTGTACTTTAAGCTAACTCACAAGAATTTGGCTCCCAGTCAATTTTGAGTCAGAGTGACCTCTTGCAGGATGGATTAAGGTACATGGATTTTCCCTGCAGAAAGCTATCAGTGAGACACCACTAATGGTAGTGATCCCAGTGGGACTTTTGGGAAATTCTTAAATTCAATCTTAATTCTGTGCTCCCAAAAAATTCTGTTCTCTAAACGTTGCAGCAGTTTTGACCCCTGAAGATTATACAGAAATTCAATTTAACATTGAAACTTCATGTATTCACAAAAAACCTTTGCCTCAATAGGGTTGTCATTAAATAATGGGAAGATAATGCAGTTTCACCCATACCAGCTTCACTCATGCCAAACCGGTGATATATACTCTTTTCCCATCTTGAAACTGAGTTAAGTACCTTCTCTTTGACCTTGTGTTTGGTCACCTTTTTCACTCTCCTCACCTTCCCATTCACCTACCTTTCTTAACAAAAAAAACTTGTTTTGAAAATGAAGAACTCTGACCCTCACAATATTAGCTACTCTTTCCCTAGCCCTGAGCAGAAAAGTTGTGCTATCAGTCCAGTTCAAAGGCTGCTTGCTCATGTTTTACCTTCCCAACTCTTCCCTTCATAAGCTGCAGATCATCCAAAACTCTGGAGCTTGTGCACTCTCACGCACCAGGCTCCGTGACTCCATCGCTCCCACCCTCGCCTGACTCCACTGGCTCCCCATCCCCCAGAGAATCGAGTTCAAGATCCTCGTCCTCACCTTTAAGGCCATCCAGGGCCTTGCCCCATCCTACCTCTCTGACCTGCTGACTCCCTACCAATCTGCCCGCTCTCTCCATTCAGCGGGCTCTGGTCTGCTCCATGTCTCCCGCCCGACCCGCCCTACCATCGGTGGCCGGGCTTTCAGCCTCTCTGTCCCCACACTCTGGAACTCCATCCCACAGTCCCTTCGTCTCGCTTCCTCTCTTGCCTCCTTCAAGGCTGGTCTCGAGACACTTCTGTTCGATTGTGCCTTCAGTCGCCCTCCCACCTCTCTTGCCTTCCCTTACCCTTACACCACCCCTCCCCCATTCTCAGATCCTGACCCCTGACTGTCCAGCACTTTGGGACATCCTCACGATGTGAAAGGCGCTCTATAAATGTAATTTTGTTGTTGTTGTTGTTGTTACCTACAGCAGTCAGTGCCAAAACAGAAACATTAAATTAAATGTCCATGTTGTGATACTTGGCAAAAGAAGACAAATTGTCATTTATATTAATGAAGGATATATTGACCAAAGAGAGAGCTGGAATCCAGGGAATGTTTTTGCTTCAGCAATGGAACTTTCACCTCCTCAGAACAACAATTGGTGTTTGTCCTTGTGACTGCTGATGGCTGGTTGGGAGCAGAGGAGCAAAGAGTTCTTGCAAATAGCACCAATGTGGCTAGCACAGCCAATTTACCTCCTCCTTTCACCCACAAAGTATAGTCTCTACACTTTACAGTATATTCTGTGAAGCATTTTGAGATGCCTAGAAGACGTGATAAGGTATTATGTTAAATGCAAGGATTATTTATATTTTATAGTACAGCCAATCTGTAGCGTTACTCCAAATGGAAAAGCAATTTGACATATTGCAAATAGTGCTTGGTGGGAGCAGAAAGTAACGAGAGGAGAAATTTTAAATTAAACTAAAATTTAAAATCAAGTGGAAGTGGGATTAAGGATTAGAAGGAATTTTATTTTTCCAACAGAGTGGTGGATAAATGGAAAAAGTGCTTTGGGATATAAAGTGGAACTTCTTTGTTCCACTGTTTGGATTGTAGAATCAACCCCAGACCTCCAATATAACAAGCAAGAACTGCGACTGAACAACCAAAGGTGCAAAATGTAAGTGTTAGGACTATATCTGAAATGAAACTAATTCTACACCCATCACACCTAGACTTCATTTTTCTGTCTTCACTTTTGAAAGGCAATTCCTTCAAAATATTTTGAATCATCGTTCAAGAACACCACAGACTATTACAGAGAATTCACAGTGCAGAATCAGACTAAAACCACATTTTACATAAAATAATGGAGAAGATATCTTAGTGTTGGAGCAGCTATAAGTTGAAGCTAAAGAAAAGCTTACACAATTAAACAATATATGCTCACGCAAGATATTGTCTAATTACTGTGCGCAATTGGCTGCTGTATTTTGCCCACAAAATATACAGACAATCCACTTTACAGGATATTCTATGAAGCACTTTAAGATGTGTCGAAGTCGTGACAAGGCGCTATATCAAACGCAAGAATTATTATTATATTGTCAGGACACTTACCACACATTAGGTTATAGAGCTCAATATTGTCAAATGGTTCCACCTCAGTCCGAGATCTGAGGCCTGGCCCATGACCTATGAAGATGGCCTGCATTTCAGTAGGAGAAAACAAAGCCATCTTACTAAAAAAAACACACACATGAACAACAAACACACACACAGTTAGCAACAATTTGGAATATTGGAGGTTAAAGCATGGGTTATTCAAACTGGATTCCATATTAATGAATCCGAGAGGGGACGCCTTTCCATGACCCAGAGGTACGTCATATACACCATGCTGACTTTTGGAAGCTAATCTCTGAACATGCCTGAAAATAAAAGTTTACCCTTTACATGATTTCTTCTCTTATAGTCTTGAACCCCAAAAAAGGACTCGCTACTGCAACAGAGAGTATCCTAACACTCACACCATGCATCCTTCCAACCTCCAAGAGAGACTTATGTTTAGTGCCAATATGCACCAAATTGATAGATATTCTGAGTTATTTTATACGTGTCACAATGATCAGGTTGCTAAGAATGACACGTAACACTTACATCCATGCTTCGATATTCATTGTCGTATCCATGATTCCCACCACCACAGTATCTGAAACTTTTCTCGTCTCTGAAAAATATTTTAGAAAACTTAGCAATGAAACTGAAAGTATAAGCGATAAAACAACAACAACATTACATTTATAGAGCGCCTTTCACGTCAGGAGGACATCCCAAAGCGCTGAACAGTCAGATGTCGGGGCCCGAGAATGGGGGAGGGGTGGTGTAGGGGTGAGGGAAGGCAGAGAGGTGGGAGGGAGACCAAAGGCACGATCGAAGAGAAGGGTCTTGAGACCGGCTTGAAGGATGCAAGGGAGGAAGCGAGGCGAAGGGACCATGGGATGGAGTTCCAGAGTGTGGGGGCAGAGAGGCTGAAAGTTCGGCCACCGATGGTAGGGCGGGTCGGGTGGGAGACATGGAGCAGACTGGAGCCTGATGAATGGAGAGAGCGGGCAGGTTGGTAGGGAGTCTGCAGGTCAGAGAGGTAGGAGGGGGCAAGACCCTGGATGGCCTTAAAGGTGAGGACGAGGATCTTGAACTCAAAGTCTATTAAGATTAAGTCTATCAAGATTAATAAGTTCACTGTAGAAACTGATATTCTACCCTCATAACAGCAGAGCATCTTAAGAGATCATGAAGAACTTATCTTTTTATATTATTTTATTACGTCAAAATATCTCAAAGCAATTAATATACTTTTGACTGTTTTTGTAAGCAAATAAAGCAGCTATTTGCATGCAACCTATCTGCATTCTGTTCAAACTCTTTTTGATCAACTTTGATCTACTCCACTTCCAGTATGAATGGCTCAGTGCCTTATATTTTCTACTCTCTACAGAAGGTCTCTAGCTGTCTCTCAGTTAAATAGTCTCTGAAAGTTCCTAATTATTTGCAAGTCTTTTTCTTCTCAACAATATTCTGTTTCTCACCACACCATTCGGAAGGTCACACAAACAGCCATGAGCTGAATGGCAAATTAATGTTAATGCCTTTCCATCCAATATTCGACAGTCACAAAATGTAAGCAGTTATATTAATGGATTAGAAATTAAGAAAAGATGCAGGTAGAGAATCTCCGATTGAAATCCTAATCTTAGGTTCTACAATGTGAGTCGTGTAAACCACTAAACACTAATTTTACTCAAGTTGTGTCTCTTGTTTTTCACTCCACTCATAAATACTGTGGAACCCCTGTTAAAAGGCAATAATTGAGGTCTATAAACTCGTAAATTGCCTTCTATTAGGGCATGATGACCGAGCAGTGCTTCTGCTTTCACTACACATGAGCAGAGATCCTACATTTCTGCTGGCCCCCTGTGCCGTAAAAAAATATCTTTGGGTTATCAGGTTACAGCCAATGTCATTTTGCACAATGTATGTGACAAGACGTCAGCGGGAAGCTGATGACCCAGATCTGCATTCCAGTTGTAGGGTTATTCCTGCACTGATTTTTCTTTTCAGAGGAAAAAGATTGGCAGAGTGATAAAATGAAATGTTGATTAAACTGTCCATAAAGATGAGCCTATCAATTCAGGGTCAGAGATCTTCCTGCCAATTGTGCACCTGTGTCTCTAGCATCTGAGTGCACCAACCTCTAATGGGAAAGACTTTGACAATTTTCTTTGAAAATATTACATTGGTCCAGTAGAGATTAGTCTTGTAAAGTTGGAATTAAGGCATATTGTTGGAGCAAAGTATAGGGAGCTTTGATCTGAAGATAACCCATGTTATTCCTGACATAGCAGAGTTTAAAGCTGATGCTGGATGCAAATGGTTTATCTCCCAGCACTCCACTACTTTGCCTTCATCACTGTTGGTTTAGTGATGTTATATAAATCATTGCATCGTTTTTATTGACCTACTCTTTTTGAAAAACTTTTATATATATTATAAAAATTCTCTCCCAATGTGTTGTCATTTCAGAGAATGTACTCATGAAAATTGTTATCGATTTGTGCAGTTAATAACAGACAATAGATCTCAGTGGAAATAGAGAGTAGATGATTAAATGAAAAACATACCGTCCAGCCAACCATTGTTCATCCAAGTACAAATTAGCCTTATCTATTCTGATGTTCTTGGCATAGTGGAAGCGCTTTGGCAGGTGATGGGACATGTACGGTATGAAGTGCTGGTGAGGAAATCTGCACTAGAATAAAAAAAGACATTTGAGAAAGATAAGGAAACACATACTCCATGGATACGATAGAATTTGTATACAGATAAAGGAAGCGCATAAGGCAAAATAATAGTACTACTTCTTACATTTAGTAAAGCCCCTTTCATGTCAGGAGGAGATCTCAAAGCACCTCACAAGATTTACTGTAAATTGTAGTGCCTTTTTTTTGCAAAAATGGTAGATTGTAGGGAAATGAAAAATAACTTATGTTTTATCCTGTCAAAATATTTCACAAGTGATGCTGTTTATAGGCAAATTAAGCATGATTTGCTTCAGCAAAGTCCCATAAGCAGTTACGAGGATTGTGACTGATTTAACTGGAGATTTGTTGTCAAGGACAGAAGGATAAACTCCTTTCTCTTTTTCAATAGTTTCATGGGATTTGTGAACACCTGAAAACAGACAGTTAGGACCTTGATTTAATTTCTGATTGAAACAAGGCATCTCCAATCATATATTGCTCTCCCAGTTCTGCAGTGGAGTGTCAGTCTGAACTCTACTCTCACCTACAACCAACTGGAGGCAAATATGATTTCAACAGAACAAGTCAATAAATGAATAATGTAAGCAAGATATTATAAGCAAAACATACAGAAGGAGGAGAAAAAACATGTCCTCATGCTCCATTAATAAGCCATTAACAACCTGTTGAGATTTTGCTGTGAAGTGTATTTTGTAGGCAAATATGGAAAGCAATTTGTGCACATCAATGACCCACAAATAGCCATGAAGTAAATCACTCATTTTGTCTGGAGGGTTGTTGGCCAGAACCCCAGGATGAACTCCCCTCTCCACATAAAGCAGCATACATTCCAATTGGAGAAGAGTCAGTCATCACTATACTGGCCATAATCAACAGTAGTGTGAAAGTGACTTGATGAGGTAGCCCAAGCTTTATGAGGTGTGACTTTTCTTCATTGTTAAATAAAATTCCAGGCCAGTTTCATGCTCTCCTAGTTAGTGCATTTTTACTCAGGGAATGCAGAAAAACAGCAAAATATCTCATGCCACAAGAACAGTATGACATTTACCTAGCAACTTTGTTAATGAGTGGAAATTAATAAATAATGTGGAAGTGTTGTTTCCTGCCAAACTCCAACTTCTGGCAGAGAATTTTCTAACATCTAAAAAAAACCTGACCTTCACCATTTGCTTGTTTACATTATCAGCAAACATTGCACGAGAGGTTTCCTTCTTTCAAGGCTAGCTTTAATACACAGTATATTAGCTATTGGTTAAACCTTAAGGTTTTCACTTACTGAAAGATTTTTGATAATTCCTTCTGAATCAACTGAAAAAGAAAAACAAGAAATCACACAACTTTCAGAAACAATTGAGAATAAAATTCTAAACGACTAATATTTTATATAGTATTTCTACATCAAGCTTTGAAATCCCCTCCACGTGGAATTATCTCCCAAAAACTCTTAACCCGTCTCTCCAGCTTGTAGAGTTTTTGTAAAGTATATTCTCCCAATGTGAAAGGTGTTAGATTAACGTAATGTTTTGTGATCAATAGCCGAAGAGATTGTCGTCCCCTATTCAAGCCATACTGGGTGTAGTGCAGCATGTTTGAGCACCAGCAGAGGGAGTCATTATGAAACAAAACTTGCACTTCAGACGTAATAGCTGTCAAGTGCAATGAGGAGCATTGCAACTAATCTTAATATTCCTAATGGTCCCCAAGGTAATCTTAATCAACTCAAATTAGGTCTTGAACCAGTAATCCATCAGGCTCAATGAGGCTCAGCTTCACTTGAGGCAATGGCTTTAGCAAGCGAGTCAACAGTGGAGTGCTAAAACATATTTGTATTACTTATATAAGATTTATACTCATTTATTTTTTTTCAATTAATATTGTAAATTGTCATTGTAAACACAATCAATCAATGTCCATGTTCTGGACTATTCAATTCAAATTAAAATATTAAAGTATAACTAATTATTTTTGTATCCGGCAGCGATTGTACGCACATGTGAAATAGTCGTCTGGAACATTGATAGTTTGAATGCGAGGGGCTGGACCACTGTACATCTTTAAATTGTCCACTGAGTCTAAGTATTTTGTCATATATTCAATTTTCTCACAATACGTTTGTTCCATTCCTGAAAAACAAGTAGTCCAGAAAAAAATCACACAAAGAAATACAATTCATAAAGAATCTTTCAAGTTCCAGATTATTAATAATAATGATAATCTTTGCATTTGATACAGTGACTTATGTCATCAAAAGCACTTTGATGTAAATTGTAGTGATTGTATTTGTAGGTGAATAAGTCAGCCAATATCAAACAAGCAAACACAAAGTAACCAATATTATCTGACCACAGCGCCAGGACAAATTCCTTTCTCTTTTTGAATAGTGTCATTGGGTCTTTAGCATCCACCCAAACAGGCAGACAGGACCCCTGTTTAATGCTTGATTTGAAGACAGGATCATTGGCATTGTTCACTTTAAAAGGGACTTTACATCGGTGATCATATTTCCATTCAATGAGGAAAGAACATTTAAATATTAATGCTTCTCTAACTTCAATGCTGTTTGTAAACCTAGTGTCATCATCACTTGCACAACTTGGAACAGCTCAGGTGATTTTCAATCATAATCCATTTTAAAGAGCACACATTGCGTTAAAGCTAAGTGTGCATGTGTACCGTGGTGATTTTAGCCTGGATTAGTCTATTTATTTCCAGCAAACACAAATCCAGCAATTCTAATTGTTTTCAGCAAATGTTTATTAAAATTTGATTGTATAGTTTATTTTGTTGCTGGTCTATTTGAAGCACGGAGAGGGTAAATATATCTGCCATTGGGGTCTAATTTGCGTTACTTCACAGTGGGATTCCTTAATAAGGAATTGGAGTATAAATGGGGATTTATTCCTGTATCTGGACGTGTGTCATGCAGTTTCATGAGAGCTCCATTCCCACACAGTCTTGTCTTGAGCAGGGTTTCTGCAGGTCAAAAGGATTTCTAATGGATTTCCTGAAGGAATCCTCTTGACAAATCCCACACATTACACCCAGTTGTCACTGAGTATCAGAATACGAGTGTTCTTGGGGATCCATCACACTGATTGTAGGCTTGTATTTTGTCAAAAAGCATCAGAAAACTTTCATACCATGGTCAGCTACAACAATTACATTCACACATTTGTGTAAATTCCTCTGTTTGAGTCCATCCATCAGCATCCCTACAATCTGATCAACGTTCTGTAATGCTTCAATCACCTGTTAAACAACAGAGATTATCCTTTTAAATAAGCAAATTAAACACTTGCAATATCCTAATGCACTCAAAGGCAATTTCTTTTCAATTCAGTCCAGCTGCTTGCAGAATGCACACTCCTTCCTTAGACTTTATGCCTCAGTGATGCTAATCCAGAATTGAGAACATTTCTTAGATTGGTATGAAGGGCACCTGGGCAGTTAGCTATAAGTATGTACACTTCAATGCACTGACAAAGCGCTGCTCACTGACCTCTGACAGCACTGGGATGTAAATGAAGTGGCACTCTTACCTCAGGACACACTTGCTTTTGTGTTCAAAGGTAGGGTCTCCAGAGACACTATTATTTTCCCATGGTGGTTGGGCTGAGCTGATAGGCACCACAGAGGGCACTATAAATTCCAGAAGGCTGGACAATTCTGATCTATGCTGAACTACTTGATCTCAGCTGGGGCAGCATTTGAGTCTCTACAATTAGCCTCAATACTCCTGAGAAGAGGGGGTGGGGGGATTAACTAAGGTTCCTGCTCCTGATCAATATCCAGTGACTCAAGATGGAAAGAGCACATGCATGATTTTCAGGAAACGGTAAGATCAGACAAGTTCACTCCACCCAACAACAACAAGATTACATTTGTATAGCGCCTTTCATGACGGGAGGACGTCCCAAGGTGCTGGACAGACAGAGTTTTGGATCCGAGCTGAGGGTCGGGGTGGGGGAGGGTGGAGGGCAGTGGGGGAAGCAGGGAGATCGAAAGCACGATTGAAGGGGAAGAAATTGAGATGGATCTTGAAGGTGGCAAGGGAGGAGATGAGACGGAGGGATTGTGGGATGGAGTTCCAGAGGGTGGGTGCAGAGTGGTGGAAGGCCTGCCTGCCGATAGTGGGGCGAGCAAGGTGGGGGATGTGAGTTCAATTGACTGATGAGTACATTAAACAAACATTTGATAGTAAGAAGGATTTTCTGTGTTATTTCATTTTCTCATTGCTATAGTAACAAATACTCCAAATCAAGGAACATTCGTTTAAAATTTTCATAAAATAAAAAAAACTTACTCCACCGCTAACGGGTCCAAAGTTATGTCCTGATGAATCCGGTTCCTCCAAATATATAGTATAAAAGTTTGGCCTGGTTTTACAAAATTACACATTTTAGTGTAGCAGCATGAGATGTTTGTGAATATAAATTTAAATTATAAATATAAATTTTTTAAAAGTTACTACAGACAGATGTACAAGATTGAGTATAAAGAAAGATTACCTCTCAGAGTCTGGTAAGCTTAACCACTTTAGGACAGTGAATACTCTTTGTTCAAATGAAATGGATCTGAAATACATAAGCAGTTCCATTGAAAAGTAAACGGCAGTGGAGAGATTAGTCACTAATAAATAATATAATAATAATAATCCTTGCATTCTAGGCGTCTCAAAGCTCTTCACAGAATATACTGTAATGTGAATTGATTGTATATTTGTGGTCGAAAAGTAGCTGACAATTGCAAACAGCAGTGTCCCATAAACAGTCGTGGTTTGAAGTGATCAATTTATAATTTTTTTTTCTTGAGGGTTTATTATGAGGCGTGTCGATTAAGGAAACTTGCCCAAGGATTCGCCCTGCCGGGAATCAAACCCAGGTCTCTTTTTTATTTACCAGCACTGTGACAGGACAGTGCACATCATAATCATAAGAAATATCACCATATTACAAAAATGTCATTCATCATACAGCTTTCATGTGCTATAGGAATAATGTTCCACTATTCTGCGCTTTTCTCCAACCCCTCTGCATGGTCAAAGAGATAGGTTTTCAGAAAGCTGTTGAAGACATATAGAGAGGGGGCGAGAAGGAAGGGTTTAGGTAGGGACATTTTCTGTTAAAGCAGTGAATCATACAGTTGGAAAAAATGTACAATTGAAAAGTCTAAATTGTTAGTGTAATGAGTGGGAGTACGCGATTGGATTAGCTCATGGGCAGAAAAATACTAGCACTGGTTGAGCTTGTTCAAACAATGAGCTTGTTCAGTTTTTGTGCTGTGACTTCAATATGCACTTATATAGCACCCTCAACGCAGGGTTGCATCTCAGAGCGCTCAACTGTAACGCAGCCTGACTTTGAGCCGGGTGGGGAGGTGACCGTGAGCATTGTTGAAAAGGAAGGTTTTCAAGCGGGAGTTGAAAAAGGGGAGAGAGGGGGCAAGTCGGAGGGATTGATGGAGAGTGTTCCAGAGCTTCAGGGCGTAGTGGCTGAAAGCGCGACCTCCAATGGTAGAGCGGAGGGTCAGAGGGACAAGCAGAAGGCTGGTGCCAGTTGAGCGGAGGCGCCGGGTGGTGGATTGGGGAGTGAGGAGGTTGGAAAGTGCCAGGGAGTGAATAGATTTGAACACGAGTGTGAGGATCTTGAAGTCGATCCGTTCAGTGATGAGGAGCCAGTGGAGCCTGGCCAGAACTGGTGAGATGTGGGTACGAAGTTTGGTCCGGGTAAGTATGCGGGCAACAGAGTTCTGAATGAGCTGAATTTTTTGGAGGTGGAGGATGGTGGTCCTTGTCAGGGACCGGATGTGGGGGAGGAAAGACAGCTGGGGGTTGCTAGATTGCGCACGGTTCAGTGAGTCTGAGGGAGAGCCTAGGGAGGTTCTGGAGTTCAGATCTGCAGGAGGGAAGATGCAGGTTGGAAATGGGACAGTAATGTGAGAGGTTAGAGGGATCAAGGTGTTTTTTTGTGAGGAAGTGTGTGATAACAGTGGTTTTAAGGGGGAGTGGAACAGAGCCTGAGAAAAAAGATGGGTTGACTGCGTCAGCCAATAGGGGGGTGAGGGTTGAGGCAGCAGATGGTGAACTTCATGTGGATGATTGCGGTTGAGAGGGAGGAGGGAGAAATGGGGGCAGAGGAGTGCCATTCTAAGGGGTCAAAATTGCGGTATTCCCAAACATATTCCATTCCTTATTTGAGCCAAAGGTGTTGAGAACTAGCAAACATCATGTTTGGATGGTTTAATAGCTCTCATTTTCTGGAATTAGCCACAGTTTCTGGGATGGACAGAACAGCTCTCACGTTGTTGGATTATATAGATATTTCTCATTTTGTGAAATCAATGGACCTTACTCTTTGAGATGGGTGGTAAACATCTTACATTATGGGTTAATTTGGATAAACCTCTGGGATGATTGGGATTTCCCTCATTTTCTGGGAATGTTAGGGTAAACCTCAGTTATTGATTTCTTAATAAAAAGAGAGAAAATCACCCTCATAATAATATCAACCTTCACTTTGTCACCCCACCCCGAACCAAACCTGTATTTTCATTAGCAAAAGATTATACAGTTTTTTTAAAAAAAATCACTATATATGCATGTATCCCTGTAAACCAAAGCCCCTACAGGTACATAAAAACATAAGAAATGCTAGATGAAAAAAGACCAAGGTCCATCTAGTTTGCCTTCCATCTTCCTGGGGGTCGCATGCATATATTGCCCAAACTACCTATGTACTATATCAGGTAGTGTGCTCTTTGCTGGACAAGCTTTCTTTCCATTGTTCACAATGCTTTCTTCTGCAATCATAGTATTGTTTGCCAAAACAAGTTACACAGTTCTAGCTGGTTACACACTGGCAGTGGCAATCTCGGTAGTTGTGTTTGGAGACTCCTAAGCATGGTGTTTCCATGCTTAAGCGTCTCCAAACCAAATGGGTTTCCATGTGTGTTAGATACCCATCTGAGGAGAAATAATGTTTGTATTGTTGGTAATACTTCATCAGTCTATTAGTCCTCCCACCTCCCTCTCTCCCTGGCTTGGAGTCAGTCTCCACCACTGTAAAGCGCTCCGGGAAGCTACCTCGCGTGAAAGAGGACATATAAATGCAAGTTGTTATTCTTGTGATCAGATTTTGCCAGCTCGAACCTTCCCACATGCAGCAATCTGGATTGTTCTATCTATTTCCAATACTTACTTATTGAATATTTCATATATGTTTGGAAATGATCCATTTACTTTAACATCAGACCCAGGCCAGAAGAAAGTACCAGCCTTCAAACCCTGGTACATAGCTGTCAGCCACACCTACAGAAAGAAAAAAAGTATACTTAAAACTTGGATATACCTTCAGATGTAGTTATACATTTAATTTCACATGATAGCTATTTCAACAGAGGGCTGGTGGTGCAGTGGATTTTTTTAAAGGTTCAACTTTGAAACCGTTCCTTATAGAATTTTTCCCACTTTTGTTAACCGGCATCAGTATCTGGTCTAGCGCAGGCCAAATACAAAATAAATCTCTCTCCACTTTGCCCCACAATATTGTGTTAACATCTGAACCATAACAGAGCATGCTTTCATCCATCAGTCTCAATTTTCAGTTCTTCCCTGTCATCCTTGTGAAATCTCTCATTTAGATCGCCTATTAATCAAAAAATTGCTTAACATGCACAGTATCATATTCTTGAACACTTTTTCAACCAAAATATATACAAAGAAAACCGCTGTATTCTTATTACTCACTGGTTGTCCTTGCCACCATCTGGGATCATTCTTTTCATTACCAGAGAGACTGAAGGACATTTTCAAATTAATATCATACATGCTATTATCAATAATACCATGTGTTTCAGGATACAATCCCTGAAAAACAAAGTTCACCATATTAAAGTGAAATTTCATTCAATCAATCTTTCATTATTAAAATTACTATTGTACCCTATTGAACAGAGTAATCATTACAGAGAAATGGAGAGACCTTGAAGAAGCTGGTTGGCCCATTTGATTTGATTCTTCCAGAATACCCACCTCCATTAATCTGTCTCTTAAATGAGTGCAGTGTCTTGACTTAATAACCCTTCCTCGTGAACTGTTTTTAATTTTCCTCTGAATAAAGAAATTCCTGATGTTTGTTCTGGAATTGTAATCCTCAAACTGTGCTCTCTTGTTCTGCTGTCCTGGCATCTGAGGTCACTTTCTCAATCCTATTTAAAATCTCATATGTTTCTCCCCTATGAGACATCTCCTTTCAAGATTGAAGAACCCTAGCTTGTCTATTTGTTGCATATAATTTATTCTTCTAACATTTGGAACTACCTTGTTGTTCTCCTCTGGGACTTGGGTAGCCCCTGCAATGTACTGTTACAGCATGACTTCTGGAGTTCATAACTAAACTGAACTTGTAACTTTCTGATCTGCATGCTGCCTGACTTGGTACTGCACCAGCTTGTGCTTGTACCTACTAGGCTACTGTTGGAGTCTTAATTCCTGAGAAAAGTAATAGAAAGTAGAACGGTTCAAACCCAGCACTTACTGTGACTATAGAATAGTGGTTAGGGAATGTTTTGGTGGGGTACATGGCTCGCATATACTTAGAATGTGTTCCACAGGTTTCTGCAATAAATTACATAAAGAAAATACATTAAGCAAGTCTAGTTTTAATTTCAAAACAATTTCACATCAGTGCAGATTGAGACACAAGCTACACATGAGATTAATGTTTAATCAAGCCATAATAATGAGTCACCCACTAAATTATAGCTCGGTTCTCTCACCCTATTCTAATAATAATTAACTCAGAAATTTATGCTAAAATTGCAGAAAATAATTTGACAGTTGTCATTTTCAGATACATTGAACAGTTAAAATTAAACTCAGTTTTAGTTTTTACATTTCTGAATGTAAGCAGAAGCCTGGTTTTGGAGAAATTCCTTAAACTTTTGTATACAGCAGGAAATACAGTTTTTTTTAGTAACAGGGTGACAGTCCTCCATCTCTGCCACATTGCCCACCTTCTTACTTCAAATGCTGCTGAAACATTCATGTTTTTGTCATCTTCCAACTCGATTTTTTCAATGTACTCCTCACCGTCTCCCCAGCTCCATTATTAACAAGGTCCAAATTACACAAAACTCTGCCGGCCATGTCCTCACCTATACCAGGCACCACACCCCCATCATCCCAGTTCTTGCCAGGCTCCACTGGTTTCCTCTTGCAGAACAGATCGATTTCAAGATCCTTACTTTCACTTTCAAATCGCTTCACACCTGACTTCCCTACCTCTGCAATCTGTTCACACTCCCACTCCTCCACCCATCACCTTTGTTAGTCTGGCTTGGGTGTTCTCATGCCCCTCAACCACTCAGCTCCATGATTGGAGGCTGTGCCTTCAGCCACTATGCCCAGAGTCTCTGGAACATGTTGCCTCAGCCCCTCCATCTTGCCCCCTCTTTGCTCGTCTTCAAATCACAACTGAAGACTTTCATCTTCAACCATGCCTTCAGTCAACCTCCCCTCCCTTTCCAGCTCAGCATCAAGTCATGCCATTGCTAAGGGCTCCCAGACACTAACTGCATGCAAGATGCTATATAAATGCAAGTGGTTGTTGTTCTTGGCAAAAAAANCATTTTGATGAAAATCAGTAATCCGTACTTATTGTGAAATTGTGTTTTAATTTACAAACTGCAACATTTTTCATTGCACAACTCCAAACAGCTGCCTTACTCTCAGATTGCCAGTAAATGTATGTGAGGAATTCTGGCACCAAGTAATACACTTGAGCAATATAACACATCCTGAAACGCAATATGGCACCACATTGTACACCAGCGTGGGATGCAAAGGTTATCTTTGGGCATGTGATTTGCACATGGGTCAACAACAACCTGCATTTATATAGCACCCTTCACGGCATCTTAGGTCATATATTTATGTAGCAATATGCCAAAAAGGGGAATAATTTTATCAGTCTCCAACTCATTACAAATTTCTTCTATTTTTGCCATTTTACTATGGAAATTAAAGTTATAACATAACATGTAGGAGCAGGAGTAGGCCATTCGGCCCTTCGAGCCTGTCTTGCCATTCAATCATGGCTGATTTTCTAATCTAACTCCAGTTTATACTATAACCCTGCCTTATCCCCATATCCCTTAATCCCTTTTGCAATAAGAAATATATCTATCTCAGTCTTGAATATATTCAAGTTAAACTTTCTATGTATTTGTGTTTTTAGAAAAAAATAAAACGTAGGTTTGCTTCAATTCAAGTAAGCTTATAGTGAGCAACATCCCACATTATTGCAATTATTAATAAAGTAACTCTGATATAGACATGAAACATGAAAGTTATGTAAACGCCAAAGTATTTTCACTGCAAAGGATAACGACTACATTTCTAGTGGATGAAATGTTTCTATTTATATTTCATTTGCATTTACTTACTGAGTTTATTGATAACTGGCATTAGTTTGTACCAGGTCTGTAAATACTCAGCTCTGAAGCCATCCAAAGAAAACAGTATCAAAGGTGGTTGAGTGAACCTGGAAGTGAAAGAGTTCATGTTATTCTAATGTTTTATAGCATAAGTTAAAATAGTGCAATCAGATACATGTCAGACCTGTTACTATTATTATATAAAAGCTGATAAAGCTGAAAGGCTGGTTGTACATAGGATTGTGCTAGTCTGAGCCTTAGCTTGAAAGGAGACGTTGGAGCACCAACTCATTGTGCTACAATGATGAAGCTTTGTACCCACAATGTCCCACATGGTGTAAAATGCCTTACAAGGGGGAAATAGACCTCTAAAATGAAGGCATAGGTTGGGCCCTTGTTTGTAGAACTCAACAAGTCCAAGGTTTGTTTTACAGTATTATACAATGCAAATCTACATTTATATAGCGCCTTTCACATCGGGAGGACTTCCCAAGGTGTTGGGAAATGTGAAGGGGTTTGTGTTATAAACCCCTTGTAAAGGGAGTGTAAAATGTGAGGGAAATGTTTGCATTATAGGACCCAAACACACCAATGTAATTTTATGGTTCTGCTGTTCATAATTCCAATCTCCCAAGACACACTGGGACATCACCCAGTTCTGAATGAGAACAGCATTTGAAATAAAAGAATTAGAGATATTACTCCCCTGTCAGGCCTCGCAAATGAATACTGAGCATTTAGTGAGGTACCTGAGAGTGCGCTAGTGAGAGTGAAATGCCCTACAACTTACAAATTGCAATATTAATATTTATATTTCTTACACTGTCAAGCTTAGTAACTCCTCAACCTAGTTCTCCAATTATTTCATGAGCCCTTTCAGCAACTGAACCATTAAATAAGTTATAAATAAGCCATCTTTCTCTCATTATGCCTATTGTACCTGCAAGTAATATAGTGAAACATAGGGAGGGAAATAAATCCTACTTAAAATAAGACCATAAAGGGTTTAAGCATCAATATGTGACCTCTGTCTTTTTTGTTTGCTGTTTCTTTTATGATTTAGAAATGGGTCTTGTGGGTCTCTCTGGCATTGAAATTGGTCTAATATCCTTCACTTAGTATTCCATGCTCTGGTGCAGTCAAAGCATTATTGACCAAGAGCAAACCATCTTCACAGCGGAACATAAAGAATCAGTTAGTATGGCTGTGATTTACATCTCCTCACAAAACTGTCATAAAACTAACTGTAAGCTGGGTATGTATGGTAAAAGTGAGCAAAAAGGCCCAAACTAGCTAATCTTTCTTGATAGCAGTAACTTGTCAGCCCTGGTATAATTCTTGTAAACCTACACGGTACTCTTTCCAAACTGATATATCCTTCTTATAGTATGGAGACCAGAACTGGACACAATACCCCAAATGTGGTTTTGTATAAATTCAACAGCCCCTCCTCAGTTATATTATTTCCTTTGTGTCCTCTATAAATGGAATCTTGTTATTGTTGTTGTTCCTTTGGGTATAAAGGCCAAGTCCCCATTGGCCTTTTTATAGCTTTATATAACCGTGTTGCTACTGCTAGAGAATTGTGGATCAGTATCCACATCTAGATCTCTTTGCTCCGTCTTTATTTTTTCTCTGCCAAAGTGAATTACTTCACATTTTTCGGCATTAAACATGATTTGCCATCTCTCTGCTCATTCTGCTAGCCTGTTTATATTTTGCTGCATTCTTCTACAATTCCCTGCACTATTTACCATGCCCCTCTCCCCCCTCCCAGTGTGGTGTCATCTGGACACCACACCTCCAATACATGAATCCAAATCATTTACATGTATGGTGAACAGCAGTGGGCCCAATACAGACCCCTAGGGAACACCACTTCCTAGATTCGGTTTATCAACTTTTTTTTAAAAATAGGTATTACATTGACCATTCTCCATTGGCCATTCTCCAGTTCTCTGGCATGATTCCTTTCTCTACTGTGTTCTTAAATACTGTATATATATTAGAGTCTCAGGTATCTCCTCCCTATGGATGCAGTCTATCTGGGTCAAGTGCCTAAGCTTGTGTAATTTATTAAATACCTCCCTTATCCCTATCTTAACTGTTGTAAATTTTACAGCTCACCCCTCCTGTTCTTACTAAATTTTCTTTTATTAGTTTATTTTGTGAAAACTGAGGCAAAGTATACATTTAGTATTTCTGCCAATTCCTTATTATCTGCTATGAGATTAAGCCCTTCTCACCTTTATGGTCCTAGTTCGACTTTGGTCCTCCCGATGTAATTTTATTGTTGCTGTTGTTATTGTTGTACTTTAACCATTCTTTTATTTCTAACATGCCTACAGAACATACATCTCCTGTGGCTCAGTGGTTAGAGCACTCACTTTGCAAGCGAGAGACCTGGGTTCATTTCCAGGCAGGGTGAAACCTTGAGCAAGTTTCCTTACTCCACACAGAGCCTAATAATAATCCCTCCAAAAACCAAAAACAATAATAAATTGGTCATTTTCAATCTACGACTGTTTGTGGGACATTGCTGTGCGCAATTGGCTGCCGTGTTCGCCCACAAATATACAGTCAATTCACTTTACAGTGTGTTCTGTGAAGCGCTTTGGGACGTCCTCCTGACATGAAAAGCGCTATATCAAATGCAAGGATTATTATTATTATTATTATCAAGGACCTTGGTCCTTTTCTTGTCTATCAGTTTGCACTTTGGCTTCTGGAAACTTGAAAATGACTGTTGAGATCTTTAAGATTGGGTCAAGTTGCAGTGATTAGAGGATCAGAGTAAGGACATCATTCCATAATTTGTTGCAATTTGAAGGGCAGAACACCATGAAATTGTTGTTGTTGTTGTAATTCGAAGTAGATCAAGCTGACCCACAGGAAATCTCCTCCAAAAGTGGATAATGTCGGAGTGAAATTCCTATGGATCGATGTGACGTATGTCCGTTTTCCTTATTAAATAATGCAAATGTGAAGATTGTGACTTGTGAATGTGTTAAGACAAGATACTGTCTTAACTTAACAAAAAACATAATTTTAAGCCTTTATCCTGCTAAACAACAGTCCAACGTCACAATCTGAGAGCTAGCATTCCAAAGCGCAGCTTCAAATGAAAACATTGTGAAGGATTCAGAGTACCCACAGCCTGGTCATTATACAACAGGGATAGTGATTTTATTCTAACAATATTTTAATAAGCACTATTGTAAGCCCCTCCCCCCTTCCGTTTGAAATCATCACATTGTAAATCCTAAACTACAGTGAAATTACCTCCGCAAAGCTAATCACCTCTCTTGCCAGACAAAAGTAATAGTAGTAGCGAAGCAAGGAATGTAAAACCACAGAACGATAGAACTTTGTAACACAATAAGGAGTCCATTTAGCCCATTGACTCCCCTCACCCCTGGTCAATTAAAAAAATACCCTGTCAGACATCTATATTTTCTTTATAGTACAAGTTAACTGTTAACTGCTCTGCACAGATCCTAAAACTCCACAATAATCTGTAAATAAAATGATTTGGTTAAGATATTATTTGTCCATTTTCATTAAATGCCTGTCGGAAGGCTTGTCATGTTCTATTCGTAACATAGTGTTGAGTCAATGACTTCACATATAAGAACATAAGAACATAAGAATTAGGAGCAGGAGTAGGCCATTCGGCCCCTCGAGCCTGCCCCGCCATTCAATAAGATTATGGCTGATCTGCAGACCTAACTCTAATTACCTGCCCTATCCCCATATCCCCTAATCCCTCTGTTTTTTTTAAAAATCTATCAGTCTCAGCCTTGAAGATGTTCAAGGACTGAGCATCTACAGCCTTTTTGGGTAGTGAATTCTATAAATTCACTACCCTCTGAGTGAAGAAATGTTTCCTCAACTCTGTTCTAAAAGGCTGACCCTTAATTTTAAGACTGTGACCCCTGGTTATAGATTCAGGGGAAACAGACCCTCAGTGTCTACTTTATCCAGTCCTTTAAGAATCTTATATGTTTCAATAAGATCTCTCCTAATTCTTCTGTACTCTAGAGAATATAGCCCTAATTTATTCAGCCTATCCTCATAGGTCAGTCCCCTCATCCCAGGAACTAACCTAGTGAATCTACGCTGCACCCTCTCTAAGGCAAGTATGTCCTTTTTTAAATAAGGAGACCAAAACTGCACACAATACTCTAGGTGTGGTCTCACCAAGGCCCTATACAGTTGTAGCAAGACTTCCCTACTTTTCTACTCCAAACCTTTTGCAATGAACGCTAAAATGCCGTTCGCCTTCTTAGTTGGAGTCCAGTAGCTCAGTGGTTAGAGCACTCGCTTTGCAAGCGAGAGACCTGAGTTCAATTCCAGGCAGGGCGAAACCTTGGGCAAGTTTTCTTACTCCACACGCCTAATAATAATCCCTCCAAAACAAAACAATAATAAATTGGTCATTTTCAATCTATGACTGTTTGTGGGACATTGCTGTGCGCAATTGGCTGCCGCGTTCGCCCACAAATATACAGTCAATTCACTTTACAGTGTGTTCTGTGAAGCGCTTTGGGACGTCCTCCCGACATGAAAAGCGCTATATCAAATGCAAGGATTATTATTATATTATTACTATTAGTTGCTTGCTGCACCTGCAAACTAACTTTTTGAGACTGGTGTACAAGGACACCCAAATCCCTCTGCACACTAACACTATCTAATCTCTCCCCCTCTAATTTTTTTTTTAATCCTTGCATTTGATATAGCGCTTTTCATGTCGGGAGGACGTCCCAAAGCGCTTTACAGAACACACTGTAAAGTGAATTGACTGTATATTTGTAGAAAATAATCTGGTATAGAATAGTATCCCTTACCCTGCAGGACATTTTGGAGTAGTGATATCTTCGCAGTAATCATCAGCCCAGCGATTCTCCTCTACACAGGGAGAAAAATCATTACAATTAGCTGTGTTTAAACAGATGATTACATTTTGAAATTCAGATCATGCAATTCCATTATGATTAAAGACGGTTCTTCCCATTTGAGTCACACAGTTCTGTATCCATAAGAAGTAGCAATTTCATTGCATCTAATACATAGCACACACAATTCAGGTTTAAATTGCAGAATATCTGATACTGCAATACAGGACCTCATGAAAAACTGTCCTCCTCTAACATTCAATGGATGTGATGTAACCGGGTTTCTTAGTGGTAACTCAGTTACTGTTATAACCTGCTACCTGGTACTCGAATCTTAGATGGCATTAGTTATGTTAGTTCTTGGACTGTCCACTACAATAATATTGGTCTTTTTATCCTAACATGGAGGTAGGTCCATGAGAACGAGAAGACTATTGAGCTGAAATTCTGGTTTGCATTAGACCTTTGCCAATGTCGGCCAAGAAAGGGATTTCACCCATTTTATCCCAAATATTGTCAAAGGTACTATTGCATAACCCCTCCAGGAATTTCAACCTAAATATCAATTGTAATATATTTGAAATCTGCAGCCTAGGTAACCCTTCTCTTTCTTTCTAGTTTTGAGGCAGTGCACAGGTGCACACAAACATGGTGACATTACAAAGTAAAACTGGAGAAAGAAATGGAAGAAAACATGGTTGAGGACAGGAACATGCTCAACTGAGAAGCACCCGTACACCTTTCCCAAGATAAATACCTTGCCAATCTGCACTAAAATGCTTTGAGACATTTTGACGCTATAGGCACTATATCAAATGTATGGTTTATGTTTATTTTATTATAAGTTCTCTGTTTGAAGTTCCTTACTTTTGCAAACGGAAGAATAATCAGTGCAGCAATCACCAGCCTCTAAACAATCATCAGAGCACGAACAGTGGCTTTCGGGTAAACGTTTCTCTCCACAGCGGAACTTGCTGCATGTCCAGAGTTGAGCTAGAACACAGAAATACCCAATTAACCCTTGCCTTAATACACAATATTATCATGATAACTGATGTACCAAATTTTTCAATGGTTTACATGAACTCAATTTTACGAGAATAATTAGTCTATTATTCCATTAACTACATATGTTTTGTATATTGCTGGAGCTCTAAGTGCACACTTACAGCTGACTGACAATAAAACTACCAGGTGCTTATATTTGCCAGCATAGAGCTAGCTGGATGTCAGCATTTTTTGAATCAGACAAGTGCAAAATATTCAAATCCAATTTCATATTCTTATTCAGGTTATATGGTTACTGCTCATCTGAGGTTATGTCATTAAGGCTCGCAGTCAAATTATGGGGTTCTTTACTTAGGTTGTAAGCTACTTTAGCTATTCTGAACCTTGTAGATACAAAAGTATTTCCTTTTGAAGTGAATCAAATTCCAAATTTGGTCCTTTAATGCACAGGACAGTGTAACATTACGTGTAAATGAATACTCACTTTTTTTGTGCTGTCAGAAAACCATTGTCATGCTAAAGAGTATCCAAACTTCAGAGAGATCTATATACACATAGAAATTTCCATTTGTCTGACATGGAATGTGCACTCTCTCCCTGGTGACTCCTCACCTAATCCCAGAAATTATTAGGATACAGGTTGCAAAAGCCAAGGCTTGGGTCTCCCAAGTATGTATTGGGTACTGCCAGAGATTAACCATCTAAATCTGCACAGTTTGCAATTGCAAACACTGAATATCAGGCATCACAGGGTTAACAGGAGTCAACAGGGAAGATGCCTACCTCCAGTAATTGGGCTGCTCTTGCAAGTCGTACTGACAAGCTAGACTGTTTAGACTAACCTCAACAGTGTTTTGGAGTACTGTAGTCCTATCTGGTTCAGGAACTGGACGACCAATATGGCCACAAAACTTCAACTTGATTCCAGTATTCTATTGCCAGCCCCTTCACCTTGAAGCCAACTTAGCCCAAAAGAGACCCCACTTACGTCAAACAAAAATGTCTGATTAGACATGAGCCAAGTGTAGGTTCCAGCCCTCACTACATGGGTAGCAGATACCAGAAAGTCCTTGTGGGCTGCATGGCAACCAGCACAATTCAGTATTTGCACCAAATCTCACCAGCACCTAATTCCACGTTGCACTTTCTGAACTCACTAGAAGTGAACCTGATATCTGCAGTAATTAGAACCATCCTTATCATGGATACAAACACAGGATAAACAACAGGTTTATGTGTCTGTTTGTGTCTCTCTCTTCTCCAATTGTCTCTGTGTTTTGTGGGTGTATTTTTCCCTCTTTCCCTCTCTGCCTTTCTAATTAGCTATGTTTCTCTCTCTAATATCTTACATTTACATGCTAGGTCAGATCCCTCCACCTCACAGTCTCAGTTTTCCCTCCATTCAAAATGCAATCCTGGACCATGAATCAGGAACAAACAAATTCTTCTCTTCGGTGAAGCCATTGTGGGTGGTCCACATGGACATCTCTCTACTGGGGCAGAATCAGCAATGTAGATTAGTGTGATATGTGGTGGGCCAGGAAAGAGGGAGGAACCAAAGCACACAGGAAACCTCTATGTACACTTACCAGACTTCCGTACCAGGACCCTGGGCTGCAGTGAAGGCCTTTTTCAGGCCATTTGCAACCCACAAGCCATAATTTTGGTACCTCTGCTGAATTTGATCTAGAATCATGGAATAATAAAATATTATGGCACAGAAACAGGCCATTCAGAGTACTACATTTACACTGGTGGCTTTCTTCACATAAGATAGTCCAATTCCATTCTTCTGCTTGCTGCCCATACCCTTTAATTGGGTCGAAATTCCAGTAAATTGGTGCTGCTAGAGTAAAGGAGGTTGGGTGCCTTAATCATAAATTTAGTTGTACAAGTGCACACGAGTGCGATATTATTCCACGTGACTGATAGTTTCTGATTGGTTCAGAGTTATGTGTTCTCAGCATACCTAATGTACATGTTTGCAATATATCAAATTCAATGGGAAATAACACTATGCCTAGTGCTGGAAGAGATGCTAAAGAAAGGACTTCACAAAGAAGGACCAGATTCATCCATGGTTTTCAGATGGTGTTGACGAAGGATATAATAGAATTCCAAGAACATCTCTTTGCGGTTCCTGTCCACATTGCTGTTCCTAAACCCACAAGGCAGCTGATAGATGAGCAAGACACCCCCAGAATCTTCTTGGAGGTCAGGAAAAAGTTCAACAACCTCGAAAAGTTGCAATTGATATCTTTTATCTCCTGGAATTAATGTTTTGCAGCCAGAGCATTGAAAGGTTTTGGTTCTACCATGATACTGAAAGGAATCTCCATGACTGAGTGTCATTTTGTAGTAACAAGAATCTTGGAATGGAAAATATTATACTAGACTGTATATTAAATATTGATTTTTCCCTAAAATGAAACATTAATGAGAATGCTGCAAGGAGAAAGGAGATTGACCTATGAACAGCAGGTTGACTGACTCCTTCTGAGTCTGACTGAGACTTTAAAAGGAGCCAGTAACATAAAAATCGAGGGCAATGATCACCTTTAGGTCAATGGACAGCAATATGCTGGCCCCATTGCACAGCTGCAATGCTGGCCAACCCTTGTGGGCCAGCTCCAGGACTGTATCATTGGGCAGATGCAACTTTGGAAGGTTTCGCTCCTATGTCATGTCCTTGAATGTTCTTCTAGGCCAGTAACACCCATTTCTGGGGGAACACTCCGTCTCCCTGAACTGAATGTGGGCATGCCGCTGCCTTTATGCTGCAAGTTCTTCTGCCACATTCTTGCAAAGCCTTCTGGCAAGCTTTTAGACATTGTGACAATTGGTGTCTTCATCAAAACATTAGGGCAAGAGCATCTGCACCAAGGAGGAATAAGGGTAGGGCACACATATGACCAAGGTGTTGGTGCCTTTGACAGTTCCGTAAACCAGGGATAACAAATGCCTTTAGAGGTCTTTCCAACATAACAACTTACTCCCCACCAGGCTGCTTCTGCAATAGATGCTCCTTGAGTGAACTTTTCAGTGGCACCCTCCCTGTGGTGGCAGCTCCAGCTCCTCTGTTGGCAACCTCCAAAAAACAGTTGTGTGCACTACTTCTTGTCAGTTGTAGATATACGCTGTTCAGATCGCATTCAAAATGATACCATCTGATTTGTGAACAACTGACATATCCGGTTCGTGGAAATTAAATGGAGGACATAATTGATTTGGTGCTAGGAACACATCAACCAAAAATGATGCAAAAAAAATTGGGAGGAATTTTGTATCAATGTTGATGTGCACCATCCACATTTGCACTTTCCAATTTACACAATTATCACAATTTTGCAATGCAATGCACAGAATTTCACCCTAAATATTCTTTTTCAAGCATCTATCTAATTTTCTTTCAAAAAACATTTTGGGACTATGCTTGAAGCTGGAATTGCTTGATCCTGGGGTGTCCAAGATGAAAAAGTGTTCCAGTTCCCAGAACTAACATCTCTCAACTTGATAAGCACGTTCACCAAAAATAGTTGAAAGAAGTACGTCACCAGGATCTTTTCTTTTCAATGACAATTATGTGAAGTGAGTAAGAGCAAGAAGAGAAAGAATGGCCAGCCCCAGCTCCGGCTCCTAGAAAACTCTGGAAAGCGCATTAAGATTTCCTCCTGACGCTCTATAAATGTAAATTGTTATTATTGATATCGTTGTAGTAAAATTATTTTGTAAAATGAAACCATTTCCCTGCAGAACGAAAGAGATGTCAAAGATCTTCAATTGAGAAGACGTGAGAGAAAAAAAATGATAGAAGGAAATGAAAAATGCCTTTTTAAATGCACGTACCTGGCTGGAGACAGATTTCTTCAAAATCCCAACAACAGTTTCCAACTTCCTTGCAGAGACTATCACAGCGACAGTCCCTTGTTTCAACATCAAAGGGAGTGTAGCATCGTTGCCTGCAGCTTGCTGAAAGCAATACAGCAAGAATCATGGCATGAATTACTGACAGATGACACCATAGCTTGATTTACCAACTCCTATTCTTTTTCAAAGAGCACATTGAATGTAATGGGACCTTAATCTTGACTACATTAAGGTTAATCCAAAGAGCATCACACCCACTGGCTAACTTCCTTGTGTGGTGTAGTCCTGAATGTTAGACATCACAAAGTTGCTAAGGAATGTGAGATACATGCATGGAGGAATAATTAACTAATACCTAGCAGCATGTCAGAAACATGGCAAACTGCAATGGTCCTGGCCATTGTGCTCACAGTATGCTAAAGACAATGCTGATTAGGGTGGAGGCTCCCCCATGTGGGACTCCATCTTTAAAGATCCCACACACTAGATTCAACGCAATTCTAGTGGATATGGTAAATGTCACAGAGTTGGAATGGGGAGGGGTGGGAGGAGAACAAATCCTCTTTTAAGGCTGGTGCGAAACCACATTGGGGTTATTCTGCTAAACTGGTGAATTGTCGCAAATTATTGTTTGTCTGGTTGAAGTAAGAAATTTGATTTTCAGGACACCCCAGGTAACAATCTCCAGCAAATAATTTCAGATTCAATTGGTAAATGGGAACCCTGGTTTAACACCCCTACCCACCCTCCTACCCACTGGTAGAGTGTTGCTTCACTTGTAGAGACGCGGACTGATCGGAAGCACGGTATACCCGGCTTCTGATGCTAAGCTTGTGCTAAACAAATGCCTGAACTCCAGGTTGTCAGATTGCTGTCACTGTGATTGCATGCATGTGCACTATGCACAAGAAGTGACCTCATGCCACAACAACAACCTCTTGTGTTTAAACAGCATCCTTTGCATAGTATAACGTCTCAGAGTGCTTCACAAAGACAATGTTGGATGCAAAGCAAGAGAGAAAGAGATAGGGAGGGTTACCATAGGTGCAATCAAAGATGTAGGTTTTAAGATGGGTATTAAAAGACTTCTGATGGTTTTTTCATCCCCTGACAGTGGTGCAATGTGGGGGCAGGGGATGCGAAGCACATCTGTGTTAGCTGACGGGGTTGGGAGTGAGGGAGACTGGTAGAGGAGTGGGGTACGAGCAGATCAGAGAAATACGGAATTACTAGCGATCGAACATTTATACGTAAGCTTGAAGTCTGACTTAGAAACTGGGAGATTTGGAAGTTAGCCATTTTTCAGATTTCATTTTCATAGCGTATTACAATTAGTTATTGAAATTTAGTGGAATCCTAGTGACTAAGACTGGAATAACTGGAATAATTCTAATCCCAATTAGAATTAAACAAATTTCTTCTGAACCCTTGCTCTCTTCACAAACCTTTTTATATCTTCAGTCTCCCACTGTTCATTTATTGTGAGGAAGATGATTTTGAAGGTGTTACTCCTAATCCATTTAAACCAGTCACCTCAGCAGCCTTGCTGTAGCACACTTCCCCCAGCCCCCTCCGCCTCTCCTCCCCCACCCCCACATCCCCAGGAAGTACACTCCACACTTGCAAATCAAGTCTAACACTGGCGACATTGCCAGCAAAGGCATTTCCTTTTTCAGCATCATGGAGAAATTGAGTTTTTCCACTGAGCAGTCACTAACGGACTGACTCTAATCACTGAGAGACTACAAACCAACCACTTCATTGCCTTTTCCTACACTTTTGTGGTCAAAATTGCAGCATTCCTTAAAACATTCCATGTATCTGATGAAGTAGTTTTGATACAATTCAGTGAATATTGGCAGCAGTACTGCCTGTTAGCAAATAAAAAGGCCTAGACAATGAATCTTCAACAAAGCTGAGTGAGAGGATTCTCCAGAATTCAGAAACAGTGTTCACTCCCAAACTTTTTGTTGAGGACATATTTCACTTGTCTTTTCAGTTCATGTTATGATTATCACTAGTAATAATTAACTCTCATCGCATGTGTGCTTCGAAATGTTGTTTGAACCAATTGATATTTAGACACTCGTTTCCGGAAAAATAATAAACATAAAGCAAATTATTGTCACCCAGCCAATGCTTAATGTTGGTGCCAAGCTAATAAATTCCTTTAGACTGCAGCAGGGTTCTGCAGGGAGATGCAGCTCTGCCATATGTTTTATTAGCGGGCAGGCAGACAGGAAGCCCTGCTCAGCATTGATCTAGAGTCACTCTTCACAGCTAAGAACCAAACCTGTTAAATCCCAACAATGTCACCACGCACTGCGATCAACAACGCAGACAACAAAAGCACCTTCTTAAATAGAACTGAGTCGCACAGACTGGGTCTCAGATCCCACCCAATAAAATATACATTACACTTATATAGCACCTTTCTCATTGAAAGCCTACCTGCTGATGGTGAAATGCACAGGTTGGGGGACGTGAAGCAGACTCAATGAGTGAAGGGAGTAGCTGGGTCAGCAGGGTTTAAGGAGATTGCAGTGGCAGGGCATGGCTTGGAGGGATTTGAATATGAGGACGAGGATCTTGAACTGAATCGGCTGAGGGTTGGGTAACAAGTGGAGTCAAGCAAGGATGGGGGTGACATGGTCCAGGAGATGACACACACTGGCTAGTCTAGAGCTTGTGTAGGGAAGAGTTGGGGAGTTCAGTGAGTAAAGCATTGGTATATTTATGGTTGGATGTAATACAAATATGGATGCGGGTATCAGCAGTCCGAGGAGAGAGGTAATGACGGAAGCGAACAATGTTTTGAAGGTGGAGGGGCCGGGGGTAGAAGTTGAGTGTGTAAGAGCATTGGGATTTGAAAGACAGTTGAGAATCAAACAATACACCAAGTCCGTGCACTGACTGGGTGAGGTGGAATGTGCATCCATACAATGCAGGTTGACGTTGTCAGTGCCTCAGGTGAGAAGGCAGAATGGGTGCCAAACAGGAAAGCCTTGTCTTGTCAACTTTAGACTGAAGAAAGTTGGAGATCATCCAGAACTTGAAAATCTGTTAGGGTTTTAACTCTGAGAGCACCACCTCCAGGCAGGAATTTGATGTGATAAATATCACGTGGTCACGTGGAACTCAAACGTGACTGATATCTGGAGTGAATGGAGTGAATAAATCAATGTAATTAAACATTACCTGATATAGAATAAGACTGTTGATGCTTCAGACCAAGTCCCAGTCCAAGTCCCAAGGACACCACAACTAAGCACACAAGTAGTGACTGTAATAGAAAATTGATATCATTATCTCAACAAAATGGTGCAACAGGATAATGTACAATATGTCGACATAAGGGAATAACCCTTAAAATGAGGAAATAAATACATTGAAATATTATTTTCAATAATATATCAGCTTTATGTCATTGCAACTCATCCATTCACAAAATCTGCAAGATAATTATTACACCATTGTGACAAAACAATGGTTTATTTTGGAAATCAATGCACAATTCAGATCCATTTGTTTTGTATGTTACATTTAAAAGTCTTTTTGAAATTAAATAAGGTAATATATAACAGACTCGTGGCCAAAAACAGGGCATGTGGACTTAAGGGAGAGGTAGCAGAATGGATTGAGAGGTAGCTGGAAAATAGAAAACAAACAGTAGGAATAAAGCACAGCTCGTCTACGCTTTCATTATGTCCAAGCTTGACTACGCTAACTCCCTGCTGTTAACTTTTCTCTCCACAAGATGCAAATTATTCGGAACTCTGCAGCTTGTGTCCTCTACCGCACTCCATCCTGGAGCCCCTCTGCCTCACCCCCTCTCTTGCTTCCTTTAAGGCTCACCTCAAGAACTTTCTCGTCGACTGCGCCTTCAGTCATTTTTCCTCTTGACCCCCACCTCTCTTGACTCCAGCCCCCAGCTTGGGTGCAAACCCTTGACTGTTCAGCACCTTGGGATGGCTCCTGACATCAATGTGCTATGTAAATGCAATTGTTGTCGTTTCTCAGATTGACAAGAAGTTGGAATTGGTGTTCCACAGGGATCTGTACTAGGATTTTATCATTGCATATATAAATGATTTGGATTTAGATATAGGAGATATGGTGTCAAATTTCGCAAATGTCACCAAACTGAGAGGTATGCTTAGCAGGATTGCTAGGGAATGGAGGGAGATATAAATAGGCAAGATCACAGGATTGGCCTGGATAAAGAAAGCGCCTTTGGCCATCCGATCTCATCCCTCCAGATCACCCATCCTACCATTCCCCCCCACCCGCCCTTCCCCATTACTACATTAAGCTTCTTTTTAAATGAGTCTAGTGTACTGGCCTCTATCACCTTTACTGGTAACCTGTTCCAGTCGTTGATTACCTTCTGTGGATTGAAAAACATCAAGCTATCTGTCCTGAAATAGCCCTTTGCAACTCTAAACTTGTTCCTCTTGTTCTACTGTCATGCCCATCTTTAAGCCATGATCTGAGTTCACTTTTTCAATCTCATTTGAAATGTTATGTACCACTATGAGGTCCCCTCTGAGTCATCTTATTTCAAGACTGAAGAGTCAAGCTTGTCTAGTTTTACTTAAAGCTCATTCCTCTAACTCTGGGTATCATCCCTGTTGCTTTCAGCTGTACTGCCTCTTGGGACCTTATGTCACGGTGACAAGAACTGACTGCAGTTTTCAAGGTGTGGCATGACCACATGACAGCATGATGGTTTGGGAATCTAAACTCAACTGATTTAGGAATATAGCCCAGCAGCTTATTTTCCTTGTCTATTGTTTTGACATAGAGAGCGACAAGTAAACTAACACCCAATGAGATCTCTTTCAGCTTCCCCTTTGCCAAGTTCAATCCCATTCATATATGTAGTAAAGTCAAACATGTTTTCAGCAACCAGTCATGGGACTGGATCAAAGAGGCATCATGTAAAGGTGGCCTCTCAGTCAGGGTCCTTTGGTGTGTGTAGAATTTCTATGTGTGTAAGTGTATAGAAAAATACAGTGTACATACAAACCCATAAATCAAACTAGTTTTAATAAAATAATGAATAAATTACAAAATACAAATTGTTTCTGTGCCTGTGGGCCAAAACCTTCTGCGGGCCCACATGTAGACTCCGACTATACTACGGTGCGCCAACACCACATTGAGCAGCCCCCTGGACCAGATCTAGTTGCTGAAAAGGGTGTCAGTATACTGACAGGACCAAAAAAGAGTGGCCATTGGTTGTGTTAGACAGGTGATTGTTGAATAGAAGTAGTTTATTATGGAAAATTGTTCTGGATTATTCCCGGGTGGTTGTTGACCACAGATGGTTGCTAACAAGAGGTGGTTGGTTCACAGATTTGACTGTATCTTGCATTTATCAGTATTGAACTTAATTTGCCATATTACAGAATGGGTGGCTGGGGCAGATGAAATTTAATGTAGGAAAATTGTGAACTGATTCACCGAGATAGGAAGAGTAAAGAAGCTGACTATACCCTGAATGGTAGGAACCTGGGAGAGGTACAGGATCAAAACATCAATGTATTTAAGAGGAAACTGAATGCATACCTAAAGGAGAAGGGAATAAAGCGGAATGGGAGAGAGGGATAGGGGAGAGGGGGGGGTGGGGTTCTTATTTAGCTCGTATAAACATTGACCACAGACAAGTTGGGCCAAATGGCCTGTTTCTGTGCCATATCGTTCTATGCAATCCTGTATAAAACCTTGCATCATGCAAACTATGTTTCATTCACTTAAAGTACTGTAATCTGAATGAAAATGTCTTCATTCTTTAAAATTACAACTTCATCACATCATTTATAATTGAAAAATTACATTAAAAATATTCAATCGTAGCATCCTCATAATAGACATGGAAGTGGAGTCCTGTAGCTCAGTGGTTAGAGCGCTCGCCTTGCAAGCAAGACACCTGGGTTCAATTCCTGACAGGGCGAAACCTTGGGCAAGTTTCTTTACTCCACACGCCTTATAATAATCCCTCCAAAACAAAACAATAATAAATTGGTCATTTTCAATCCACGACTGTTTGTGGAACATTGCTGTGCGCAATTGGCTGCCGCGTTTCGCCCACAAATATACGGTCAATTCACTTTACAATCTATTCTGTGAAGTGCTTTGAGACGTCGAGAAGACGTGAAAAGCGTTATATCAAATGCAAGGATTATTATTATTATCCTCCTCGACTTATTATTAAACGCAAGGATTATTATAAGACTTGTGACATCAAAATATATTCACAATTTTTTATTTTGGTGCAAATAGTAAAGGGAGATTTGCAACTATAACTTGTATCTTCCACCCAAACCTGCAACAACTCGTAATTATATATAAAAAACACTAACTTTTTATCTTTTCTTTTGACAAGTGTCTGGTATGTCTGATATTCTCAGATAGTTTTTGCCTTAAATCACTATCACCAAACAGAATGTATCAAGGCTGTTGCAAAATAGTCTGATAATTGAGGAAGCTACAACATAAGAGAGACCACAATGTCGTTATACTGGTATTTACAGACTTTTTTTGACACAAGGTGGCGAATGTGTAACAGGTCTAAGTTTGCAGGAAAAAGCAAATCCTTGAATTTCAAAACCCTCCACAGCCTTGCACCATCAAGAGCCCTTCTTAATGAGGCAAGGGTGAGGAGGTTTTGAAATTCAGAACAACGATTTGCTTTGCCCTGCAAACTCAGACCTGCTACACGTTGCTCACTTTGGGTCCTAGGAGAGGTAGAGGAACAAAGCATCAATGTATTTAATTTCATCTCCCACCTACCTGCCATATTGGTGGCTCTCAAAATCCCTCTAACTCGCATCCTCCCTCCCCCACTGTCTTCAATGTCTTCTAAATCTTTAACCACACTTTTCGTCACCTCCCCACCCATCTTGCTCTTTTTTCCACACTATTTCTGTGAAGTGCATTGAGACATTTTCCTGAATGAAAGGCTCATATAAATGCAAGCTTTTGCTGTTGTTGGTATATTGTGGCTTGTGCCCTCTTGCCCTTTCGTGAAGTATTTGAATATAAAATGCAACAAAGCAAAAGCTTTGTACTGTTGTAAAGTCTAAAGTGAAAACTACAACACAACTTGCAAACACCCATTCTCTCGGCACACATTATCCAATCCAGAATAACAGTTGACCAATATGAATGAATGATTTCTACACATTAGTAATTACAACACAAAAAAACGATATAATTCACTTAAAGAATGGCTTTTTTCACCCCCTTGTTACACTCATGATTCAGTTCACAGGAGAGAATGACTCTATTCTGATAATGGCAACACATTTCTGAAAATTCAACTGCAAAATTGTTTTATAGTTCTCTTTTTACTTCACCCCAACTGGGGTTGCTGTCTTACTGCAGTTTACACCTATGTAAGTTTCCATAGGTGCCGGCCACTATCTGATTGCTCACCCAAGAAGTAATTCTTTATATCTGACCCCAATCAGTGCCGATAGTTCTGGATCCTGTCCTCACTCGATGTCTATGTAAAAGCACCTTCAAGCAGCAATCACTGGATACAGATCAACAGTAGGAATGCTGAGTGTATTTAACTTTCCTTAGCCCAAAGGTACTGAGGAAATTGTTGCACTGAACCACTGTCACTACTCTGTGTGAAGGGTGCAATATAAATGTAAGTTGTTGTTGTGGTTGTTGGTCTAAATCAACTAACTCAGCACAAATTGTGAAACAAACATGGGACCTCACCATTTATATTGTTGTTTTTAATGGATGTTACAGGCTATTTTGATAAAAACAGCTATTAATTTGAACCCAACAGACATATGCTGATTTAAAACATCCCAAGGTGTTTACATTAACATTGTGGTTTCACTTTTCTCAGCACTGTGATATTCGGGTGACTAAAGCTTAGGCTATACATATTGATATTATATGAAGTTTCTCTGTGTGACATATCGATGCCATGACACTATCCAGAGTCCAGCTATTCTAGATATCTATTATGGATTTCTATTTATTGGGCTTATCTAAACACATTCCTTCAGAATTAACCTTAAGAACAGGACTCAGCCTATGCCCTTTTGCCATCCTACCAACAGGGTAACACATCTCAGTTTAAAAACTGTCACATTCTTACTCCCTATAGTGAGAAGATGCACCACCAGATGTGATGCAAATTTTCCCCCCTCCCCCTCCCTCCAAAAATAGTGGACAAAACACTTAAATTAGTCTAGCCAATTGTAGAAATATATGGACTTCTAAAGATAAAACAATATAAGTAGGAACAAAGAGGAGGTATCCGTCACCACATATTCAATGTAACATAGCTTGGTGCAGTATTTTTAGAAAACAATAAAAAAAGCTATCTGCATAATTGTATATTATTTTAGAATTACTTTGATAAAATAACATTTGAATTATAAATATTCATATTTCCTTTGATTCTATTCAAACATTTTTTTTAGAACAAACTATAGCAAATAGTTTCTCTTCCTCTCAAGTAAGTCTCTCATCATATTAACCAAACTACAATCTTTTATAGAGAGGGAAAACGGAAACGGGAGTTGTTCAGTGTCCTCAGGTATATATTTTCAATTGAAAGCAAACCCTCTTCTTTGTTCAGTGAACTGCAATATTGTACAATACGACAATACAATTTCAAATACCAATTCAGGTGGATGTTAAGGATCCCATGGCACTATTCAAAAAAAAGGAAGGGAGTTTCACCCGGTGTCCTGACCAACAATCCCACAATTAAAAAAAATGGTTATTCATTTCATGCTGTTTGTGGACCACTGTCTTGCACAATTGGGCTGCCACATTCGTCTGCCAAATACAATTACACCACATTATGGTATATCCTATGAAGTTCTTTGACACATCCTCCAAATGTGAAAGGTGCTAAACAAAATGCAAGTATTATTATTTATTAGTAGTAGTTTTTTGTTGCATAAATTGTTCAGAGTGAGGTGCTGCGGTGAGCTCAGAAAATGTGCAAGATTATAATTAATATGTTAGGGTTTCTACCACCATATAGAGATGTTTTGGAAAAGTGTGCAAAAGTTGTAAAATTAATTATAATTATTTTCGATCACACCACTACTGTTGATCTGTTTTGGGTAATTTTTTTAATTTAATTTATTTAAGATACAATTGAATAGCTTATCCTTTCAAATGGTAGAAATCCAGGAAAATCCTGCAGGTTTTTTACTCCAATGTTTCTTAGATAGAGAATATTTATGTTAGTATTTATGTCCACGTATAGTATATGCATCAAAATATACTTCAGATACAACTTCCCATACATTTTTTCATACTTTACAGACCATACTGAATGGGATCATATCAATACATCCCAAATATATTCAATATTTAAGAAACACAAACTAAAAAAAACTCTTAAATATCTGCATTCACAGCCCTTATAATGTACTTACCAAACAAATGATTTTATATATTCGCAATTCTCTATTCTCCTTCTTTTCAACATCCTCCTGGAACTCCACCATGGGGTCCTCTGATCGATTCATCTTAATATTTTGCTTGTCAGAAACTCAAGAAGCAGCAAGCACTGAGCTGTAACTCAGAAATACACACAGGAAGAGTCTTTTGCTCCCTCTTACTCTGACACGTCCTTCTTGCATTAATTTCTTACTCCCACATACAGCCTATGAAATCACCAAATGCATAATTAGTTTCACATGACCTAACATGGTATAAAGATCATGATCTGAATGGCTTTACAATAATTACCAAACAAATCTAAGAGTCATAAATGTTACACATCTGCTGAAGCAATACTATTTACAAAAAGATTGTGCATGTTTGCGGTTGTGGTGGGGAGAAGGGGAAAGGGATGGGGGGAGAGTACATGCTATTTGAGAAGTATTACAGTATTTCTTCCCATGTAATAGTGTAAAGATCCCGAGTAGGAGAAATTTTATGCCACATTTTATGTTGATTTTTGTATTATTTGGACATTGTGCTTTCACTTCGTACTTTAGTCCGACAATCTTGTGAACTGATGTTATACTAATAATTATATCAGTATAATGATAATAATATATTCATTTGGTCAATTAATTGATGACTGTTTGTGGGACATTGCTGTGCATGTTTGGCTGCTGCGTTTCACCTACAAACCATACAGTCGATTCACTTCAATTCACAAGCTATATCAAATGCAAGGAATATTATTACTAGTATTATTATTATTAGACAGCAACTCTAGCACTGGCCAACATTTTGATCAGAAAAAATCATTCCCTGCTTTACAATGCTGCAGTGAGAATAAAGCAGCTTGTGAAAGCAGGAGTGGCTGGGAATGATCCATCCCCAATAGAATGCTCGCTGCAAGAGGGATAGTTGCAATTTTTTCAGGACACAGTAAGGACAGTGGAGGAAGATTGAGAGGAACAGGGGGAGATTTTGAAGAGCTGGAAGGATGTTTCAGAGGGATAGAAAAGATTGAGAAGATTTGGTAGGTCTCTCGAAGGTGGAGATCTGGAACAAGCCAGAGAATCAGGGGCATTCAATAGAGATTTTATCTTGGAAAAGGCATATCATCAACTCTTTGTTTTCAGCTTTCTTCCTTTCTCCCTTATTCAGTTCTCCTCAAATCGTACACCAATTCTGAGCGAGCTTGCATCTTGTTCAAAGGCCACCATCAATGTTATTCTTGATCAGAACTAGTAAGAGACATGTGATTCAGTGAAAAATATGGAGAACTGCCTTTCCTCAGCCTTCTCACAACAGCGGACGTACGATTAGCAACTCAACAGAATGGAAAACTTCATACCCTGTTGTGCGATACCACATCCGTGCCATGACCCGTTCGGCCTTATCCCACGTCTGCAACATTGCCCGGCTCCACCACTGTTTCTCCCCTCAGGCTGCCAATCATTCATGCATTCATCACATCTATGGAGTGCTGTAGCTCAGTGGTTACAACAACAACAACAACAAGATTCCATTTATAAAGCGCCTTTCACGTCAGGAGGACGTCCCAAGGCGCTGCACAGTTGGGTCATGACCCGAGCAGGGGGGAAATGGTCAGGGTGAGGGGAGGGAAGGGAGGGAGCGAGGAGGGGGGAAATGGTCAGGGTGAGGGGAGGGAAGGGAGGGAGCGAGGAGGGGTGAAATGGTCAGGGTGAGGGGAGGGAGGGAGCGAGAAGGGGGAAGAGAGTCGAGAGGGGAGCTGAAGGCTCGGTCAAAGAGAAAGGTTTTGAGACCGGCCTTGAAGGAGGAAAGGGAGGAAGCAAGGCGAAGGCACTGGGGGATAGAGTTCCAGAGCCTCCGGGCTGAGAGGCTGAAGGCCCGACCACCGATGGTAGGGCGGTTGGGGCGGGGGATGCGGATCAGACCGGAGCCGGAGGAACGGAGGGTACGGGCAGGTAGGTAGGGGGATAGTAGGTTGGAGAGGTAGGAGGGAGCAAGGCCGTGAATGGCCTTGTAGGTGAGGATGAGGATCTTGAAATCAATCCTCTGGGGGATGGGGAGCCAGTGGAGGCGAGCGAGGGTGGGAGTGATGTGGTCCCGAAGCCTGGTGCGGGACAGTACACGAGCTGCAGAGTTCTGAATGACCTGCAGCTTGTGGAGGGAGGTGGCGGGAAGGCCGGCGAGGAGAGAGTTCCCATAGTCCAGCCTTGAGGTGACAAAGGCGTGAACCAGGGTTTCAGCAGCGTGAGGGGTGAGGTAGTGCCGTAGTCTGGCGATGTTCCGGAGGTGATGGAAGGCGGTGCCAGTTGTGGTGCGGATGTGAGGGAGAAAGGACAGCTCAGGGTCGAACAAAACGCCGAGGTTCCTGACTGGCTTTGAGAGGTGGAGAGTGCAGCCTTGGATGCTGATGGTGTCGGCGCCTGAGGTGCGGAGGCGCTGACGTGAGCCAATCAGGAGGGCCTCGGTTTTTCGCACGTTGAGCTGAAGAAAGTTGTCTCTCGTCCAGGACTCGATGTCGGACAGGCGGCTGTCAGGACATCGGTGGTCGTGGAGTTGAGAGTAGAGGAGGAAAGGTAGAGTTGGGTGTCATCCGCATACATGTGGAAGTTAACTCCATGTCTGCGGATGATGTCACCGAGGGGGAGCATGTAGAGGGTGAAGAGGAGGGGACCGAGGACAGAGCCCTGAGGGACACCACATGAGACAGTACGGGGGGTGGAGGAGAAGCCATTCGTCGAGACAAAGTGAAGACGGTGAGAAAGGTTCGACCTAAACCACTCAAGGACAGTGCCTTGAAGGTTGAGGTGGGAGGACAAGCGGTGGAGGAGGATAGCGTGGTCGACCGTATCGAATGCTGCCGATAGGTCGAGGTTAGAGCACTCGCTTTGCAAGCGAGAGACCTGAGTTCAATTCCAGGCAGGGCGAAACCTTGGGCAAGTTTCCTTACTCCACACGCCTAATAATAATCCCTCCAAAACCAAAAACAATAATAAATTGGTCATTTTCAATCCATGACTGTTTGTGGGACATTGCTGTGTGCAATTGGCTGCCGCGTTCGCCCACAAATATACAGTCAATTCACTTTACAGTGTGTTCTGTGAAGCGCTTTGGGACATCCTCCCAATGTGAAAAGCGCTATATCAAATGCAAGGATTATTATTATTATTATTATTATTATTATTATTATTATTATTATTATTATTATTATTATTATTATTATTATTATCTAGGCTCGATTATGTTAATTCCCTGCTTGTCGGCCTCCTAAACTCTTCTTCCCACAAGATGCAGATCATCCTTGCTCAGTTACACTGGCTCCCCATTCCCCAGAGGATAGAAATCAAAATCCTTGTCTTCGCCTTCAAAGACCTCCATGGCCTTGCTCCTCCTCCTGAACATATTTCATCCTGTCCGCTCTCTGCCCACACTCTTTGGAATTCCATCCCACAGTTCCTTTGCCTTACTCTCTCGCTTGCCTCCTTCAAGGCCCGTTTCAAGACCCTTGTCTTTGACCGCACCTTCAGTCACCCGGTTCCAAATCTATAACTGTCCAGGACCTTGGGCCATCCTCCTGATGTGAAAGGAACTATACAAATGTAATTTGATGGTGGTGGTGATGCAGTAATGAGATATAATTGACGATAATTTTCTCCAATGAATTAATAGGATAAGATCCCACTTAACTGTGGTGTCATTCACAGTTGCCTGCCAATATTCACTACCCAAGTTCATGTCTGAACCCCTATTTGGATGAGGTAGCAGAAATTGGCTGGAGCCAGTTGAGTCATATTTTGACAAGAGTCAATGCCTTCATTGTATAGGTGCCAATGCTCAATGCATTTTGTCTGCAAAGTGCACTTGAACATTTGTACACCTGTACCTTCAAGTGAAATGTTGCCGATAGCTTTGTAACTTTGTTGAACTTGATTAATGTTTATTGTCTTTTCCATTCTCTGTTTGGAAAGGTAATGAGGAAGAAGGAATGTTCATTATCTAATGTTTTGACCAACAATCCTCAAAATTAAATTGGTCATTCATTTCATGGCTGTTTGTGGGACATTGCTGTGCACAATTGGGCTGCCGCATTCACCTACAAATAATAATAATCTTTGTATTTGATATAGCGCCTTATCACGTCTTCAAGATATCTCATAATATAACATAACATAATAACATGTAGGAGCAGGAGTAGGCCATTCGGCCCTTCGAGCCTGCCCAGTCATGGCTGATCTTCTAACCTAACTCCAGCTAACCTAACCCTGCCTTATCCCCATATCCCTTAATCCCTTTTGCAATAAGAAATCTATCTATCTCAAAGCACTTCACGGAATATACTGTAAAGTGAATTGACTATATACTGTGTAGATGAAATACAGTCACTCTATTTCAATAACTCACAACTTTATGTTGAATTTTCTAAATTCTCCAAGATCTTCATTTTAAGACAGAATTTCAAACCTGGCAACTAACAATAATAATTCTCGCATTTGATGTAAAAATAATGATGTACATATCAAGAAGACATCTCTAAATGCTTCACTGGATTTACTATAACCTGTGTGTATTAGTGGTTGAATGAGGCAGCCACATTGAGCAAGCAATATCCCACAAACACCCATGAAGTACATGATCAATTTCATCTGGGGGATTGCTTGCCAGAACACTGGACATTATACATTTTTAGTGTTTTATATTTTTCTTTTTTTTCACAAATAAGCTTTTTTGGGGGCTTCTTAAAATAGAGGAGAGGGCACGGCGGAGGGATTGAGGGAGAGTGTTGCAGAGTTTTGGAGCGTAGTGGCTGAAAGCATGACCTCCGATGGTGTGGCAGAGGGTGCGAGGGACGAGCAGGAAGCCCGTGCCAGTCGAGCAGAGGCGCCGGGGAATGAATGGATTTGAACACGAAAGAGAGGATCTTGAAGTCAATCCGTTGGGTAATGGGAAGCCAGTGGAACCTGGCCAGAACTGGTGAGATGTGGATTATTTGAATTATTGGGCAATCTCTGCCCTCTCAGAGAATTTGGGACAGCCCAGCCCAAAGGGCAGATAGCAGGAAATATCTTTAAGGGGGTGGCTGTATCAGGTTACCAGAAAGGGTGTTTGAAGCCAGGGCACCTGACTCATATCATAGCTTGAAGTGGTAATGGGAGGAAAGTGGGTTGGGTATTGAGTTGGTGCTGAGATCAAATGGCCAAAGTTTGCTTCGTCCAAAACACAATAAAAGTAAGACGTTCTTAATGCCTGGCCAACGTTGCCAAAATTGGGAAATTCACAAAATTGCCTATGGACATGGGGTGTAGTGCAATTTAGCCTCGTAAACAGATTAGTCATATCATATTTTGTAGTTTACTGCCCTCACGCAATCAAAATGCTTCATGGATAATTGCTGTTAACTGTAGCTATTTGGGGAAACATCAATTTGTGGGATTCTTGGCCGGGACACGGGGGTGGGGGTGGGGTGGAATCTCCCTTCTCTTTTCGAATAGTGTCATGGGATGTTTAACATACATCTGAACAGGCAGACGGGATGGGGGGGGGAGGGGGGCTCAGGGTAACATCCCGTCCAGAGGTCAGCACTTCCAACAGTGCGACACCTCCGGCATCGCAATGAGTGCCACCTTAGACGATGCGATTCCAAGTCCCCACGCGGGGCCTTGAACCCACAACCTTCTGACTCCGCGGAGCGTCAAGTGGCCGGCGCTGAGCCCGGCTGACACTGGGCCGTACAACTTCGTGACAGTTTCCATACCATAATAATAATAATCTTTGCATTTGATATAGCGCTTTTCACGTCGGGAGGACGTCCCAAAGCGCTTCACAGAACACACCGTAAAGTGAATTGACTGTATATTTGTGGGCGAACGCGGCAGCCAATTGCGCACAGCAATGTCCCACAAACAGTCGTGGATTGAAAACGACCAATTTATTATTGTTTGGGGTTTTGGAGGGATTATTATTAGGCTCTGTGAGGAGTAAGGAAACTTGGCCGAGGTTTCGCCCTCTGCCTGGAATTGAGCTCAGGTCTCTCACTTGCAAAGCGACTGCTCTAACCACTGAGCCACAGGACTCCATATACTGGGGGGGGGTTTGTTTGGTAATAATCTTTCGAACTAAAAAGCACGAGTTTGCTAACATGACTGCGAGGGCCAACACCCCGCAAACATGCGGTCCTGGTCACAGCTCAGCCCACAGAGGGAGGCCCGGGAACACTCTGCCCCCGGAACCCGTGTCAGACTCCAGGGCCGCCCGGAACATCGCCCGCGAGCACACTTCCGGCTCACGGAGAAGCGGAAGTTGCGGCTGATGACGGTGAGGGGTTCGGTGGTACCGGGTGGTCGGGGGGCGCGAGATGGCGGTTCCCATGGAGACACAACTACAGAGCATCTTCGAGGAGGTGGTGGTGAGTCCAGAGAGAGATTATACACACACACAGTGTATATACACCGCCAGAGAGATTATACACACACACACACAGTGTATATACACCGCCAGAGAGATTATACACACATACACAGTGTATATACACCGCCAGAGAGATTATACACATACACACACAGTGTATATACACCACCAGAGAGATTATACACACACACACAGTGTATATACACCACCAGAGAGATTATACACACACACACTGTGTATATACACCACCAGAGAGATTATACACACACACACAGTGTATATACACCACCAGAGAGATTATACACACACACACTGTGTATATACACCACCAGAGAGATTATACACACACACACTGTGTATATACACCACCAGAGAGATTATACACACACACACACACTGTGTATATACACCACCAGAGAGATTATACACACACACACTGTGTATATACACCACCAGAGAGATTATACACACACACACAGTGTATATACACCACCAGAGAGATTATACACACACACACACAGTGTATATACACCACCAGAGAGATTATACACACACACAGTGTATATACACCGCCAGAGATTATACACACACACTGTGTATATACACCACCAGAGAGATTATACACACACACACACACAGTGTATATACACCACCAGAGAGATTATACACACACACACACAGTGTATATACACCGCCAGAGAGATTATACACACACACAGTGTATATACACCACCAGAGAGATTATACACACACACACACAGTGTATATACACCGCCAGAGAGATTATACACACACACACAGTGTATATACACCGCCAGAGAGATTATATACACACACACACAGTGTATATACACCACCAGAGAGATTATACACACACACACACAGTGTATATACACCGCCAGAGATTATACACACACACTGTGTATATACACCACCAGAGAGATTATACACACACACACACAGTGTATATACACCACCAGAGAGATTATACACACACACACACAGTGTATATACACCACCAGAGAGATTATACACACACACAGTGTATATACACCACCAGAGAGATTATACACACATACACAGTGTATATACACCACCAGAGAGATTATACACACACACACACACACACAGTGTATATACACCACCAGAGAGATTATACACACATACACACAGTGTATATACACCGCCAGAGAGATTATACACACACACACAGTGTATATACACCGCCAGAGAGATTATATACACACACACACAGTGTATATACACCGCCAGAGAGATTATACACACACACAGTGTATATACACCACCAGAGAGATTATACACACATACACAGTGTATATACACCACCAGAGAGATTATACACACACACACACACAGTGTATATACAACACCAGAGAGATTATACACACACACACAGTGTATATACACCACCAGAGAGATTATACACACACACACTGTGTATATACACCGCCAGAGAGATTATACACACACACACAGTGTATATACACCACCAGAGAGATTATACACACATACACACAGTGTATATACACCACCAGAGAGATTATACACACACACACAGTGTATATACACCGCCAGAGAGATTATACACACACACAGTGTATATACACCACCAGAGAGATTATACACACACACACAGTGTATATACACCACCAGAGAGATTATACACACACACAGTGTATATACACCACCAGAGAGATTATACACACACACACATTGTATATACACCACCAGAGAGTTTATACACACATACACACAGTGTATATACACCACCAGAGAGATTATACACACACACACAGTGTATATACACCGCCAGAGAGATTATACACACACACACAGTGTATATACACCACCAGAGAGATTATACACACACACACAGTGTATATACACCGCCAGAGAGATTGTACATACACACACAGTGTATATACACCGCCAGAGAGATTATACACACACATACTGTATATACACCGCCAGAGAGATTATGAACACACACAGTGTATATACACAGACAGAGAGATTGTACACACACAGTGTATACATGCAGACAGATAGAGATTATATGCATACAATGTGTATATGCACAGGCAGATATTATACACACGCACAGTGTTTATACACAGATAGAGAGATTATACACACACAGTGCATATACACAGACAGACAGAGAAAGATTACACACAGTGTATATATACAGACAAAGATTATACACAAACACAGTGTATATACACAGACAGGCAGAGAGAGATTACACACACTGTATATACAGACAGAGAGATTATACACACACCGTGTATATATACAGACAAATAAATTATACACACACAGTGTATTTATACAGACAGCGAGGAATTATACACACATACAGTGTATATATACAGACAGAGATTATTCACACACAGTGTATATACAGACAGATAGAGAGATTACACCCACAATGCATATAAAGACAGAGAGATCATACACACACTATATATACAAATATACAGAGAGAGATACACCCACAGTGTACGTATACAGACAGAGAGAGATTATACACACACATACAGTGTGTATATACATACAGAGAGAGAGATTAATACACATACAGTGTGTATATAGGGAGAGATTATACACACATGCAGTGTATATACACAGACAGAGAGAGAGATTATACACACACAGTATATATACAGACAGATAGAGTGAGAGATATGATACACACACACATAGTGTATATAAAGACAGATGTGATGATGAATGCACAGAGACAGAGAGTATATACAGACACACACACGGAATACATAGAGATGCTGTATATGAAGATATACAGAGAGTATAAAGAATATTCAAAAATAACAATTTAACTTTAGGGTATATGCCAGAGAGAGAGGCAGGAGGTGGGGGGTGAGTCCAGAGAGAGAGAGCATGTACGCAGAGAGAGACAGATAGAGAGAGTGGTGGTCAGTTCAGAGAGAGAGAAAGAGATTATACACACACACAGTGTATATATACAGAGCATGAATACAGAGAGAGAAAAAGAGACTAAGAATAAAGACAGAGAGAGAGACACAATAGATATATATATACACAGAGAAAATATACATATTTACCGGAAAGAGAGAGAGACAGGCAGAAGGTGGGGGTGAGTCCAGAGAAAGAGTATACAGTGAGAAACGGTAAACACAGGCAGACAAGAGAGAGTATACACAGACAGAGAGAGAGTGCACAGAGAGAGAGTATACACGGAGAGTATACACAGACAGAAAGTATACACAGACAGACAGCGTGTACACAGATTAGAGAAAGAGTATATACAGATAGCGCGAGAGAGGGGAGGTGGTGGTGGTGCATCCAGAGAATATATATAAAGAGCATGCTGAGAGCATATATAGAGTATACAGAGAGAGGGGAGAGGTAATATACAGATTGTATACATAGAGAGAATCTACAGAGAGTGCAGAGAGAAACTACCTACAAAGAGAGAGGAGTATATACAGAGCGTATACAGAGAGAGAGAGGGACTATATGCAGAGATTATACAGAGAAAGACTATATACACAGTAAACAGAGAGAGAGGGCCTATATACAGAGAGAGAGAAGCTATATCTAGAGAGGGAGTCAGACAGACAGACTATATATAGTTATTTATAACTATTATAATTATTTACAAGAAATATATTTGTTGTGATAATTATATAGTAACAAATAGTTATAATACTGTAGTTATAAATTACTCCCATAACTAGAAAGGGCATGGACTAGTTGAGCTCCATTGCCTTTATTTACATGCATGTGTCTTCTGTTTCATTTTGTTTCAGCTATTCGATAGTTTCTGCCTTTACCCTTTATTTATATCCTTTCCTTGGAGAAACTATTCTGGTATCTCTGGTCATCAGTTCTATAGGCACCTTATCCTGAACTTTCCTGATTGTTTTCTTGTTATTTTAGCTGGTTCCTTATGATTTACATTTTAATTATTTTTGTTCCCTGAGTATATTCCTCGATTGAGGCAGAGTCTCCACACCAGCAGGGTTATAACCTGGGCCAATAGAAAAATGCGGAAATATTTGCCCCCAAAAAAGTGGAAATTTTGCTTAAAATTGCATGGATTTGATTGAAATACATTTTTACTGCCAACCTACATTTTTTCACTTTATTGATAAAAACTTAATAGGAGGAAATAACACATAATGGATTGTTGCAAAAAAATATATTAATTGCTTCTGTAGCAAAAACTGGGTGGCCCATTTTTTTGGGAGGGTGATGTGGTGGGACATCAGCACAGGCTTCAGAAGCTCACCAACTCCTGCCTCTCAGGACCCAGCCCCGCGCACAGAGACAGAGCGAGAAACACAGAGAGAAACACACACACGCTCACAGACACAGAGAGACGCACACATACTCACAGACAGAGAGACGCATACACTCAGAGGCAGAGAGAGAGAGACTCACAGCGTCAGAGAGACACACATTCTCAGAGAGAGAGAGATACACATGCAGAGACACAAATAGACATACACACAGCCAGAGAAGAGAGAGAGGCACATACATATTCAAACAGAGATACTCATAAACACACACATACAAAATATACTCATAAACACACACTTACAAACACATAACATAGAGGAGAGAGGGACACAGACACACTCACACAACTCTCACAAACAGGCATCCAAAGGAGAGAGACACACTCGCATAGAGAGACACACAGACACTCTCAAACACATAGAGACACACAGTCACATAGAGACACTCACAAACACACAGAGAGACAGACACACTCACACAGACACACTCACACAGACACACTCACACAGACACTCTCAAACACATAGAGACACACAGTCACATAGAGACACTCACAAACACACAGAGACAGACACACTCACACAGACACACTCACACAGACACTCTCAAACACATAGAGACACACAGTCACATAGAGACACTCACAAACACACAGAGAGACAGACACACTCACACAGACACACTCACACAGACACTCACACAGACACTCTCAAACACATAGAGACACACAGTCACATAGAGACACTCACAAACACACAGAGAGACAGACACACTCACACAGACACACTCACACAGACACACTCACACAGACACTCACAAACACATAGAGACACACAGTCACATAGAGACACTCACAAACACACAGAGAGACAGACACACACAGACACACTCACACAGACACTCACAAACACATAGAGAGAGACAGTCACATAGAGACACTCACACAGACACTCTCAAACACATAGACACACAGTCAGATAGAGACACTCACAAACACACACAGAGAGACACACACAGACACACTCACACAGACACACTCACACAGACACTCACAAACATAGAGAGAGACACACAGATAATCACAACAGTGGGGTCCTCCGAGTGAAGCCCATTTCTGCCTGGGGCACATGTGCGTACAGAGCTGCCCAAGTATATTCACAGGGTGAGGCCCAGGATCTGAAACTGCACTGATAGTGGGTTTGTAGTGGAGAAGGGCGTTTGAAGAGGATTACGTGGGAAAAGTGGAGTCCTGTAGCTCAGTGGTTAGAGCACTCGCTTTGCAAGTGAGAGACCTGAGTTCAATTCCAGGCAGGGCGAAACCTTGGGCAAGTTTCCTTACTCCACACACCTAATAATAATCCCTCCAAAACCAAAAACAATAATAAATTGGTCATTTTCAATCTACGACTGTTTGTGGGACATTGCTGTGCGCAATTGGCTGCCGCGTTCGCCCACAAATATACAGTCAATTCACTTTACAGTGTGTTCTGTGAAGCGCTTTGGGACGTCCTCCTGACGTGAAAAGCGCTATATCAAATGCAAGGATTATTATTATTATTATTATTAAGTATGCCCGCACTTTTCTATTGACCCAGGTTATAACCTGGATCTACTGGCATAGCTATAGCATATGCTTTATTTAGATGCCCGTTATGTAACCTTGTTGTTGCAAATATATGCTGTGTTTGCTAACAAAATGTCAATCTTTAACAGAGGAATCTTTCTATTTGATATTGCACCTTATTTCCTTTATTACACCAACCTTTCCGATTTTGAGTATCTTGAAGTGTAGTGATGTATTATTGTTTCAATATGTGTCTTGTCACATCGCTCAAATAGGAATGTGATAAATGGCCAATTAATCTGTTTTTGTTGGATTTGAATGGAGACAGAATGTGCCAAGAATGTACCCTATCTTTGAAATGGTGTCATTGGATCTTTCATACCTATAGGACAAAGACATTTTGTGTTGACAGCGCTTGCCTAATACTGAACTGGACCATCTGCTTAGATTTTGAGCCCAGGTCCTGGTGTGAGATTGAATTCACAGGTTTTTGACCTAGTGGTGAGAGTGCCTCCAATAAAGTCAATCTTATACCCACATTGGTAGAGCATGTGGTACGAAAAGAACTCAAAGAACCTAATGTCCACAAGGCAACCAAATTAAACAGAATGTCTTAGATCTTCTAGAAATTGTGAGACAAAATGAATAAGACGACTTAATATTTTTAGGTTACACCATAAACACTGGAACACGAGGAACACAAAGATCCAATTCAATCTATTCCACTTGTTTTAGATCATGATAGATTTTTTATTTACGCCATTTTTCTGCCTTTCTTCATATACCTTAATAATCGATAATCTTTGCATTTGGCATAATACCTTTGCAATGCTGGAGGTTCAATGTTGCGGATCCAGATGCTCGGATTTCCTCATTATGGTAGGGTGGGGGAGAGAGCAGGAGAGGAATCAGTGGGATGGGGGGGAAGGAGCGGTTGGGAGTATTGGTGGGAGGGTTTGATGGTAGGTCAGAGAATTTGCATTTGTTTGGGTGCAACAGTTTTTCTGTCCAAAGGGTTGGGGGGGAGTGGGATATTTCAAAGTGCATACCAATTCAAAATCAGACTTGTTCAGGGCTACTTCAGTTTTGACCCCACCTAATTGAATATTTTGCTATTTGAATAATACATCTATTTCTGAGCAGTTTAAAATTATTCTCGTTGTAGAACAGTCGATTGATTTTTTGGTTCACAGCGTGGAAGATATAATTTACTGCGAGGATCTGGTAAAGCTCCTTAATAAAGCTTCAATATACAGTAACTGCCATTATTTTACTGTGAGAAACTGATTAAGATTGTTTCATTTTGCAACATTTTTTCTACAAGAAGATTGATGGTCCAAGGACATGCTGAACCTTGTTTTTTGTATAGAGAACAATTGGAAGACCAAAGTTTAGTATATGGGAAAATGAGGCAGGCACAGTGGAGCTCAGGATGTTAACTTCTTTCCTATCTGTCATTAATTCCCTAATTTTAACGTCTAAACATCCAACTTTGTGTTGGTACTCTACATCATATCAATTTGTTTTCAACTTGTAAACCAACCCTCCATCAGCACTTGACGTTACATTTTGTGGAATTAATTAGCAAGCAAAATGCTCCATTAAATTATTCCTTACATTTGATATAGGGCCTTGTCACGTCATCTCATAGTGCTTCACAGGAATTAAAGTGTAGTGTATTTTGTAGGTGAATGTGGCAGACATTTTGCACACAGCAATATTCCACAAACAGCCATGAACTGAATGATCAATTTTATTTGGGAGATTGTTTACCAGGATTCGGTAGCCATTAAATTCAATAGCGAGAGTATAGTTGAACCTTACCTTGTGAATACTTCAGTAAAGAACTATCCACAAGGTAAGGTTCACCTATATTTGAAACTAGTAATGACCACAATTCATGATTCAGTAATGAGGGTATCTCACTAATATGAGTAAAATAGGCCAGCCAACTGACTGCCTTTAATTTTGAGTTTCAACTATGTTTGAACTTGGACAATCACAAAAATTAGTTTCCTTGTGTCCTTCAAATTATGAGCCCACAATCATATGTGCAACCTGCACAGATGCTTCCCATTCCATCACTACACACAACTTAGTGAGGAACTCTGCTCAATAATGCATCTTTCACGTGGAAGCTGTGAAACCAAAATGCAATTACTGGCAAATAGATTTTGTGGCAATACTTTTCCACAATGGGTGAAATTTTTTTTTGTGACTTTCCAGTTCAAATGCAAAATTATTCTGACCATTTGCAATCATTAGTAGTGAAAATGACTCCTTTGGTCACCCAGGTATTATTTAGTTCATATTTTTAAGATTAAAACAATGAATTTTGAGGAAACAAAGTTATAACTTGGATAATGGTTTCAGTCATGGAAAGATAGACACAGGAGTAGGCAATTCAGTCTGTTCTGCCATTTTATAAGATCATGGCTGATCTGTATCTCAAACCCAGTTACCTGACCTTACCCCATATCCGTTAATATGGGTCATCTTCCCAACCAGCATTGTGAAGTGATTTGAGACATCCTCCTGACGTGAAAGACACTATATAAATACATGTAAATTATATGTATATTATTCAAGACTTTATAAGGATATTGCCTTTTTTTTTACAGAAAACTGAAGTGATTGAGGAAGCCTTTGCTGGGTGAGTGCCCATGTGTAGTATTTAATTTATAAATAGCTGATTTATTTATACCTATGTAGTAATCCATGGATGGCTCTTAAGTGCATGTTCTCCAAGTTACATATTTCCTTAAGTGATGGGCTGAAATAAATATTACAATAACATTTGAGTAATACAATTATCTGCATTTACTAAATGTGACCTCTGTGTAAGCTTGGACAGCGAGTGTCTGGTTCATTCGATCATGATTTGGTCACAGTCAAGAAAGGTCTTGTTCACATGTGCACTTCCAGTGGGAGTTGAATCGTGTTCAGGAATCCTGGTAATGATGATTAAGATGACCTTAGGTCATCAGATCTGATTAAGATGGAGTCCTGTAGCTCAGTGGTTAGAGCGCTCGGCTTGCAAGCGAGTCACCTGGGTTCAATTCCAGGCAGAGGGCGAAACCTTGGGCAAGTTTCCTTACTCCACACAGAGCCTAATAATAATCCCTCCAAAAAACAAAACAATAATAAATTGGTCATTTTCAATCCACGACTGTTTGTGGGACACCGCTGTGTGCAATTGGCTGCCGTGTTTCGCCCACAAATATACAGTCAATTCACTTTACAGTCTATTCTGTGAAACACTTTGAGACGTCGGGAAGATGTGAAAAGCGCTATATCAAATGCAAGGATTATTATTATCTTGGTTGGACTCAGTGCCCCTGAGTTGGAGAGGGGAAAGGTCATAGAGGGTGTCTGCAGTGATCGCTATCCAGTGATTGGGTATGGACTGGAATAATCTTGTTTGTAATGTCCCTATTGAGTCATCTGTGGTGCACTTCCACCATCAAATAGCATGCCATTACTCACTGTCAGGGCTCACGATTGATTAGATCCACTTGGGGAAAGTGCAGAAGGATGCCTGTAACCCATGGAATTATACTGTAGTCGAAGGAAAAAAATAAGTTTAACAATCGTGTGGATGTGGAGGGAAGGGAGGTGAAATTGCAGGGGAATAAAATGCTAAGGAGGGAATTTGTTAGATTTTTATATATTCTAATATTCTTATATATTCTAAGAACTTGTGTCAAGATACTCTAAAATTATCTTAAAAACAATATTTCACAGTATGTTTATGGACACACCTGAAGATGAGAAAACCAAGCTGATCAGCTGCCTCGGATCCTTCAGACAACTCTGGACCTCTCTTCCTCAGGTTTGAGTCCACATTGCAGCAATTGCCTCAAGAATTTTTAAATTCCTAAATCATTTTGCTCAAAACAGTGGTGGCCAACCTTTATGGTCGGCCAAAAAAAAATGTCTTCAATTTTTGATTAATACCATAAATCAAGAAAAAAATAAAAACACCCTACCGATCGAACACAGACTTAACTCCACTCGTGCAAATATTTTTTTGGGGGCTTCTTTATGGCTCCACTGGTCATGTCTGTGGCACTCGGGCCAAAGGTTGGCCACCACTGCTCTGAAACATATACAAAACATTGTATAAAAATTGTAAACCTTGTCTCAACTCCAGGAATCCCATGAGCAGTGTGTGCAGTGGATAGTCCGCTTCATCCATGGGCAGCACAACCCCAAAAGGATTTCATTCCTGTACGACTGCTTGGCTATGGCAGTTGAATGTGGACTGCTACCTCCCAGGTACAAATAAAGATCTTTTTAGTGTTTTTCACATGAAGTCCAAATCTAATGAGTGTGTTATAATGCAGAGTTTGGGGTCTATAAAATTGTACCCTGCATAATAATGGATGTGTATAAATGCAGCATCATGGTCTACGTTCTGGGTCATCTAGTTGCTGCACATGTTGCTCCTAGCACTGCCTTGCTCATATGGATAGGAAACCAGTTTGTCAGTGGCAATTGTGAAAGTTGCTGACCGAGGCCCTCTGCATCCGTATGCCACATGCGCAATTCCTCCCAGTCAGCCCCAGAAGTTAGAAGTGTGTCACAGTTCCAGTTCACTGGGAGTCCATGATATGAACTGTACAGAAACATAATGCAAAGAATTGTAACTAGTAATTTAATACTTGATGAAACGTAAACGGCTTCATAATATTGGTTGGTCTAAACTACCCATCCAGTCTCCCACAAGATTCCATTGTCACATCAATTTAATTGTTTAATTGTTGTTATATTCTGTGTTTCATGAATAGGTTACATATCCCCCCCCCTCCTTCCTTTCATTCTGATTTTAAATTCAAAGCTTTCTCTCACCATTGTGAGATGTTATTCACAACTACTGGAACCATTTCCATTGCAAAAATGTAGAGTAATAAACATTGAAACGAATTTCCTTCACCTCTGCCCAAAGGCGCAACATACATATAAATTTGTATTATATTCTACCATCCACCTCCATCCCTACCTCACTCTAAATCTCCAAATACTGAAATCTCCCAGCTGGATATTTGTAATGGACACCTCATTGGTCTCCCTAGTTCCACTATCCATCATAAACTTCACCCTATCCAAACTCCACATATCCATAACCCCAGTCCACCCCAGGCTCCATTGGTTCTCTTTCTTTCAGCAGATCAAATTCACAGTCCTCATCTTCACCTATAAATCTCTTCACTCCCCCAGCACCACCCCAACTCTCCTTCTGCCCCCTCCACACGGCCAACTCGCACTGAGCATCCGTGCCTCTCTTGCCACCTTATCCCACCACCATTGGTGGCCAAGCTTTCCAATTCTGTGCCCTTAACCTCTGGAACTCCATCCATCTCCATCTCGCTCTGCTCTATCTGTCTTTATCTCCCATCTTAAACTGTGCGTAAGGTCACCTCTCCTTTCCCCTCATTTCTCTGCCCCTGCTTAGCATCCACCTGCGCCAGAGTAAAGTGCTCCAAGATGTTATTCTCTATGAAGCGCACTATACGAATGTAAGTTGTTCTTGTATTATACGTGGACCTGGGTGTAATGATGCATGTTTATAATGGGGTTGGATTGAACCCATTCTAAAGCACTCTTGAGACATTAGCCTATGTGAAGGATGCTATATAAATGCAGTTATTGTTGCTATTTGAAGCATGTTTCAAAATATTGTGATTTTGTTACTTCAAACATCAACCTTTTAAAATACATTTGTTTGTAGCTTAAGTAATGTTTTGATTTGATTCCATTTGAAAATACCTTACATAAAGTGTGAGATGAAATTTTGTTTCAATATGATAGCTACAGGGTAATGTTTCGATTTAATAGTATTGTTTTTAACATTAAATTCTAAAATGGATTTCTTGATTTGTTTTCATCAGACTGGTCTGCGAGACTTTAATTAACTCTGAAAGTCTGGAATGGGAAAGAATGCAGCTTTGGGCCTTAACATTTAAGCTCATCGAAAAATAATAGGAGGTGTTGACTACAAGGTACAACAAAATGATCTAGAAGGCCGATTATTATCCATGCCATGTAAAAAAACAAATAACATATGGAAAATCTGTCATTGTTCGCTTGTGTTGGCTTTCATCACATCTAGGATTGACTACATAATTCAATCTAGCTCTTGACTCTCAGCGGTTAGAGCACTCGTCTCGCAAGCAAAACACTTGGGTTCGATTCCCAGCAGGGTGAAACCTTGGGCAAGTTTCCTTACTCTACACGCCTGATAATAACCTCTCAAGAAAAAACCCCAACAATAATAAAAATTGGTCACTTCAATCCACGACTATTTGTGGGACATTGCTGCGCGCAATTGGCTGCCCCATTTCACCCATAAATATACAGTCAACTCACTTTACAGTATATTCTGTGAAGCACTTTGAGATGTCCAGAAGACGTGAAATGCGCTATATCAAATGGAAGGATTATTATTATTATAAACACCCTGCTCATCGTACTCCCAATCTCTTCCATACACTATAGACTCTGCAGTTTGTGTCCTTTCCCGCACCAGGCTGCGATCCTATAACCCCCTTCTTTGCTCAGTTCCATTGAATTGTATTTGTTTCAAGTTTATTCACTGAATACCACTTGTTATCAGTTATTATTAATGGATGCAAGAGCACTTTTGTAAATCTTTTAGGGAGGCATGGATGGAAAGTGATGTTATGTATCTTTTTATGGTTATTGTATTTGGAGGTAAACACTTGTACATATATTGAAGTTGATGGAAGTCTAGAAGGGGAAGAAGAGGATTATTAAATTTTGAACAAAAGGTGATGGCCTTATTCTTTAAAACAAAGCTTATTCTGTTTCAGGGTGTACGAGACCTTTTGAAAGCAATTCTGGAGAAAATTCAAACCATTCCAACCACTGTAAGCTCTGCTGTGGTCCAGCAACTGCAAACTGCCAAAGATGTAAGTTATTCCTTCATATTCTTTGTTTCTCTTCAATATGTTCAGAGTTTTCCAATGCCTGTGTGAGTATAATCATCCTGTAGCAAAGAGAAATCCAATGTAAACAGATAGTGTCTATCTATCTGTCTATTGGCCTTGGGACGTCCTCCTGACGCGGAAGGCGCTATACAAATGTAATTTTGTGTTATTGTTATGTTTTTATAGAAAAATATTTGAAACACATTTTTAACTTCCAGCAATATTTTTCCTCTCTTGTCCTCTTTTGATGATAATTTGATTTGTTTCTCCTGCTGCTGCAGAGTGGTTTTCTGGCCACTGTAGCACTCTTAACACCTTACTCAAGTGGCCAATATTTATGTAAAAAGTTTAGGCATCGTTTAAATAAACATAAATGCTTTAAGCTACTGATTTTCCATGCAGGAATCTGTTCAAAGCTCAAAGAGTTGAACATTTTAGAAATATCTATCTGTTTCTTCCGCCCCACCAATCCCCCAAAACGATTAGCACGTGTAATTTTTTGTAAAATAGCTTATTAAAGATTTCTTCTTGACTGTTTTCAGATCGTGGCATATATCCTGGATAGAAATGCCTGCTTGTTACCAGCATATTTTGCAGTTACTGAAATCAGAAAACTTTGTCCTGAAGGGAAGTTGTCTCACTGGGTAAGAGAAGGTTGTTTTTGCTTTTCTTAATAAAAGTAAAAAAAAGTTAGTAGCTTTGTATAGTCCAATTGAATTCACTATTTCCTCTACCACACTTTTTAAAAACGTTTCTCCTGTTCTCACGAAGGCCCTGAGAGATGTTGGGGAATGGTTCTATGTGTACTGTCTGCCTTGGAGTATCTCACTCAAATGGTTAGTCTTCATTTGTGAGCCCAGTCAGTGTTCCCAAATTGTTTTTGACCATGACGGCATCTGAGCCAATCTTTCATGCGCACATGCATTCTTTTTAGCAGTGGTCACAGAATGGGGAGAAATAGCAGGTACCAGGGTGATTCCTGTTCTGGGTCTTCCAATTCTTGTCAGTCTGCAATCAGGTAACGCAGCACAGACTACAATAATAACAACAAATTACATTTGTGTAGTGCCTTTCACATCAGGAGATAATTCAATGTGAGACCTGACTTGGTTTCACTGTAGGTAGTGATTTTGCCAATTCAGCCAAGGAGTCCATATTCCATTATATCCAACTCAATACAGTTATTTAGCTATGATCAATACAGAGGTGAAAAAATAATGTTGGATCTTGGGGGGGAAAACAATTATGAAAGGTGTACACAATCTGTTGATAATCGTGCAAAGAAACTTTTGTCACCTAACTGGCTATTTTCATATTACTTTTAGGAAAGCTTCCAAGCTTGTCAGCTCTAACTTCACACCAACATTGTCATAAGAGTCAATTACCTTCTGAAGCAGTGAATACCAAATAATATTGTTACATGTTCTCTGACATGACATGATTGTGATTTGCGACAATTGCTTGCTTACCATGTGCTATCAGAACATTTTGTTTTACTTGTTTCCCTCAGCGGCTGTATAAAATTTAATTATCAAGTAGCAATGACCTTCAATTGCTGAGTTAGATACAGTTTTCAATACTGGGACCTTCTTTATCAAAGAAAGATGCTATTGGACAGTCTGGTTTAGAGTACTTTGTTTCAAACCTTGTGGTATCTGATTCATACTGAATAGACAATTCATGTCACCAGCTCTTCTCAGCGTACAGTGTTTCTATTTGCTGTTACACATGGCTGTTTTTATTATGGCCTCTGGTTATATTTTTTAGCAAGCTGACTGATGTTACCTTTGAAAGTTTAAGCAAACATACATTTATTTGTTTGATGTATTTAAAATGCCCTTCATTTGCATTGTTTCTTACAGTTGCTAGGTAACCTTATATCGGATTTTGTGGACAGCTTTAGACCCACTGCTCGAATAAATTCCATTTGTGGTAAGAGTTTAAATTATCTCTTTGAACCAAAGAGAAGAAGCTAAATTTTGAGTAGGAGCGGTTCTGACTGGAACCAATATTTGTTTCTTGTCACTTATGGTATGAGTTGTAATCCCAATGGAATTGTAGAAAGGGTCTTGCTGAGTTACTAAAATCAAGTTCATTAGTTTTTAGATGATTTGGTGGATGTAATCAGATGGTGTGGCACCTTCACTTTGATGTCTGTGCATCTTTATGGTGCATCTTTTCCAATAATTTAATATTATTCCCAATATCTTACACCAAATGTTTAGCTTTAAAATGTTATGCATAGATGAAATGGCATATAGAATTGTAAATTTATATTTATGGAATGCACAATGATGCACTTCAGTGTATATTTTTTCCAGAATACTTTATTATTGTTTATAATAATATAATAATAATCCTTGTATTTTATATAGCACCTTATCACGTGATCATTACGCCTCAAAGTGCTTCACTGAATTTACTGTAAAGTGTGTGAGCAAAACTTTAGTTCAATCCAGTGAAGCTGGAAACCATATGACAATCAGTGTAGTTTGAAAATTATATTACACTTATACTACTAATAATAAACATATAGTTTCAATATTTTCTTCCAACAGATTTTAAATGAAAAATAGCCCTGGAGTTAAAATGCTATTAAATCATTTCAATATATAGTGAAAGGAATTTTACTGGTAATAGCACAATTATGTTTCGTTCAGTTTGCATTATCTATATGATCTCTCTGAAATCCTCTTAATCTGATGGTTGCTCCCCATTCTTTAACAATAAAAAAGGCCTTGGAAATAAAAGTATATCATGTATATTAACTATTTCAGTGGAAAAGTGAAAATAGCTAGGCTGATTGAGTGAGACTGCAAATCAAGTCCTTTTATTGGGCTGTTTTTTATCCCCATCTGATTCAGTCCAAAATCCATTGCTGTTGGAAAGCTTCTGCAAAAATAACAAATTGTATTTATATAGCGGCTTTCATATCGGGAGGATGTCTCAAGGCACCGGACAATCAAGGGTTTCCACCTTAGCTGAAGATTGTATTCGGGGGCCAAGTGGTTTAGGGGTGGGAGATGACTGGTCACAAGAATGTATTGAGACAGACCTTAAATGAGGCAAGGGAAGGAGTGAAATGAAAGGACTCCGGAATGGAGCTCCAGACATTAGGGGCACATATATTGAAAGCCCGAACACCAATTGTTCTTTGAATGTTTTGGGAGCGGAGATGAAAAATAGTATTGATTTATACTGCAATGGGGCAAAGTAAGTTGATGACCAAAACACTTCTCAAGCTTGTATTGAAAGTGGGACCCAAGCAAAATTGTCATCCAAATCGTGTTCCATTTCAATTTATATTGTTCTTTGATTGCAAAATGTACAATGTAAGTTCAGCCCTAGAATACACAGTAATATATGCTTGAAAAACAATAATAATGCTTTCAGGTGATATCTTAACTATAACTGAAGGGTACTATCCATAAATGATTGACAACCACCATTTGGGTATTTGGGTGCTTCTTGGGAATATCTTAAATTGGGCGCATTTCCTTTTTAATTCAAATCAAATCAATTCCATGTATTTTTTTGTGGGACCGCACTGCTGCGCACAACTGGCTGCCACATTTCGCTCACAAAATCTACAGTTGGTTCACTTTACAGTATATTCTGTAGACGACTAAATAGTGTGATGAGCGCTATATCAAATGAGAGGATTATTATTATTAGGGTGTGGCAGAACCTTGGATGGATTTGAATGTGAGAACGAGGATCTGGAACTCAATCTGCCAGGGCATAGGGAACCAGTGGAGCCGAGTGAGGATGAGGGGGTGACAGGCTGGTGCAGGAGACGTGATAAGGCACCATATCAAATGCAAGAATTATTATTATTATCCATAAAGTATTAAATGAAACCTGTACTACTTATCTATATCGGCAGTATTATTTTTGATGTGCATGATTTATGAGTTGGAATTTAGTTCAAATTAAGAAATAATTTGTATGTTTCTGGAGAGCATGAAAATTAATGGGCAAAACTTGGAGTGGTTTGTATTAATTGCTTTTTTATCCTACCTCACTGAATGCCTAGGACGTTGCAGTCTTTTGCCAGTGGTGAATAATTCGGGTGCAATCTGTAATTCATGGAAATTGGATCCAACAACACTTCGTTTTCCTTTACGGGGACTGTTGCCTTATGACAAGGTATATTTTTGTGGACTTCATTCCGGATTAATCACATTTAATTTCCATAAATACTAGACTAGGAGTCGCTTCAGTTGATTTTATTTTTGTTGGAGACAGCAGGGAAATTAGATCACATAGCTCCAGTCAGAACTGTTTCGCTGAAACTCAATTTTATAAAATAATTTTACACATTTTTAGTTAATTTCAAAAGCTATTTTAATTGATGTCTCTTTGTAATCGTAGACCTGAAAAACTGAATTTTGAAACAGATTTCCTCTTGTTAAACTCATATAAATTGGATCATTTTTGTTTGATGCACATAAACAGTTTAAAATAAAGCTAAACAAATGGGCATAACCATTTTAAACATTGCTTAATATGGTTTGCTTACAGGAGTTCCACATCATTTGATATTGGATTAATATTATATTTTAACTTATCAACAAATCTCTCAAAAGAAACAACAACTTTAACAATCTTCTTCCACACATATTTATGTGTAAGGTCTTATTTATATTGAATTTAGGTCTTATTTATATTGAAGCCACAGCTGCACACTCAACCTCACTAAGCCAGTCAGGAATCTGGATGTATTGTTTGACCCTGAACTGTCCTTTCTCCCCCACACCCGCGCCATGACCGGCACTGCCTACCACCACCTCCGCAACATTGCCAGACTCTGCCACTGCCTCACCCCTCAGGCTGCCGAAACCCTCACCCACGCATTTGTCACATCAAGGCTCAATTATGGAAACTCCCTCCTCATTGACCTTCCCAACTCTTCCCTTCACAAGCTGCAGATCATCCAAAACTCTGCAGCTCGTGTACTCTCATACACCAGGCTCTGTGACCCCATCACTCCCACCCTCGCCCGACTCCACTGGCTCCTCATCCCTCAGATGATTGAATTCAAGATCCTCATCCTCACTTTCAAGGCCATCCATGGCCTTGCCCCCTCCTACCTCTCTGACCTGCTGAGTCCCTCCAACCTATCTGCTCCTTCCATTCAGCGGACTCTAGCCTGCTCCATGTCTCCCGCCCGACCTGCCCTACCATCGGTGGCCGGGCTTTCAGCCACTCCGTCCCCACACTCTGGAACTGCATCCCACAGTCACTTCGCCTCGCTTCCTCCCTTGCCTCCTTCAAGGCCGGTCTCAACACTCTCCTCTTTGATCGCGCCTCAGGTCTCCCTCCCACCTCCCTGCCTTCCCTCACCCCTACACCACCCCTCCCCCATGCTCGGGGCCTGACCCCTGACTGACCAGCGCCTTGGGACATCCGACATGAAGGGCACTATATAAATGTGATTTTGTTGTTGTTGAATTAGTTGAGTTTTTCTGAGCATATATTAGCTCATTAGTTATGCTGTTTTTAATGGCTATGTCATGAAAGCAATAAGCAAGAGAAACCACCAATACATCTATTAAGGCATCAGTTAGGATGAGAAGCGGGCCTTTTGGCCTTTCAAGCTTGCTCCATTTTATTATGTCAATGCAAATCTTTCATTCCCATTTTTGATCCTATATTTTCAAAGTATGTAAACCTGAATGTGAACGAAACATGATTAGACATTCTGTATCTCTGGTTGTTTTGAATGATGATAGTTTAATGGTACTCACATCTCATCACAGTTCACACAACACAGAAATTTGATTTCTGACAATTAAACCACAAATTGATTCTTTTTTAAATTTTCTAATCTCTCCGTGTATTTTATTTGTATTCTAAAGTGTCAAAGAGGATGGATTTTCCTTAAAGTGGTACCAAAGGCATTTGCTGATGTAATTTCACTTGGAGCATTGTATCACATTACCTTGCTTTGGATCGCTCTCTTTCCACCACTCCTCAGTGCTGAATTCCAATATGTTTCTGAACTTCTAGGCTTTACAATCCATACTTTTGCATTTATGCCACCTTTAATGGAGTTTGATGATGCATTGGGAATGCTGTTCTAACTTGTGTTTGAGAGGTGGTCAAGATGAGGCCCACTTATTTGATAAATAAATATTTATAATGAACCAATTAATGTATAGTATTTTGGTAACTCAGTTCCCTTCAAAAGGGAACCTCCAAATGTGCACTTATCAGTCTACCTGACCTAGTATCATGGGTATACGTAATGCCACAAAGACTTTTGATATGCATTTATTGATACCTCAAAGCACAAAGCATACCAAACATGTGGAGCTCTGAAACTGGTAAATCATCAAGATTTTTAACTTTTAAACAAGTTCGTACAAACATTAATTTTGACTGAAGACACCTGAGCTTTGCTTTTGTGATGTGCAGCATTCAGAAGAAAATTCTTTGGAATTTTAACATTGTGACTGTTGTTATTCCCTTCTTAGCAGCCATTCTACAGAATTATTTTGGTAAAATAAATCTTGCGATCATCATACATTTCGGATTATTTGGTGCATTTTCTATTGTACGACTATAGCATCCCATCATTTTTATGACGTAACATACAGTGACAAATAACAAATATTCAGATATTGGTAAAATAGTAGATTCATGGAACCTGTTCCAAGATGACATTGGTTCAATGTTCACGCCATTGAATGTCCATCCTAGACCCTTTGAATTATCCAGTAAAGTAATACATATTTTAGGAGCCAGCTGTATGTCCAACTCTGCAAAAGCTAATTGTCAGGACAATATTTTTATATTCAACTTAGAAATGTACAAATGCTTGGGTTCTTCATTGTATAACATGCATAATTATTTGCGCACCCAATTCTGACTCTTCTCCATTACAGCTTATGCCCAATACTTAGATGCTCTAAACATGAGTCAATTATAGTTGAAATTTTAGTGAAGAAACATACTAAATGTTATGCTCTATTTTATGTTATTTATCCCAATTAAACTTACTGAAAAGTACTCTTTGGCAGTGCATCATATAACTTAGTGGAATTCCACATCTATTTTCCAAATTAAAAATTGACAGTTGCATTACCTGTGCAGTCTGAACTCAGTTTACTTGTCATTTTATTGAATTATTCTTTAACTGATGTATAACTTGGGTCTGAAATAAGACATTAACAATCATTAAGCGATGGAAAGAGCAAAATGATCGCCTCAGTCACGGCAGCAGAATTACCAAGGGAAAAACTTGGGGGGTTATTTTAAAGGTGATCTTAAAGGGAATGAAAGAAACCAAAGCTTGGATACTTTACACCGATTGAAAGTGGTATTTTTTTTATCAACGGTAATCTTAGAGGAAATTAAGCTCTCTAAGAAGAAATTAATTGATATAAAGTAAACTCTGTTTACTTCATACCAATTGGTTTTAGATTATATTGAGAGTCAAATATTTTACATGCTAAGTCCTGCACCAATCTGTTAGTGCTTATTTTGTTAATGTGCCTGTGGTGGGGAAGGGGGAAAATAGCAGTTATTAGTTGCTAAATTGCTGTTGAAGTCCTCCTTCACTACTACAAAGGATAATGAAAATGTCAAGTGCATATCTTTTATTTCCTCTTAGGATCTTTTTGACCCACAGACTGCACTATTGAGATATGTTTTAGAGCAGCCTTACTCCAGGGATATGGTCTGCAACATGCTGGGTTTGAACAAACAGGTACTGTATCTCACTATATTGTACAAAGCACCAAATTTCTAAATATAGTCTGCACTATTCTTTTTCTCTTTTCTGTTGCTATGGCCAAATAAGCAAATGGGTTCTGCAAGAATAGCCAGATTCTAAGTGAGTTTGTCATTTAATGGATTTTACTCGAGCTACTTGAAATAGGCAAAGTTTTATGACCTTTTTGTATTGCCTTGTGGATGGGAGTAGTAAAATACTGTAAATTCAGTATCTTATGGAAAAAAAATCTAGGCTTAATATAAAGAAAAAACATAATTTGAGTTTTATTTACATTGCTTTAGCTATTAGGCCAGCCTCAAAACTGAGAAAGTGTACATTGGTTTGTTTGTGGGGCTTGCCCTTTCTGGGGCTCTCGTGAGGCTGGCCTCATAGTCACTGTTATGTCTTTCTTTTTTTCTTCCTTTATTTTTGTTCTGTCCTGTCTTGTCCTGCCCATCCTACAATGCTCTAGACCTTGAACATTGCTCAGGTATGTTTACAATCTTACTGTTGTATTGTGACTAACGAGATGCTGACTGCTTGGTAGCAACTGATGCCATTTAGAGACATAAAGTAGACCTGCATGCTGGTACACGTAGAGAATGTAGTGGTGTCTGTCGCTGTCTGCTACAGAATGTGTAATTGTCGCAATTCTTGCACTTGAGAGTTTTGCAGTTGTCATGGAGAAGTTGTTTAGCATACGTTCTGTTGTTGACCTGCGAAATGTAGTCCCATTGCATATGTAAAGTAGTGTCAACAGATGTGTTCAACGTAGCTGTACCTTACTTTAGGGTTTTTAAAGCATGCTTTCAAAAAAAGTACGATCTGTTTATTCTTTGTAGCTTTTAATATTTTTTAAATTTCACGATTATAAATCGAAAGAAAGCATGCTAATTTTATATGTAGATAGTAATAGAATTTAGGTCTGTGACAGTAATCATGAAAATACTAGATAGTAAGAAAATCCAATTAAATTTGATCATTGGAACCTTTCCGATTGTGTTGCTTGTTGACCAAAGTTGAGTTTTTTTTTAAATTCTCTTGTTTCTGGATGGGTCGATTGGGCAAGGAAAGGGATATCATTGCAGTGCTTGACTTTTCTTTACGCTACATGCAAATTAGGTGCTTTCTGAAATCGTCCCATTGCAGTGTGTTTAGGTTAGCATTTCATGCTTTGTCAAGTCTCTTTTGCATTAATTAATGTGTGTTTACCATTCAAATTACCATAATGAGTGTCTGCTTTACAGCACAAACAGCGATGCCCTGTGTTAGAAGACCAGCTCGTGGATTTAGTGGTTTATGCGATGGAACGCTCAGAGACTGAAGAGAAGTTTGATGACGGAGGCACCAGTCAGTTGCTGTGGCAGCACCTCTCGAGCCAGCTTATTTTCTTTGTGTTGTTTCAGTTTGCCAGCTTTCCACACATGGTGTTATCACTTCATCAAAAGGTATGTTTGAGATATTCAAGATTGTACAAATTGGATAAGATAAGAATAAACCAAGAGGAGATACTAAAAAGCTTGTCGGTGCTCAAGGTAGATAAGTCACCCCGTCCAGACGGGATACATGCTAGGTTACGGAGGGAAGTAAGAGTTGAAATAGAGGATGCTCTGGCCATAATCTTTAATTCTCTTTGGACACTGAGGTGGTGCCAGAGGACTGGAGGGTTGCAAATGTTAATCCCCTGTACAAAAAGGGGCAGAAGGATAAACCCAGGAACTACAGGCCAGTCAGCCTATAACGTCGAACAGTGGGGAAACTTCTAGAGACTATAATTTGTGAAGTCCTGTAGCTCAGTGTTTACAGCACTCGCCTCGCAAGCGAGAGACCTGGGTTTGATTCCTGACAGGGCGAAACCTTGGGCAAGTTTCTTTACTCCACACCCCTGATAATAATCCCTTAAGAAAATAAATAAAAAATAATTTGATTACTCAATGCATGACTGCTTGTGGGACACAATTGAACGCAATTGCTGAGCGCAATTGGCTGCCACGCTTTGCCCACAAATATACAGTATATTCTGTGAAGCGCTTTGAGACGTCATGAAAACGTGAAAAGCGCTATATCAAATTCAAGGATTATTATTATAATCCGGGACAAAATAAATTTTCACTTAGAAAAATATGGGTTAATAAAGGGCAGCCAACATGGATTTGTTAAAGGAAAATCATGTCTAACAAACCTGAGAAAGTTTTTTGATGAAGTAACTGAGAGGGTGGATGAAGGTAGTGCAGTTGATGTAGTTTAAATGGATTTACCAAAAGGCGTTTGATAAAGTGCCACACAAGAGACTTGTAAGAGAAATAGAAACCAACGGTGTTAAAGGGACAGTGGCAGCATAGATACAGAACTGGCTGGGAGACAGAAAGTGGAGAGTAGTGGTGAACTGTTGTTTTTCTGACTGTGCAATGGTGTTCTCCAGGGGTCAGTATGGGACTACTGCGGTTTTTGATCTATATAAATAACCTGGACTTGGGGATAGGGAGTACAATTTCCAAGTATGCAAATGATACTAAGATAAGAAAAGTAGTAAACAGTGAGGAGGATACCAGCAGACTGCAAACGGACATAGTCAAACTGGTAAAATGGGCAGACACGTGGCAGATGAAGTTTCATGTGGAGAAATGCAATGCATTTTGGGAGGAAGAATGAGCAGAGGCAATATAAGCTGATAGAACCTGGGGGTTCATATCAGTAAATCTTTGAAGGTGGCAGGACAAGTAGATAAAGCTGTTAAAAAAGCATACGGGATACTAGGCTTTACAAATAGGGGCATAGAATACAAAAGACAGGAAGTTATGATGAACCTTTATAAACACTGGTTAGGCCTCAGCTACAGTACTCTGTTCAGTTCTGGGCACCACACTTTATTTGTGCTAGCACGCAAATTATGCAATAAATGATTGCTGCTTGTACTGTACTGAGTAATTGAGGATTGGCCAGGTTGCTTAAAGGATGAGAACACAGAACAAGACGGGTAATTTGCCAATGACAAAACCATTGTTTTTTGGGAGGGAAAAAAATGACTATTCCATTACACTTTCACTCAGGTAACTTTAGACTTTTCTTGATTTCTTGTTGGGTTTTAAAAATCAGTTCGCTGGGGGTGGGCAGAAGTGATGTACTAATGTAATATGCAGTAGTTTATAATAATGTAATATGCAGCAATTATAGATGGAGTCCTGTAGCTCAGTGGTTAGAGCACTCGCTTTGCAAGCGAGAGACCTGAGTTCAATTCCAGGCAGAGGGCGAAACCTTGGGCAAGTTTCCTTACTCCACACAGAGCCTAATAATAATCCCTCCAAAACCAAAAACAATAATAAATTGGTCATTTTCAATCTACGACTGTTTGTGGGACATTGCTGTGCGCAATTGGCTGCCGCGTTCGCCCACAAATATACAGTCAATTCACTTTACAGTGTGTTCTGTGAAGCACTTTGGGACGTCCTCCCGACGTGAAAAGCGCTATATCAAATGCAAGGATTATTATTATTATTATTATTATTATTATTATTAGAGAGGGTCAAAGGAAATTTACCAGGAAATGTACCAGGAATGAGGGACTTCAGTTATCAGGAGAGGCTAGAGAAGCTGGGATTATTCTCCTTGGAGCAGAGAAGCTTAAGAGGAGACTTAGTAGAAATTTTCAAAATTATGAGGGGATTCAATAGGATGAACAAGGAGAAACTACCTGGCGGGGGGTCGGTAACCCGAGGACACCGATTTTCCATGTAACCTCACTCTTATCAAAAATATCAAATGGCAAGCATTATTATTATTTTGTACTGTCCTAGCTTTGTCCAAAATCTTTATTGAAGATTAATTCAAAAGCTCCTGAAGCTAAGAACAGTTCTTCACGCATCTGCCACATGTGCACGTCTTCACACATTCATTCAAACCTGGGTGTTTTCTACTTTTTTCAAACCATTGGAGATTCTGTTCAGCCTTTTTAGAAAATTAGTTCTGGTGAAAGTTTCTCATATGTTGTGTAGGAGGGAGGAAGAGATGAGATCAGATGAGATGAGATCACTGAGAAGTACAGATGAAGAAGATCCATTTGATCTCATCTTTCCAGGATTCCAATTTCTGTTGGGGAGCATGGGGAGCAAGTCAAACACAGAGCTGATAAACTCAATGGCCTCATGTGCTATAACTATTCTATGATTATGTGTGTTATTTGTTGACGTGGAGAGGTGTCAATGTGAAAAAAATATGTTTGCTTTAAAATGCAATTTTTTGATTTCAACTACTCAGTTTCCCAAGTTAGAATTTTAGCTTCAAAAGCTCAAAAATCATTATGTTCTTAATCTTAAGATTTAAGCCTTGAAATGTAAAATGGCTCAGCATTTTGCAATATTCACTAAAATGTGGGAGCCAATTTTTCACAGATCTTTTTCAGACTTCTGGTTAAATGAAGAGATTAAATTGGAGATTCAGTTATAATAATAATAATAAACCTTGCATTTGATATAGCGCTTTTCACGTCTTCTAGACGTCCCAAAGCGCTTCACAGAATATGCTGTGAAGTGAATTGACTATACTTGTGGGCGAACGCGGCAGCCAATTGCGCACAGCAATGTCCCACAAACAGTCGTGGATTGAAAATGACCAATTTATTATTATTTTTTTTTTGGAGGGATTATTATTAGGCTCTGTGTGGAGTAAGGAAACTTGCCCAAGGTTTCGCCCTCTGCCTGGAATTGCAGTGTAATTGCCAGCTGAAGGAGTTGAGTGTGCATGAAGAATTCAAACATGCCATGGTCCAGCTAATCCAAATAGTTTCCAGTGTACTTCAGAATTTGCAACAATATTATAAGATAAGCATCATTTAAAATCATGCTCTCACATCAAATACTTCCAGGTCCTTCACATGGTAACCAGGAACTTGTGGGAAGGGAAGAATAGCTGTTCCTAACAAACTTTGCGTTTACTGTGTGGCTGTCCTCGTGAAAATGTGGCAATATTCTTTGTAGCTCAGTTCGCTATAGTTACACAATTACAATTTAAAATTGCGATTTACATTTATATAGCGCCTTTCACAACAGGAGAATGTCTCAAAGTGTTTTACACAGCTGAAGGCAGCGGGGATTAGAAGGTTGGCAAAAATGGACTTGAAACGATAATAAAATGATGATAAATGATGGGACTTAAGGTAATAAAAAGATAATAAAGATGTGTCTTAAGGCAGAGTGTAAAAGTGGAGAGCTTTGAGAAAGCAGGCACTGACATGAAACAAACAGGTGAGCCTCAGGTTTGTTGGCTAATCCGGTACTGCATGATAGGAACATCATCAGATAGCAACTATCACTTTGCCTCTGAGTAGAAATGATTTATAAATGGGGGTGGGGAAGAGAGATAAATCAGGGTCTTAGCCAATGAATGAGACTCATGGCTGCCTCTTTTCAGGTTGATTTTAGGGCAAATAAAACAAATTCTAGTTTAATTGGTAACTATAGGAGTCATACAAAGTGATCTGTCATTGATAGGTTTCATCTTGCTTCAGTTGGTTGCACTCTTGCCTCTATATCAGGTTGTAAATTCAAGCTGTACATCAGGAGTTTTGAGCTCACATGCTAGGCACGCTCCATTGCACTGCTGGAGATGTGCTTCATTGTCAGATGAGACTCCAAACTGAAGCCCAGTCTGCTTCTTCAGGTAGATGTTAAAAATCCCTTGGAATTAAAAGAAAAATTGTCCCTTAATGTTCAACAATCTCTCGGATGAAATTGGTCACTGACTTCATGGCTGTTTGTGGGACATTGTTGTACCCAAATTAGCTGCCGCATTCACTTACAAAATCCAAGGTCACTATACCCTATATCCTGACCTGAAGATGGAAGTTGGAGAAATGGAAGTTGAACACGCCAGTTAGGCAGATTATAAGTACTGTAGTCTATGAACGTTTAACCTCCTGCCGATCTGTAAATGATGGTGATTGTGTGTCTAAGCAGCAAATTAGGCCTGGCATTTCCTCACAGGAATAGATGAAAAACAATACACTCTTGTGCACCTCCTGGCAGCTAAATTCCAAGCAGCATCAGTGGAGAAAATCAGTCATTCATTCACCAATGTGAATACTGCTACATGAATTCCCAATGAGGAGAACGAAGAGAATAACATTTATAAAATAAAATGTTTTTAAAAAATCAAAAGGAAGGAAATAAAGAATGACCAAAATCTATCAGTACTCCCCATGGCATTTCTTTAAAAGATGCCTACACGGGCTACAAAACTGAGATTTATATTACTTACAGTAACTACCCTTGTCCCCTCCGCTCCATCATCGATAGCCGTGCTATCAGTCACTACGTTCCGAAGCTCTGCAATTCCCTCCCTCCCCACTTTCACACCTCTACCTTAAAGATCTTCCTTTTTGATCATGCTTATGGTGATCTCCCCCTCCGTCTCCCCCTAGCTCATGGTCAGACTCCACCACTGTCAAACTCTTGGGAACGCTACCTCGCGTGAAAGGAGCTATATAAATGCAAGTTGTTGTTGTATGCGACTCATATTCTCATTTATCCTCATACTGAACATGGATTTGGGGGTTGTAAAAGCAATTGAATGCGAAAACTGCAGTGTAAATGGTATCAGTGCTGAAAAATACCTCAAAATAGAGTGTATCCTACAGTGATACCTTGTGGTCAATTACTGCATTGCAGCCAATGACACTGCTTTGAGATATTTAATCTTATGCTATATAAATGGTAGTTGTTACTCTAACCCAGGAGAGGTGTTTGATGTTTCCTTTGCAGTCATTTAGTAACTATTATTATCAACCCGTATTTCAATGACTACGTGGCATGTGTAGTCATTGAATGAGAAAATTATTGGGATTAAGGTAGACTTTTTTCCCTTCATTTTTATTTATTTGACTTGTACTCTACACTTTGATGTATTAGATTTATACTCCAGGACATTGCTGGTGACACCCCAGTCAGCTTGGCTTATCGGAAGGACTTGGAGAGGCAAACCAGTCACTGGAGGCAGGGATTCTTCCTGCTAGGGTCCGTTAACCCTGTAAGACAGAGCCCAACAGTATAGCTGGCACACAGGGGGAAAGCTTGCCAGACAGTGCTCTCAATGGCAAGCAATGCTGTTTTAGCTGGTTAGACTTCAGCAGTACCCCCAATGCACATTCTGGGGTCCCCAAGACTCAACTCTTGCCAACCTTCGCCTAATACTCTCTGGGATTTAGGTAAGCGGGTCTCCTTGGAGCTGAACTGACTCCAAGGTGGCATACTTTGCAACGTAATGTCAGAACCGAGCCAGCCCTCTTTGGTGGACTTGGTAGCCTAAGCTCCTGAGTAGGGCGTCTTTGTAGTATTCCAGGGCACTGCTGATGACAGCACGGCCAGCCTGGCTCATCAGCAGGATCTGGAAGGGCAGACCAGTCATTGGGGGCAGGGAATCATCCCACTCAGCTCTGGTTAACCCTGCAAGCCAAAGCCCTGACAGGTAGGGTGGTCCTAGCTAGATAAGCAGCAGGAAAGCTAGCCAGGCAGCAATATCAATGGCAAGCTATGTGGTTTTAGCTGATTAGACTCCAGCAGTACCCCAATGCACACTCTGAAGTCCCCAAGCCTTGGCTCTTGCCAACCTGCGCCTAATACTTTCCGGAATTAGGTAAGAAGGATGCGTCCCTCCAGGGAGAGAGTGCGCATTCTATTCCAATACACTGGCATTTTCATGTGTAGGTGGGATGCATGAAACTGGTACATGATGATGGTTTCCTAATGTGTCAGACACCTGGTGACAAAAAAAACCTTTTTATTTATTACAGTGGTTTGGGGTTCTGTTTTTTCATTTCAATGTCAAAATATCGTGAATAAATCTAGCAACTCATTCCTTGAATTCTGCTTGTTCTTCTAATCAGTTTACTTGCAGTGCCTTAAAATATTACAGTATTTTGAAAATTAAAATATTTTGATACAAATGGTTTCTTTGTCTTTGTTACTGTATTTTATGGATGCCTCTGCAATTTGCAAAAATATTTTTTTTGAAAAGAATTTGTTACAATCTAGATTGTAGGGCTTTTTTTTACCTAAGTTTCTTCAATTGTGCTATTGGTCATTTTCCATCTACCCCCTGCCCTCCTCCCCTACAGCATTGTTCCTTGTTCCACAGTTTTCCCATAAAGAGCTTTGAGACAACCTACATGTAGATGATTTTAGAGTATCTGATTTAACTTTCAGGATATAGGACTTTTAGATCATGAATAAATCATTGATATTTATTTTTGAACAGAGCAGTTAACCTTTTGAATCCTGCAAGTCTGTTTTTGCTGTTAAATTAGTTGTACTTTCTGGAAATTATAATGAGTTTGGTTTGTCTAGTCAGGTATACTGAACCCACCTTGTTTTCCGAAAGCAAATAACTGTTAAAATATGTTCACAATGTAACTGTTTGTCAAGACAAACTGAAGCCAGACCACCCTGACCTTCTCTACAAGGAATAAAATGTTCTCTTAGCCCCTGCATCGTGAGCCATCTGGACCCCAGATGGCTGTATGCTAAAATCTGGTCTAGCTGAACTAATGGGAGGGTGGGGGGAGATCCAGAATTTTGCCTAAGTAATTACTATCAGTAATGCAATTACCGGCATATTTTGGCACTACCTTTTTTTGTATTTGGGCGAATGTATTTTATGTTAACTTAGCTGTCTTCTGCTTGCGGGATTCCATCCTTACTAAACAAACAAGAGGGGTAACACAAACACCAAAACAAGTCACTCACTAAAGCAGGCCTACGTGTGGACATTGTGATAGCAGTGTGACTGGTGCACGCTAGGAGAGTTGGGCTGTGGGGAGTGGACATTTTGGGCCCATAGAAATTTTCTTTAAACGTTCAGTTTTGGGATTGGTTTAAATCTGGATACCTGGAAGTTTACTCTAATCAGTTATGCTATGCCTTAGTTATGCTATGCCATGGTTATGCTATGGATTGAGGATCTAATTTACAAAAGCAACTAAATGTGATCAGGTCTCTGCTTTTTTCCTCCCTCGTCCTTCCTCCCAATATATTCATTGTAAGAATGTCCACTGTTCTTACTGCACTGTGAACGGTGTGTAATATCAACAAAAATTCAAGAAATGTGCAGAACAATATGACATTTCTTGATTCACAACATTCTTGAAAATAAACTAAAATGCATTTTTTAATATTGAAATTTCCTTCCTTCCACAAAGAATTCATTGCCCTGAAATCCTGGCTACATTAATATATTTGTAATATTGTCCTTATCTTTGTAGCTCGCAGGCCGAGGCCTTATAAAAGGGAGAGACCACCTGATGTGGGTTCTATTACAGTTTATCTCTGGCAGTATCCAAAAGAATGCTCTGGCTGACTTTCTCCCAGTGATGAAACTATTTGACCTGCTCTACCCAGAGAAAGAGGTAAGATTCGCATATTAAATAATTCCAGCTCAAGTTTCTGATATAGCACGTATCCAGTGATTCTGATTCATTTTTTTCTTGTTTGCAGTGCATTCCTGTACCTGACATTAGCAAGCCACAGTCTACACATGCGTTTGCCATGACCTGTATATGGATACATCTCAACAGGAAGGCGCAAAATGATAACTCTAAACTGCAGATACCCATCCCTCACTCTCTCAAGCTCCACCATGAGTAAGCTGTTAGTGTGCAACGTTTAACGCACTGCCAAGAGGCTGAATATAATGCCCTTGATTTATTTGTCTCATCAAAAACTCTGCTTATTATTTATTTAGTTTAATACATTTAAGATTCTGTTCAAGATTCTGTTTACACAGAGCGCAATTGTTTGTTATTATCATTGGAAGATGATAGGGTGGGTATTCTTGAAGGGTTAGATCAAATGGGTCATGGGGCATACAAACCAAATAACTCTTATCGTCTTGTGAGAAAATACAGATAAACAATGAGGCCTTTATTTTTTATGTACATGCATACATTTTTCCATATATGAGTAGAAGCAAAATTATAATCTATTTATAATACAAATATTTATACCACAATTTGGAAGATGTGATCCAAAAGTGAAAATTGCAAAAAATAGATGCTGAAGAGCAAGTTGATGCTGCTTCCACTGAAGGGAAGGATAATCCATAGTGAGTGCACCCTAAGGGATTCTTGCTCAGTAACAGAATGACAATGAATGGGTAATGAACACTGCCCCTAACAGTATCACTTGCATCCCAAGACAGACTAAGAAAAAAACATGTCAGTCAGTTTTAGAGTACCATTAAATGAAACCTATGAACAGCCTATCTCACTTCAGATGGGAATGATGCATAGTGCGGGAAGACCAAAGCAGCTGAATGTAATGTCAGGAAGAGAAAAATCTAAAGAAAGGAGCAGTTTTCTCCTCAGTAACCAAATACTGTTAGATTTCTTATGAAAAGCATTATCTGATTTTTGTAATCCAAACTTCATATTTAGGATTCATGATTAATACTGTGCTTTCTGATTTATTTTCAATGCAGATTCTTGCAGCAAAGCTTGAGAAATAAAAGTCTACAGATGAATGATTACAAGATCGCATTGCTGTGCAATGCATATTCCACAAATTCCGAGTGCTTCACATTGCCTATGGGAGTGCTGGTTGAGACAATTTATGGCAATGGAAATATGAGGATAGCTCTTCCTGGAACAAACTGCATGGCTTCAGGATCTGTCACTCCACTTCCAATGAATCTATTAGACTCACTGACAGTTCACGCCAAGATGAGGTAAAGCCACTGTGGAATTTTGTTTTGCTTAGCTGGAACTTGACAGCTTAATGTATTTCTGAAGGTTCACAGTATCATTGTTGTAGATGGTTTCGAACATAACACTATTTTTTTGATTTTATAATGAAGGGAAGAACTCCAAAAAGCTTGGTTTTGCATCTGCTACAAATATATTTAGCCTGAAAGTTTATTGGCACTTGAAAACTATGGCGTGCATAATCAAACACATATTATAGTTGTAGTAGTATTGGTAACTTTCAGGACATCATATTTTCATGCTAAGTTTACTGTGCGAGTGTCATTTTCCAAAGCACCTGAACACATTAATGAGGGTCTCTCTTCATTTGTAAGGCATTGGTTTAGGTTTTAAAACTACTCTATTTTGAGTTAGTAATTTTGCAATAATTTGTTAGTATCTCTGAGCAATCCAGTGCCTGAGTTTACAATTGGTATCTTTCTGATGGACTATGGCAATGGACTGAACCTTTAAAAAATCATTTCAATTCTTAAAATTGAAAAATTGTTTGTAGACGCACTATTACGATAATTACTATTTTCAGTAGTGTTGCATTACTTGTGGATAATACTATTGAGTAAATATTTTCTGTGTTACAGCCTCATTCATAGCATAGCCACCAGAGTGATCAAACTGGCCCATGCTAAATCAAGCCTAGCCTTGGCTCCAGCTCTGGTGGAGACATACAGTCGTCTTCTCGTTTATATGGAAATTGAATCTCTGGGAATTAAGGGTTTTATCAGTAAGTAAAACATTTTATAGGGTATCTCAGCATAATATGCACAGGACACTGATCTTATTTTTATTTTAGTTTGAGCCTATTATTTTATTTTTGGCGGATTAATAACGCATGTTTCTGAGTCACAAAGTGGATGCATTATTTTGAATGGAGTAGAACTAATGAATGCTCCGAGTCTGTAGGGTGACTTGCTAGACTTATTATGGGTTTATTTAATTAGTTGAAGTGGAAACTCTTCCCTGATAATTTGATTAATAGAAATGGTAATATCTAAACATCGTTATGACATTTCTATGGACTATGGCAGCGGAAAGATACCATCTGGTCTGTCTGACTGTCTCTAAGTGTCTGAAAGATATTAATTTGGAGATTCTCAATAGCTGGTAATCAACAACATAAAAAACATACTGTGGATTCTGGGGTTCAAAATAATATTTCATTTCTCAACATTTGTGCTCCTCACTTTGAAAAGCAAAACAAATTTAGATATGTATATATCTTCCCCACCACCTGTACAAAAAATGATCATTTGAAAATATTACTCAGGGTGTGAATTCAAGAAACATAGATTTCTTGAGCCTTCATATATTATACAGCATAGGAACAGGCCATGTATGGCAAATTGTCTTCATATCAAGGGCAGTAGATTTTGGGGGAACGAGTGCATTGTTATATGACAGCTTGCAAAGCTTGCTCTATGGTCTGACTTTCAACTTATTTACCATTAGGCCAGCTTTTACCAAATGTATTCAAATCGCATGCTTGGGGGATACTACACACATTGCTGGAGATGTTCAGCTACCGTATGCACCACATCCAGCCTCACTACAGAGTTCAACTCTTGAGCCACCTTCACTCACTGGCTGCTGTGCCACAGACTAATCAGAATCAGCTTCACCTGTGGTAAGTAAGAACAAACTTTCTGAAATATAACATTGCTATTGCAGCACTAAGTCCTTCATATTATTGCTTATTGCTTAATTTTAAATACTAATATTTCGCTGGTCTGTTTATTCTTTTTAATTTAAGGGGGTTAATACTCAGGGAAGAGGAGGGAAAAGCACAGAGGGAAGGCAATTGGTTCCCTTTTGCCTGGAAAATTAGCTTTGTGCTTTTCAAGTTTTCAAATTTTAAATGGTTTTCATAGGGTAAAAAAGAGAAAGATCTTTTCCACTTAATTGAATCAGGAGCAAGCGGGTCTGATGCAAATCACCGCTTCAGGTAGCGAGTTCCACAATCTCACTGCCCTTTGCATGAACTAGTTCCTCCTAAGTTCTCATTTTAGATTCCCTAGTTCCTATCTTATTCTTGTTTTCCCTGGTTACGCGCTCCCCCACCAGTGGAAATAGCCTATTTATGTTAATCTTAATGAACCCTTTTATAATTTTAAACACTTCTATTTGGTCCCCCATTTAATATCTCTATTCAAGCAAAAAAAAACTAACCTATCCAGTCTACCCTGATAGCAGTAACCTGCAGGCCTGGTATCATGCTTGTAAACCTAGGCTGCAGTCTTTCTATCGCTATATCCTTATATTGTGGACAGTTCTTTATAGTTCTTATTCATAATCTTGCAAAGCAAGTATACAACTATTTCTCTGATGGATCAAAAACAAATCTCTACTTTGAGCTTTGCAAACATGAAAATGTCCTTTAATTGGAAAATAAGTCACAATAACATTGGTGTATCAGTATCTTAATAATCATGTATTCTAATTGGCATCAAATTGTTTGCTTTTTTGGGAGAAGAAAATTACTGTTTTTTTTAATCCGGTATCACATTCCTAAATCCACTCTTTCGTTGGGAGTTTGATGCAACTAAACAAGCTTGCAGATAACTGTATTCCCACATTGTTGCTAATTCAAACTTGAATTTGAATATAGTAGGGTAAGTAGGATATGGTATAGGTTGCACCTTCATGCATGTTTTTGTAAACCACAACCATGAATGCAATGCAAATATAGGTGTTTTAACACATGCTGATGTGAAATTACCACTACAGTAAAATTACTGCTCCTGACTTTTTAAAGTATATGTACTTATGTACTGTAATATATTGAGACGTGAAAGTTGCTTTCAGTCTCTCTGCCCCACCCTCTGGAACTCCATCCCACAATCCCTTCGCCTTGCTCTCTCCCTTGCCTCCTTCAAGGCACGACTCAAGACCTAAGTACCTTCAACATTGCCTTCAGCTGCCTTCTTACCCTGCCCTCCCTCACCCCAAACCTGCCCCCCCATGCTCAGGGCTTAATCCCCGACTGTCCAGTGCCTTGGGACATCCTTCTGACGTGAAAGGCACTTTATAAATGTAACTTTGTTGTTGTTGTTGCTACCTAAATACAAGTTGTGTTGGGGCAAGTTGGAAAAGACCTCAAAATGGAAGTACTGTATAAACCAATGCTATTGCGTCTCTCTCACTGTCTCCCTGAATCGCTTTCTCATTATGCCTTCCTCTCTCTCTCTCTCTCTCACTTTTTGCTTTCTGTGCCTGCTTCTACATCTGTGTCCATCTCTTTATCTCTAATTGCTGATTGTGTTTGTCTTTAGTGTTGAAAGCACAGCTCTGCGATTGATCATTGCACTGGGCAGTTCAGAAGTCCAGCCCCAGTTTACTCGATTTCTCAATGACCCCAAAACAGTTCTTTCTGCAGAATCTGAGGAACTCAACAGAGCTCTTATTCTAACTCTAGCCAGAGCTACACATGTAACTGGTTAGTATTAACTCTGAGGACTGATACGTTACAATTGATCGTAAAATATTATTTTGTAATCAAACATGTAATGTTACTTAGCGGACTCACTTGGAAAAGCCACTTGACGTTTGCTGAATTGGTTGATCTCAGTTGAGGTGCTGGTAAAGTCTCTGGGTTGGGGAAAGGAAAAATCAGGCGAGATTCTTTATCACTACCCAGTAGCCGAATGTTAGAAAATGTCTGTGAATATCGGAGGAGATAAAGATGTCTCCGCGGTTTCATTATCTAGGCTCACATAGCAGTCACTGTCCATAGAGCTACATCCCAATATGAATTAGAGCCTTGAAAAGAAAGTGCGTGTGGGGGTTAACATCCTATAATTCAATCAGTATTGTTATTCACAATATTAGAATCTATTTACACTGATCACTAAAACTAGCCATTTTTAGCAAAAAGTATGTTTACATTGTTTTGTTCCTGGAATGAAGTTACACTCTAATACAACAATCCTTGCACATTCAGTAACTTTTTATCTTGGTTTTTGTCTTAGACTTCTTTACAGGCTCAGATTCTATACAAGGCACCTGGTGTAAAGACATTCTGCAGACAATCATGGCCTTCACTCCTCACAACTGGGCGTCACACACTCTGAGTTGTTTCCCAGCTCCATTGCAGGTAAATGCCTTAAAAATTGAGTTCTCAAGAGCAGATCGAAGGTTTTTTTGTGCTTACTCGCTGTGATCCAGAGGGAATTGAAGTGGTGCCTCACATAATAATAATAATAATCCTTGCATTTGATATAGCGCTTTTCACGTCGGGAGGACGTCCCAAAGCGCTTCACAGAACACACTGTAAAGTGAATTGACTGTATATTTGTGGGCGAACGCGGCAGGCAATTGCGTACAGCAATGTCCCACAAACAGTCGTAGATTGAAAATGAACAATTTATTATTGTTTTGTTTTTTTGGAGGGATTATTATTAGGCGTGTGGAGTAAGGAAACTTGCCCAAGGTTTCGCCCTCTGCCTGGAATTGATCTCAGGTCTCTCGCTTACAAAGCGAGTGCTCTAACCACTGAGCTACAGGACTCCACATGATCATGAACACTCACCCTGTCCAGTTTCTGTCCAGTTGTGCTTATCAGTTCTAAGGCCATGATTGACCCAGATTTTCACCTCATTTTTTTCCCCACGATTGTTCAGTAATCAGTTTGCACTTCATAGCTGTTTATGGAACATTTCTGTGCATATATTAGCTACTCTTTTCACCTACAAAATACATAGTAACTACAGTAAATCATCTGAAATGATATGAAACGCGATAAAATTACATTTGATATAGTGTCATTCATGTCGGGAGGATATCTCAAAATACTTATTTTAAGGCAAAATGGCACCCAATTTGCACACAGCACACAAGCAGCGGTGAAGTGAAAATTCACATTGTTTGATGAAGCCCATATCAAATGAAATGATTATTAATTATTAGTAGACCATTAGTAGACCAATTTGCTGTCACCTCCAAATGGGTCAGTTTCCTGCAGGGTATATTCCAATATGAGATTTGGGTTTTGAAAGTGTCGGGAATGGTGTATCGCATCATGTTTAGAAGCGTGGGGAAGAATAGCTAGTGTGCTAGAATTAGGAATCGTGTATTTCATTGTGTTAGGAAAAGAGGGGAATTTTTTTCACTATTGTGCTAAATTTAGAATAATCCTATAATAATCCTTGAGTTTATCATGAAGTTTTTCACGTAAGGAGGACACCTCAAAGCACTTCACAGGATTTTACTGTGAAATTTAGCAACTGTAAACTTTATAGGCAAACAAATGATGTTTGTTAGGAGGGGTGAGAAATGTAATATGTCATTGTATGTTTGGAGAAGGAAAAATGAAGGACTAAAGAGCAAAAGGTGTTATTTTTTCTAAAATATTAGATTTTAATTCCACTAAATATTTAAATCAAATTGTATTCTCGCACCGCTAGAATATTTAGAAAGTATTTGACGTTATTTTAAAAACATTTTTAAGTTTTAATTTAATAATCCTTGCATTTGATTTTGTACCTTATCACGCCATTGAGACATCTCAAAGCGCTTCTGTAAAGTGGGTTGACTGTTTATTTTGTGGGTGAAAATTGCCTATTTCAGAATGTATTTTTTACATATTTTCTTGTTCCTAAAAGTTCTACATTCTTAACTGATCCCATTCGATCTCCAATTTGCAAGAAATTAAAATCTGTCTCTCTTGATCTCTCTTAGGCCTTCTTCAAACAGAACAGTGTGCCTCAGGAAAGTCGGTTTAACTTGAAGAAGAACGTGGAAGAGGAATACCGTAAGTGGAAGTCCATGACCAATGAAAACGATATCATCACCCACTTCTCCATGCAGGGCTCCCCCCCACTCTTCCTCTGCCTCCTCTGGAAGATGTTGTTAGAGACCGATCACATCAATCAGATTGGCTACAGGTGAGCACCTTCAGATATGACATTTGTTACCGACAGTCAATGGGAAGGTGCCTAGAATTAGCAATTGGTGAGCTGTAACCACTAGAGTTAAGGCATAGACCCTGTGAATCTCCCTGTATATCACCAAATGGGATCTTTATATCAAGTCCCAAATTCTATATATTTTGTAAACTCCTTGTTTTCCCCACTCCCAATTACTAAGTCCATACTAAGCATCATTCTCTCAGTTTCCCAAGTCTCTGCCAGTGCTGTCACCTATTCTATCTCAGGGAAATATATACAATCTGCCAGCTGTCTGAATAGAGGCATGTTTCTTTCCCCTTCCAACCAGCATCCTTGCCTCCAGACAGAACTTCCAGTATAGTGGAGCCCTGTTATGACTCAGTAGTTGGGAACTATAAAATTCCAACCAGCGCTGTAACTGGGTACAGTTGCTGGTCACTGTGCATACACACAGAAAGACAGCTTGGTTTATTGGTACTTCAAAATGCCAGAAATGATGTCTGCAGCAATCTGATGACCTGAAAGTTGGCCATTTTGACTGGCTGGCATTTTGAAGCTCCAATGGATGAGACAAGTTCATTTCATTTTTTTAAGTAAGTAGATTTCGGGATCCACATCTCAATCACACTATAAGCAAAACCATATCATAACAAGTTACGATAGAGTTCCACTGCAGTTGGAAACTCAGCATTTGATGCGCCTTCCACTCTGGCTCAATGTGTTTGTGCACTTATGCATTACATTCCCTTCTACTGGATGTGTTGCCTGTGGCATACTTTTAGATTAGTCTGCACATTTCCGTGAACTTCTCAATCACAGCTTTAACACAAATCCATCTAAAATACAGCACACATTCATCTGTGAAATCAGTACCATTATTCAGTAAACCTGGAAATAACAGTCATAATAAAAGCAGTAGATTGGAGCTATGGAGTTGTAAGATGTGGTTCATGCCTGTAATTCCCTGGTCAGCTTGGTCTAACTTAAATTGTTCCTAAAAATGACAGTATTTTTCATAGTCTTTAAAATGAGACTTCCAATTTACAGATATAGTGAATAAATTGCTATTTGGCATCTGGATAAAATACCCACAATAGGTTACCGAGCCTGACCTGTGTCCTTGGAAGCACTGATTTTGCAACACAACACCAGAAGACTAGGATCAAGGTTCAAGATCAGTTTTTCTCCTTTTTAAGATGTAGGATTGGGAAAACTGTGTTGGAATAAGTGGGAGAGAATGAAGCTTGCAACAATTCTCCCCCCCCCCTTTAATAGTTTAAAATGGTACTATAAACCAAATATAAATATCCAATAACAGCATTGACGGAGTCCAGAACGTACAGTAGTTGTCTGTTTTCACTTTTGAATGGGAAAAAACATTGAAATGGGAAGTAAATAGGAGAAAAAAGGGGAGAAAAAAATGGATAGTAAAGGTAAAATATCTCCATTGATAAAATACAATATAAGTGGTATATAAATTCATAATGCATCATGTGGATGTTTATGATGTTTTGTTTATACAATTTGCCGGTCGTTTTGTAACTCAAGAATATCAATTATAGCTGTTTTGTGATACTTTCATTAATCTGTTGAATTTTTTTTAGCTATTTCTATTATTTCATATAGTTTATATTACAAGGAGTAAAGTCAAATAATTAAATGTAAATATGTATTAAAAATGTGAAATATTTGTGTACATTTTACAAATGTGTATGTTTGTTAACAAATGTCTTCCTCTGATGCACTATTTATTCATTTTCTGTAAATTATGTCCTTTGAAAAGAGATCTATACTGTTCTCTTGACTGCAGAGTGTTGGAGAGAATAGGAGCCAGAGCGTTGGTGGCTCATGTTAGAACATTTGCCGACTTCCTGGTTTACGAATTCTCAACCTCTGCCGGAGGACAGCAACTGAACAAGTGCATCGAAATTCTCAATGACATGGTGTGGAAATACAACATTGTGACCCTGGACAGACTGATCCTGTGTCTGGTAAGTGTTGTTTACTATTTTTTTAAATAATTAACTTAAGCATGACAATTTTGATTCAAGTGTAGTTGAATCTTCATGGTAATGATTAAAAGCAACATTGTAAACTGATTAAGCATTAGGGAGCTAAAACTTCTAAACATTTATTTAAATGTATTGCTTGCATGGTAGTGTGTTTTTTTCTATTTTGATTAAGTAGCAAGATCAAGACTTACACAAAGCAATGCTCTTTCTGTATGGTCCAAGAAGTCTCATAACTCAAGCATCAAAATGTCATCTCCTACTGCACCAATCTAACTTTGCTATTTCCCACCCTCATTATCATGCCTAGACAATACATAGTCACTACACTTTACATTACATCCTATAAAGTGCTTTGAGACATCCTCCCAACATGAAAGGTTCTATATCAAATGTAAGGATAATTATGTCACTGAGTAAGGTTGCCAATTGGGACAATTATAGAGGGTAAAACCAATATTAAGAGGGTTAAGATGACCCAAACCATTTTCTTCAGGATCCAAATGAGAGAAAGAGATTTTCATCTCATCAGCCTGATTTGGATTCAAACTCATATCTCAGAAGCCAGACATTTTTTTGAAAACAAAAAAAATAATTTCAGTTCATATCTGTATTTCTCGTCATTTCACTAAATTTGCTTAGAAGCAGAATGAAACATTCTGAGACTCAATTGCAGTGTATTCTTGTCAGTGATGTTGTGCAGGTTCTTCTCCATTCACAACCTTCCTGTATATTTATCCATAATATAATGCTAATTTTGTACCATTTTTAGATATGATGTTAGTGTTACTTCTGCTTTTTTTTTAGTAACACTGTTTTCTGTCCTTCTGTGGGTTCAAGGCATTTTACACCTTAGATTAACTAAATCTATACTGATGCGGACTGAGAATTTTAATCCGTGATTCTGTTCAATTTCTGGTCTGCCAACACAACTAACTAATTGCAGGAATTTTTGGCAAATTTTTAATCAATACTCTGGCAGGAAATATTTAATATTATCAGCGACAAATGATCACCTGAGTTACCCAAATAAAAGTATTGCTTAATTATGTCACAGTTCCATATTTGGACCTGCTTTCTCCAGCATAACATACAAAGTATTGAATGCAATTTTCTACCTTTGCTTATTCAACGTAGGCCTTGAGAAGTCATGAAGGAAATGAAGCTCAAGTCTGTTACTTCATCATCCAGTTATTGCTGCTTAAACCGAATGATTTTAGGAATCGAGTGAGTGATTTTGTGAAGGAGAACTCCCCTGAGCACTGGTTGCAGAATGACTGGCACACAAAACACATGACCTACCACAAGGTGAGTGACAAAGCTTGAATGTATTCTTTCCTGTAAATTGACTACATTGTGAGTTTTTTTTCTTTTTGACTGATTTTGGTGATACATATTATAATTTGAAAATGAGATGGAATTTTGTTTTTAAGTAAAGAACATGCATTATTATAAATCACTTTCCAGGTCATTTCTACCAAGTGCAGTGACTATATATTTGTAGACAAACATGACAGCAAATTTGTGGACAGTCAAAGAACCCACTAAGAGTCATGAAGTCATGAAGGGAATCACCAAATAATCTGGAGGATTTGTGACCAGGATATGCGGATTCTCTTTTCAAATAATGGCTTAGAGATTGAAATGGATCTCGATTTTCTTCCTTTATTTGTTGACTGTCTAACTATTTTCTCATTGAAGAGTTTTACATTTATTTGGTACATAGTTTTGTGATTAACATTCAGATGACAATGCAGCAATTTGACTTTGTCTGGAAATGATCACATGCAATTCCTTTATTTTGAGCAAATCTGTGCGTCCAAATATGCCAAACCTCCACAGCAAACAACATGTACTCTGTCAAGATTTTAGCACAAATAAAGCTTTATTGTCAACTTAGTTTAATTGAAAAAATATGCTGAGATTTTGTTCCTAGTTGTGTAATGATCCAACTTGCAAATTATATCCTTTTGCCCTCATTATACAATCTCACTTTTGTTAATGGTTTGGTTGCAATTCAAGCGAATGGGAGATGAATGCAATTTTCTGATAAATACCAAAGTAAATTTCAAAGTGGTTCATTAATAAACATCCACAGAGCTATAATTTGTGATTAAATGATTTGACATAATGAATATTGTATTTCAATGAATCCTATTAACTATAATTTTCTAGGAAATGCAGAAAAATGTGACCTGCATTTTATTAGTACTTTAGGCTTGTTCACGCTGGAACAGAGAAGATTGCGAAGAGATGTAATTGCTCTCTTTAAGGTTCAAAAGTGGCTAGACAATATAGATCACAACAGGCTGTTTCAACTAATCCAGAATGGTAAAAGCAGAGGACACGGCCTGTGATTGAAGGGGGATAAATTTAGAATGAATCTACGCAAACACTATTTCAGTGAGCGAATAGTGCAGCTGAGAAACAGGCTCCCTAGGGAGACGGTTGAAGCATGAAGTGTTGATTCCTTCAAACACAGATTAGATAGTTTTCTTTTAGGAAATAACATTATGGGATTTAATACATAGGTACATATCCCCCTTCCCCCTCCCTCTCTCCCCTTGGCTCGTTGTCGGACTCTGCCACTGTGAAGCACTCCGGGATGCTAACCCACGTGAAGGCCACTATATAAATGTGAGTTGTTGTTGTTGTAGGTAGCTTATGACATGTACATGCGATCTCCAAGAAGGTGGAAAAGGAACTAGATGGACCCTTGTCTTTTCTCGTCTAGCATTTCTTATGTTCTTATGTTCTTTTAATTAGTCTTTGAAGTTTGTTTTGCTTTCTGTCCTGCTCCCAACAGTTCTATATCTAACTGTTAAAAAAAATTCCTTATATTGATTATTGATCTAGACATCTAGTATTTTTCTTCTTTCACCAAGTTTTTTACCTTTCTCTCCTGAAGACTATTTAACTTTGTTTCCTTCTATTGAAGGCTGCCTTCTGGCACTTTGCCCAAGTGACTATTATTCATCCAATGAGCCTTGTCAGTGTTGGCAGATTATTCAGCTGGAAGAGATATCAAGCTGAATCTGGTCTTGTTCTTATCACACATTCATCAGGGAATTTTCCTTCTAATCTAAGGCTCTGACCTAATTGTTTGCATCCTAGTATACAAAACTCAGTACAGACCCAGTGTTCAAACTTTGGAAGCCTGTATGGCTCATATAGTAACTAAAGATAAGGAACTGGCAATGTTATTTTTAATATTAAGAAGTAGAAGAATCAGATCTGTTTCATTTTTAAAGGTTGGCTGATCGTCCAGGAACATTATACTAAAGCTTGCCCATTGTTTTCATGTTAGTGAATCACACTTTTTAAACTATTAATTGCAGCCCCTTTCACTAATGGCATGAGTACTTTTTTGTCATCAGTAATATTGCAGTACTTCTGAATGAAATATTGGAAATAAATAACTACGTTATTTCTGCTGCTCTAAAATAACCGTGTATGTCTAATGGCCTCCCGATCCTGCTGGGCAACCACTAATTTACCTGTGAAAGAACCATCGCATCCTATCTTAGTTATTCCAGTCTTTGGTTGTGAGCATCCTTCTACATTTTGGTTGTGAGCATCTGATATTATAGTAGCTTTATTTGGGTACACAGGAAAAGGTGATTTGCAAGATCATTTCCGAATTAGTCATTGGCTGTTCCAAATTGCCAGGATACTTGATGTTACAGGACTTTTTAATGTTTTTTTGTTTCAGTCAGTCGTGTATAATTTCCTGGCAGAGTGATATGTTGGGCAAGTTTCCTTACTCCACATGCCTCTGTTTACCTAGCAGTAAGTAGGAACCCGGTTGTTAGTTGATTGGCGGATTGCTTTCCGGAGGGATAATAATCCCTTAAAAAAAAATAAAAAAATTGGACACTTCAATCCACGACTGTTTGTGCGCAATTGGCTGCCGCGTTTCACCCACAAAATATAGTCAGTTCACTTTACAGTATATTCTGTGAAGCGCTTTGAGACGTCTCGAAGATGTGATAAGGCCCCGTATCAAATACAGGGATTATTATTATTATATAACCTAGTTTCTAATATTCTGCCAAGACTATTCCATATATTTTAGATTTGTTGTTGTTTTATTTGCAGTATTTAAAGAAATCCTTTATATTCCTGCTGCTGTCTGTATTTAGTCAGAACAGTGCTTATTACTTGTAAATCGGTGTCTACAAGAACATTATCAGGTTGTCGTATATGATTAGACTCTTATAAATGATCAGCGCAGTATCATGATCGTCCATTAAACGTGAATTACACTACTCATGATCATGATCTATCAATATTGTTTATAGCAACTTAACCTCTGTAAACTATTCAATTATTACATGTCCAGTTGGATTTTCATAAATTTAATGTGAAAATTCTTGTGGTTCATTCATACATAACCTTTTATATGCATTATTTATTGTTTTTATTTGCATAACATTTTCATTAGGAATGAATAAAGTGACCTGCAAGTCATTGTATTCCATGAAGTAGCATTTTAATACATCACTGAAATTTGTAATTGTTAGAATGTCCTCATGTGTCACCAATGGTTAAAATTGAAGACTACAATTGCTGTATATCTAGTTTTTTTTGGAAATAGTCATTACTAATTGATGCTTAAGACGATAAAGTTAGTATTGAAAAAGTAAAAATAATTAATTTGATTGATTTTTTATTGCTGTTTTTACTTGTAGGAGGAGTTAGCTTGGCACAGGAACAAAGGACTAAATGGATTCTTCTGCCCTCAGATTTAGACATTAATACATTTCTGTGTTTACATTTCTTGCAGAAATATCCTGAAAAGCTGTACTTTGAAGGCCTGGCTGAGCAAGTTAATCCCCCAGTACAGATTCAACCTCAGTATCTCCCCATTTATTTTGGAAATGTCTGCCTTCGATTTTTGCCGGTGTTTGATATTGTCATCCATAGATTTTTAGAGTTACTCCCTGTGTCAAAATCTTTAGAAACTCTTCTTGATCACCTGGGAGGTCTATACAAGTTCCATGGTAGGTATTTTATGTTTCAGATTATTCAGTAGTAGAATACCTTTTAATTTAGATATTATCCTACTTTGGACCTGAGCAATTCTAACTAAATTATTTTTTGTAATGTCTTATGTCTTTTCATATGTCCAGATACTTTATATTTTAGATATTTATTAATGTGTATATTTTTTTGGATATTCAATTACATTAAAATATTCTGTCTACAAGGGGAATTTCACAAATCTAGTAGTATGGTATAGTAGTAACTCAACTGATAAGTACATGGTAAATGCAATACAATGTACATGCCAAATATCATGTAGCTATCAGTGCTGCATGTTTACAGAAACTGTTTTGACATACATAGAATAAATAAAATATGTAAGAGCCTGCAGCTCTCTCATAAAGGATGCTATATTTATATACTGACCCAGTTACTAATTTCTGAGTCAGCTCCCCGGTAGAAAAATGACAATGTAGTGATTTACCACAATACTGAATGTAGCTCACCTCCTTGAGTGACATTTAGTGATATCGTTGGAAATGTCATTCTCCTGGTGGGGTGAAGTGGAGGAAGAGGAAAACAGAGATAATAGTGTTTTCAAGCCTATTTTAATTATCATGTGTTGTCAGCCAAGCTATATTATTTTCGATTGATGCATGAAAAAATATCTTTGTTGCAGACCGGCCAGTGACCTACCTGTACAACACTCTTCACTACTATGAGAGACATCTGCGAGACCGCACAAATCTGAAACGCAAACTTGTTCATGCAGTCATTGGTTCTCTGAAGGATAACCGACCACAAGGCTGGTGTTTGAGTGAAACCTATTTGAAGTCTGCTATGAACGCACGAGAAGACAACCCTTGGATTCCTGATGATACCTACTACTGCAAGCTGATCGGTCGATTAGTAGATAATATCCTTCTCTGCTCCTTGGTTTATGTGAGATTTGACACCTACCACAAACACTCCAAAAAATAGATGAGATTTGTCAAAGAGTAAATGTGCTGACCCAAATGAGCGTGTAGTATTCTCACTGGTCAGTAAATGTACCTACTTAGCTGTAGGAGCTTATAACAGAACAATAAAGATCTCAGTATGAAGACCTTTAAATCTAACAACTAATGAGAGGTACTGTCATAAATCCATTCATTTTCAGCAATGGAAAAGCACTAAAAGACAGATTGAAACAACTTTGAAAATGTTGAAAGATAGATTTTATTCCACCAAGAGATTGAAGAGATAATTTTGCAGGTTTAGTATCAGTAATGCCATAATATTTAAAAAGTTTAGTAAACTCTTGATCTATACTAGAAAAAAGGAGTTTAGCACAACACAAAACTTTCATAGCTATGTGTTATAGCATTCGGTTTGGTTTATTCGCTACCTCTGCATACTATCTAAGAGGGGCCTGTAACTGTTTTATTTCTTATAGATTTGTATCTTGTTACTAATATCAATATATAGTGTTCAATGCACAGTAAAAGAAAGATAATCCACAAACTTCATTATTAATATAGTTGGGCACTAACAAAGTTGTTTATTTTATTGAAGTTTGAGGTCCTCTACTGCAGATTATCTGGGACCGGGAAAAATGTTTGCAAGAAGTTTATAATAAGTTTGATATAACTAAAGTACTGTAAGGTACAGCTTTAAGGCAGGGATATGATTGTTTTAACTTTATGTATTGTGTTTCTTATCAGCCAGTATATTAATATTTACAGTATTTTTATAATGCTTAATGGCTAATTTGTTTTGGTTTACACTATGTGGAAAGAGCCATATTCTAAAAGTTGAACTCTCAGTAATATTTCCCTTAATAAATACTTCACCAATGGCAGGGAAATCACCTGGACCATTTCCAAACTGTGATTGGAGATTCAATGAGTTTCCCAACCCAGCTGCACATGCCCTTCACGTAACCTGTGTGGAACTTATGGCATTGTCCGTTCCAGGGAAGGAAGTTGGAAACGCTCTACTGAACGTGGTACTAAAAAGGTAATTGGAATTGGATCCGACAGCTAATCCTTGGTTGCATCTAGATCAGGAGGCTGTTGGTTCAAGCTCCATCTTGGGTCTTTGAGCTCACAGCCTGGAATGCCAATGTAGTACTGTCATGTGTTCAGTTGGATGATAAAAAATCTTATGAAACTATTCAAAAGGAGAAGGAAATTTCTTCCAATGTCCAATAATCTTCCAGACTTCATTTGCGGGACCTTCCTGTACACAAATTGCCTGCACACTTTTCTAAACATACAAAGTCACCACACTTGACAGCAATTACTTGTGAAGTATTTGAGACGTTTAGAGAACTATTGATATTTTGTCATTCTGCTTGCTGTTCTTTGAATAGAAGATTCAACAAATGAAATATTTTGTTTATTATTATATAATTCTTTGAGGATTATTCCTGTGCCAAAGAATGGTGGAGTGTATGGACCATTCATCTTCACAATATAGAAATCATTTATAGAAATCAGACTACGGCACTACCTCACCCCTCACGCTGCTGAAACTCTAGTCCACGCCTTTATCACCTCAAGGCTGGACTATAGGAACTCTCTCCTCGCCGGCCTTCCCGGCACCTCCCTCCACAAGCTGCAGGTCATTCAGAACTCTGCAGCTCGTGTACTGTCCCGCACCAGGCTTCGCAACCACATCACTCCCACCCTCGCTCGCCTCCACTGGCTCCCCATCCCCCAGAGGATAGATTTCAAGATCCTCATCCTCAAGGCCATTCACGGCCTTGCTCCCTCCTACCTCTCCGACCTACTATCCCCCTACCTACCTGCCCGTACCCTCCATTCCTCTGGCTCCGGTCTGCTCCACATCCCCCGCCCCAACCGCCCTACCATCGGTGGTCGGGCCTTCAGCCTCTCAGCCCCTAGGCTCTGGAACTCTATCCCCCAGTGCCTTCGCCTTGCTTCCTCCCTTTCCTCCTTCAAGGCCGGTGTCAAGACCTTTCTCTTTGACCGAGCCTTCGGCTCCCCTCTCGACTCTCTACCCCCTCCTCTCTCCCTCCCTTCCCTCCCCCTGACCATTTCCCCCTTGCTCGGGGAAATGACCCAACTGTACAGCGCCTTGGGACGTCCTCCCGACGTCAAAGGCGCTCAATAAATGGAATCTTCTTGTTGTTGTTTGTTTGAAACTCATAATTTGTTGTGTTAGTTCACAGTGTTTCTATATTGCTCGTGTGGAATTCATTGCTGTTTTATTGTTTTTCCTTAATTTGTATAGCGCCTTTCACGTCGAGAGGATGTCCCAAGGCGCTGGACAATCAGTGTTTCCTTAACTTAATGAGCTAAATGGTTTTCTCTTCTTCTTTCTCTTCACTGCCGTTAATGTAAACAAAATTCGGAAGGATTTCCAAGCCCAATATGTTAAAATGTGTCAGCTGGGATTCATTTGTAAAAATAAATTTGCCGTTTTTGTGTTTGGTTTGTCAAGCAATAATATATTTATTTTCTTCCCCTAGCCAGCCACTAGTGCCAAGGGAGAATATTACTGCATGGATGAATGCAATTGGACTTGTAATAACTGCCTTACCCGTAAGTCTCTTAAAACTCATAATGGTTGTGTTAAGTTCATTTTAACAGTGAACGCAGTAATAAGTGTCTACTTCATGCCCAAATGCCCCATTAGGATTAATGTGCTCTGTAAATCCATTTTTAGAAGAAGGAAGCTAATTGAATTCTAGGTTGCATCCCAAGAGTTTTTGGTGAAGATCAAAATAAGTTATTTTAACATTTTGTAGAACACTAGTAAATTCACGTTTGGAATATTGTGTGCAGTTTTGGGCATCCTATGTTTACAAGGATGTTTAGGGAACCTTTAGGGAAGTTCAGGTTAGACTGACAAGGATTGTTCCAGGAATTAGGATTCTATTATACAATAGACTTGCAGATCTGAACATATTACTCATTATTTTCCCACAATAAGTCCACAACTAAAAGAACTCTAGTATCAGTGATTGACATATGATAATTTCTACATTGCAGTTTATAAGACCACTGAACCAGGAAGAATGTCATGCCCTACATCCCTTCTAGTTTAAACAGCTGTTAATATCAACAGCAAAATCTTGTATTTTTATAATGCCTTTCACATGGACATGGGTAGCATCTCAAAGCTCTTAAAAGCAGTGTGGTTGGACACCAAGCTGGAAAGAGAGGGTTGGTGACCAAAGGACATAGTCAATGAGGAAATTTTTCAGGTGTGATTTGAAGATGGGCAAAAAGATTAGAGGAATTGGAGCAATGGGTTCAGAAATTCAGGACATGGTGGCTGAAGACACGGCTGCCAGTAGTGAGCGGAGGGGATGAGGTATGTGCAAATGCCCTAAGCCAGCTGAATGGCGAGTCATGGATTGGGAATTGAGCAGAAAAAAAACATTCAATATTCCAACAAATCTCTGAGTAAAAACATGGTATGTAGTAATGCAAGTTGCAGCATTGCAGACTCAAGGAGCTAAATGGATTTCTCTTCTACTTTCTCTTCACTGCCATTATTATAAACAACTGCAACAACAAAATTACATTTGTATAGCGCCTTTCATGTTGGGAGGACGTCCCAAGGTGCTGGACAATCAGTGTTTCGGACCCAACTGGGGGTTATGATCGGGGAGGGTGGAGGGTTAAAGAAGCACTTCTGTTTGCTCGGCTCATTTAGCCAAAGTATAATCGATGCAACAGTGGTTGCTATGGAGCTGGTTGCAATTATGACAGTCAGTATAAAAAGTGATAACTGACGTAGTAGGATTTTGTGACCCAAGTTCAGGATTCATATAATCTTTCTGTTTAGTAAAATCATCATTAATGTTTTACAATTCAATTTGATATTTAAATTATTTATATGAAATGACACACACAAAGCCTCTTAATCTTAACAGTAATGCTTGGTTGAATATCTCCCCTTTCTAACTTATCTTGAATAAGAAGTCAAAAAGTTCACAAGGTACAATATTTTCCACTAAAGAGTGCTTTTGTTTGTTTTTCAAGGAACCCTATTGGATAGTATTGAATGATCGTATTGTGAGTGTTATCAACAGTCCTACACTAACTTCAGACACAGAATGGGTTGGTTACCCATTTCAACTCTTTGATTTCACTGCTTGTCACCAGTCATACTGCGAGATGTACTGCAGCTATGTCCTCGCCTTAGCACATGCGGTGTGGCATCATTCGAGCATTGGACAGCTTTCCCTTATCCCCAAGTAAGTAGCAGAAATACCATTAAATATGTTTTTTTCTCCTTTCAGATCATCTAGAGTTACAGATCTGTGCAAATCTAATGAGTCTTATACAGATCCTATGTCACTGATAATCAATATGTTAAGCCATAAAAATATGTGATTCATTGTGAAGCTGTTCAGCCCCCTTTTCACATTGGTGTTTGTTCCTCCAAGAAGCCAGCCATCCTAATGCAAATTCTCTGCTCTTTCCCCATACCCTCTAATACATTTTCTCTGCATATGCTTGTCCATTTTTAAAAAAAATCTCCATTGGCTCTGCTCTGGCAGACACCTGGGCAAATCCTTAACAACTCTCGGAGAGAAGAATTTCTCCTTTTAATCCAATTGTCATAATCTTGAATGTGTGCCCTTTTGTCCTTGAATCTCTTATCAGCGAAAAGATTTTTGTAATTCTCATACCTAATCATTATCTTAAACATCTCCATCATATCACCTCTCAGCCTTCTCTGCTTCAATGAAAAGAGCCCAATAACCTCTCCAGCCTTGTCCCATATCTATATTCTTTCATCTCCGGTATCATCTTCATTTACCTATGCCACAATGTTGGCATAGCTCTAATATTATTTCTATAACTTGGTGGCCTAACCAATGTCTTGTGAATATTTATCATTATTTCCTTCCTTTTGCATTCAATCCTTTACAAACATCATAGTTAAACATTATCAGTCAGAGTAAACTTGACTTATCAGTCATTGGAAGACCTTCTAAATCACTGGAAAATGTATATCTGATCAGTGGGGATTCTAAATCTGTTCTCATCATATTTGTGCTTCTAAGGCAAAATGTTGACAATGAGCCTAGGGGGATAGTTCTCATAAAAATTAAAGTGAGTGCTATATGTTTCTGCACATAAATGAACATGACGTTCAAGCATGCTGCATGCCTGACTAGAGACTAGAGACAATTAAAGGATGTTCAAAAGGGGATTTAGGTGTAAGGTTTTGCAGATACAACAACTTGCAATTATGTAGTGCCCTCCACGCCCGAGCCAGATGGTTGTGTGTGGCAATGACATTGATTAATTAGTAAAGTTGTGAAAATGTTTGGTATCTAAGAGAAAGAAAGAGAACACTGGTGTATTGAATGTTCAGGAGAGAGGAAAAAGCAGACAGCAAAAAATAGCAAACATCAATAGTGTTTTGCAGACCTCTCTTGGGCACTTGTCCAGTTCCTTACAAGTCGAACCTAGTGTTGAAGTAATTGTCTATTGATTGATGTCAAATGAATCTGTGTCTTCCTAATACTGATTTTGATAACTATAAAATAATTTCATCTGAGCTCTCTTGCCCAGCAGGTGAATTTAAATTGAGTGGAGTGTTGTGTCCTATTTTATAGTAACAATGAATGCTCTTCAGATTTCAAAAAAGAAGTTTTTCCCGGTATCCAGGCCAATAATTCCCCAGATAAATATTAATCATTCACTTCATAACTATTTGTGGTAGATTGCTGTTTGTAAATTGGCTGCCATGTTTGGCTACAAATACAGAGTCACTGCACTTTACAGTTAATCCTATAAAATGCAAGGAATATTTATTGTTATTTCCTGGTGCTTTTTTTCCCCCTGAGATTTACTTGTAAATTGTAACTTGAAACACGTCTTTGATAATGATTTGTATAGTGATTTATTTTCACAAATACTGAATATCGAATACTGTGAGGATGTTTATGATATAACAGGGGCTGGTGTCCTGGGGTAGAAATATTGCAATGCCTTTCCTTCTTCATAAATGTTAAACTTTATTAACGAGTTGCTGGATTACTTATGAAAGGATGAGTGCTCCTCCTTACCTGTAGAGGGCCTTGTGTTGGTGGCTGTTCGGCCAATGTGCAAGGTGGCTTCTCTCCTTGCTCAGCTCAATGCCATACCTCTCTGAGCAGCAGTATTTCAAGAACCGTGCACGCTAATACATTCAATAGGACTGAAAACATTCCTATTGAATATGCAGAAAAAGCTGGAAAATAGGACTGAATGGGTCGCTTTTTCAGGGAGCCAGCACAGACACACTGGACTGAATGGCCACCTCCTGTGCTATGAATTGCTATGGCTCTAATCATGTTTTGCAATTTCTGTACTGCAAGATACAGGAGGATTGTTCTTAATTAGATGTACAGTGCAATCCTGTTATAACTTGGTGTCTCAGATCTAGAAGGTTATACACTGCATTAAAATCAGTCCACATATGAATGATTAACAACCTAGAGAGAAGCCTTTTTTAGTGTGGGAAACTAGCTAGTCAACATTGGTACGTTTCCAGTCACCCCCAAAGCTACTTACAGATAGTAAATATCTATGTATTGTTTTTAATTAATCATCAAAGTTTTACTCTCAGGATCAATCAGTATTGCTGCACATTAAGGCAAACCCATTCAAACAACCAACTAATGCAAAATTCCAACAATCACCAAACAAAAGTTAGATCTTTCAGATATCCAAGTTATTGTTTAAAAACAATTGGGAATGCAGATCTATTCATCATCTTCCAGTATAGCGTTTTTCTTTGGATGGGCATAGTGAACTAGTCTATTTGTAGTACACCTTTTGGCAAGCATAAGACTAATTTGGCAAAAACAGAAATAGAATTCTAACACAGGTTCTGAATGAATGAATAGATGCAATAATAGTCATAGTGTGAGTGCTGATGTATGTCTCGAGGTACAATTGACCTGTATGGGGTGAAGTGACCATGTGTAATCAACTGTTTGTCTCTCAGATTTCTCTCAGAAGTGCTGAAACCTTTGGTGAAGACTGAATTCCAGCTGCTGTACGTTTATCACCTTGTTGGCCCTTTCCTGCAGAGGTTCCAGCAGGAAAGGACACGGTGTATGCTTGAGGTAAATCAATCTGGTTTTGACAAGTAATAAAATGTGGCAGCCTGGCTCAAATTGGTAGCACTCTCGCCTCTAAGTCAGAAGGTCGTGGGTTCAAGCCCCACTTCAGAACTTGGAACTCATATCGATTAAACTGATACACCAAAGCAGTGCTGGGCGGTGTGTACTGCATTACTGGAGGTGTAGTACTTCAGGTAAGACATTAAAGATCCCGTCTGCCTGTTCAGGTGGACGTTAAAAGATCATATGATACTATTTGAAAAGAGAAGGTAGTTTCTCCTGGTGTTCTGGCCAACAATCCCCCAAATAAATTTGGTCACTCACTCAATGGCTGTTTATGGGACATTTCTTTGCACAAATTAGCTGCTGTGTTTGCCCACAAAATGCACAATCACTTCACTTTACAGTATATCCTGTGAAGTACTTTGAGACTCTCAATAATGTGTTACGGCACTATATCAAATGCAAGGCTATTTTTAAATTAAAACAGAATTGGTCATTCACTTCATGGCCGTTTTGGAACAATTCTTGGTTTCACTAAAATAGACCCTGTTCCCTTAACATGTAATAACCATCCTTAAAATACACTACACTTAGTGGAGATTGAAGAACTGAAATTGGCTTAGAGCGTTTATTGCAGTTTGCAGCAATCAAAAGTCTCAAAACATTCTCGATATGTACGTTGGTCACAAAAAAGACTGTTAAATAATAATAATAATAATAATAAATCTGTTAAATCTAAAGCAGTGAAGCTGGATGGTATTTCCTAGATTAGTTAACTAAACATGTAAATATGTAACCTCTTCAATTTCTTCTTCTGCAGATTGGAATAGTGTTTTATGAAATGCTGTTTAATGTAGACCAGAATAGCAAACACTTGGGATACATGGACCCCATTTGCGATTTTCTGTACCACGTAAAGTACATGTTTACAGGAGACAGCGTGAAGGACCAAGTAAGTAGATTAAAAAGTTCTTCAATAACTGAGTGTGAAATACAGCATCTTGAATGGGCAATTATTGATTTTTAATGGGCCGTTATGCTTTTAGTCATTATCTTGTAGAATCAAAATCATCTTAATATGGTAAGCTTTAGAACTCCAGTGAGAAACATTGTGAAATGTAAACATGGAATGTTCATACTAATGTTCGCAGACACGAGTTTTCATGTGTCACAGATGATCTAGATTATCCTTTTGAGTACAGAATGTTTTGCTGTAGCTTTCAGAAAGATGAGTATCACACAGCATCCAAAAAAATAGGATCTTGCGAGGTTCCAAAACTGAATAATGTTAATTCAAAATGAATTGAGTTGTAGAATATTAACATTAAGGAGAAACTAAACTAAATGACGGATAGCAGGGAATAATACAGAAGCACAAATGTGGAAATAAAAATAGAAAATACTTGGAACATACAGCAGGTCAATCAGAAACTGAACGAACACAAGGTTTGAGGAAGGTTTTCCCTTTCAATCACTCTGGTTTTAACATGGATTGTAATGGCATTCAGTACTGTAATGCGCAAGTTTGCTTTGGTTCATTTTTGAATTGATTCATGTATTGTACATCACTGTGCCAGTTTTCCAAATGTAAAGGAGCTCTGTCATTTACCTCTGTCTCTTGAGTTTAATTCCTGGACTATGCTCATTTTTTATATTTGTGTTTTCCTTGTATTACTCATATAAAAATACACTGTTTATAACTAAAATGGAGGCTGGAGTCAGTTGGCTCACATGGCAACTTCAAGGATGAGAAGTCTCGCACACTTGTTTGTGGAGAATGAATGATCCTCAAAGAATGAGGACTGTTACTGCAAGTGGACAGTTGAAAATGTTGTGAATATTTAAATGTATAACCAGCAACAAAACATTTACCAATGTTATTAATTCTGAAAGAATCTTTCCAGAAAATGCCTCAGGCTTCTCTGCTCATCACTTACTTTCACTGCCATCTGACACCGTGGCTTTGTCCTTTCAGGTGGAAAAAATTATCTGCGTTCTGCGTCCAGCATTAAAACTTCGACTGCGCTTTGTGACGCACATAAGCAAAGTGGAACCAACAGCTCCAATGCAAGCAACACACAGTGCCTCTCCAGCCAATCCAGTCAGCCAGGTCTCCTCTGCAGTTGCGCTACCAGTGGCACAGTGAACATATGGGCAGGGGTTTGTCCTAACTCTTTGGCTCTATTCACATGATGTAATAAATTGTTTAGTATTTAATATAAAAAATGTTACTTTTTTGTTTATCTTTTACATATGTGCAGTTTGACTTGAATTCTGTATGTAGCAGCAGAAGGAAAGGTGTAACCGACTACTCTGGTTCTGAATTTGTGTCCATAATGCTTGATTTACAACTTCAGGGTGTTTCCACTCAGTCCAATAACCGGATTTTAAAAGTAAATCAGAAAGCCAAAGTAATTTTTCTCCTGATTCCTTTCAGCAATGTTTGATCATATTATGCAAGTTCCAGTTAACCTTAGCAAAAGGCACCATTTACTGTTATATTCCGCAAGTTTTATTGCATTTTCTTTTGTTTTCCTCACAAATTGTAGCCTTTATTTAGTACGTACTAGGATTTTAAAATTGGAGTTCGGCTTGCGATTAAAATTATGCAAAGAATGCAAACTCCATGGCACAGCTGTCGGGAAGCTGCCAGCTAATGTAGTGCGTGAATTTGAAATGCTTGGTTTTATTAGTGATACTTTTTTTTAACAAAAAATAAACTTTTTTTGATAGTACTGATGTCTTCCTGCTTAAGTTGTTTTTGAAAGGAGTTGATTGTCTCGGGTTTAGATCATAGTAATGTTTTCTTTGCAAAGTGATTTGTTTCTGCTCTCCAATGTTTGAAGAGGAATAAACTATGAGGAAAGATTTCAATAAATTGCAGCTTTAACTCACGAAAAGACATGTTTCAGATGGGAACTTGTGAAATCTGAATGAGGTAGAGAAATTAAACCCAAACAATAATTTCAAATGCAGTATAGAAACAGGACAAGTGGGGGTGACAGGTTCAAGGTTGCGAAAAGTTTAGGGTAGACGCCAATAAGTATACTTTTACAACAACTTGCACTTATGTAGCACTCTCCACACAGGGTGGAGTCTCAGAGCGCTTAACAGTGGCGGAGCCTGACTCCGAGCTGGGGAAAGGGGGAGATGGTCGTACGTATGGTCAAAGAGGAAAGTTTTCAGGCGGGACTTGAAAGGGGAGAGAGGGTGCAAAGTGGAGGGATTGAGGGAGAGTGTTGCAGTTTTGGGGCGTAGTGGCTGAAAGCACCTCCTTTGATGGTGGGGCAGAGGGTGCGAGGGACGAGCAAGAGGCTGATGCCAGTTGAGTGGAGGCACCGGATTGGGGAGTGAGGAGTTTGAAGAGGTAGGGAGGAGCCAGGAAGTGAATGGATTTGAACAAGGGTTTGAGGAACTTATCCGTTCGGTGATGGGGAGCCAGTGGAGCCTGACCAGAACTGGTGAGTTTGGTCTGGGTCAGTGTGTGGGCAGCAGAGTTTTGAATGAGCTGGATCTTTTGAATGGTGGAGCTGGGGAGACCGGCGAGGAGTACGTTGGAATAGTCCAAGCAGGAGGTGGCAAACCATGCACAAGGATTTCGGCTGCATTCGGGTTAAGATATGGTCGGAGGCGGGCAATGTGGCGGAGGTGGAAGAAGGTGGTCCTTGTCAGGGACTAGATGTGGGGGGAGGAAGGACAGTTGGGGGTCGAACCGGAATGCCAAGGTTGTGCACTGGTTCAATGAGCTTGAGGGAAAGCCCAGGGAAGTTGAGGAGTTTAGATCCACAGGAGTGAAGACGTTGACAGGAGCCAAGGAGTATGGCTTCCATCTTGTCCATATTCAGCTGCAGGAAGTTTACACTTATCCAGACCCTGATGTCTGCCAGACAAACTGATAGAATATCGAGGGACCTGGAGTTGGTACTGGAGAAGGCAAAGTAGATTTGTGTGTCATCTGCACACATGTGGAAGTTTACCCTGTATCTGCGGATGACATCGCCAAGAGGGAGCATATAGATAAGGAAAAGAAGAGGGCCAAGGATGGAGTCCTGGGGTAGCCCGAGGGTGACTGGGTGGGGGTGGGAGGAGAAACCATTTGCCGAGATGAAGTGTAGGCGGTTGGTTAAGTAAGACTCAAACCATGCGAGTGCTGTCCCACTAACGTAGATGATGGAGGAGAGGAACCGTGGAGGAGGAACCGTGGTCGAACGTGGCAGAGAGATCCAGGAGGACGAGGAGGCAGAGGGAGCCCTGGTCACAGATAGAGAGAATGTTGTTTGAGACTTTGACAAGCGCTGTTTCTGAGCGAAAATCAGACTGCAGGGGCTTGAGGAGGGAGAGGTGTGACCGAAGTTGACCTGCAACAATGCATTCCAGGACTTTGGCAAGGAAGGGTAGGTTGGAAATGGGATGGTAGTATGTGAGGTTAGAGGGATCGACAATGTTTTTTTTGAGGAGGTGTGTGATGACAGGGATTTTCAGGGGCAGTGGAACAGAGCCTGAGGAGAGAGACTAGTTGACCATTGAGGGGGAGTTGAGTGACCAGCAGCTGGTGGGGAGAGGATCGAGGCAGCAGGTGGTAAACTCATCTGGGTGATTGTGGTTGAGAGGGAGAAGGGAGAAATGGGGGCAAAGAAGTGTAAGGAAGGGAGAGTGCCAGGAGCTGTGGCAGAGGGAGAAGGCTACCAGAGGGATGGTCTGGGTGGGGTGGAAGGGGACATGGAGGGGGTGGGAGGACCATGCAGCTAAGTGGATGTTTTCAATTTTTGAGGCAAAGAAATCTAGGACTAAGAACTATGTTACTAGCCATGCACAGATGAGAAACAAAACTGAATGGATGTTTTGTGTTCTTAGCTTTTTGTTCTTTCCTCCCATTCGTCTCCTCTTTCCACCTAACTAGTTATTTTTTTATGGGTGAGCTATTTGACTATGGGGTATGAGAGCTAAATTATGCCGCCCACATCCAGGTTTCACACACGTGCACTTTCCAGCATTGGATTGCAATTGGAAGTAATAGTACTCCCAGATTTTTCCTCCTTTCCCAAATAAAGATGCCAAGTTCAATTGTAATACCTCTTTTGTCTCTGCTGAAATCCACTAATTTAGCACAAACCAGGGATTGAATCTGGGACGCGTCACTTCAATTTCACTGTGACAGTTTTTTTTCTAATTAATTTTGATTAAGATGTTGCGTTCTTGTAATTAAAAATATATATAATTTAATAGTTTTATAAAAAAAAACACTGGACTATTAAGCACATAATTCTAAAACAAAGTTTGCACTTTATTCCGTGTACTATTGGGTGCTATGAAAATAATCTATTTTGAAAAATGTTCCAGTATTTCACTTGTCCAGATGCCTCTCATAATGACTTGTGAATTACAATGGCTGTTTTATGCTGTGTGATGATTTGTTATAGACTGATTGTTATAGCAATAGGAACCACTTTCAATTACATCACTGAAGTCGTAACTAAAACGGACACAATGCCATTGGCCAGTGGTTATTGAGTATCTATTTTAAGTTTGAAGTGTTCTGGATACGAACAAATGGAAGCTAGCATAATTCCATACAAAATAATAATAATAATAGTAATCATTGCATTTGATATAGCGCTTTTCACGTCTTCTCGACGTCTCAAAGCGCTTCACAGAATATCCTGTAAAGTGAATTGACTATATATTTGTGGGCAAAACGCAGCAGCCAATTGCACACATCAGTGTCCCACAAAAAGTCGTGGATTGAAAATGACTAATGTATTATTAATCTGAGAAAGATCCACTCTCAAAAAATCTGCTGTCTTTTCTACACATGAATTAAAGAGACAAATCAATGTCTCACTTGCCAGCATCTATTATTCTGTTTATTGGATCTCTGGGACAAAGCTTTGGGCTCCTTTGAAACTATATTCAGTACATAGATAGATTTCAATAGAATCAATGGGGAAAACTTGGAAATAAAGAATACTTGAGAAATAAAGAATACTTCGGAAATAAATGCTGATTGCCTTCCACGGCCAGTCTTTGGCATCAGCCAGTAGAGTAGTGTATATGGGAAAGAGAACAGGGTATTGGCACCAAATGTAAATATAAAGTGTAGATTCAGGCATTTGAACAATGGGTTTTAATAAGTGACCTAGTAAACATTAGAATTGAGAAAGTATTCTTTTAGATCTTGAATTACTTTGAAGGCTGACCTAAAAAATTTAGTTTGCCAGACTTGGCAGAACCCAATGTTACACACCTGAGCCAGAGCCTATGTCTGTACTGACAAGTTATATGAAAAAACATATTTAAACACGTTTTTGATGTGATTTTAGTTCCTTTAAAATCCTTTAAAGTCTACTTTAATATCACAGTGAGATATACTGCATCAGTCTGACCTCACCACCTGTGGTAAGTGGAGCTCCTGTAATTTGTCACCAGTAATGCATTTCTCAGTGTTTGTGGCCATGACACATGCTTTCACTATGGGATTAAAAATTCTAAAAGTCTATTTTGCATTCTCCTTGTCAACTCAGATGTAGATAACCCTGGTTCCTGAAGGTGGAATAATAATAATCCTTGCATTCAATATAGCACCTTATCACATATTTCAGATGTCTCAAAGCGCTTCACAGAATATACTGTAAAGTGAATTGACTATATATTTTGTGGGTGAAACGTGGCAGCCAATTGTGTACAGCAGTGTCCTACAAAATAGTCATAGATTGAATGACCAATTATTTTTTAAATATATATTATATATGGAAAACGTCTAGAAAGTGCTTCACAGGATATATTGTAAAATGTGGTGACAACTGTATTTTGCAGGTGAACGCATCAGCTAATTTATACATAGTAACAAAGTGAATGACTAATTTTATTTGGGTGATTGTTGGCCAGGACTGAGAGAAGCTACCTTGTCTTTGAAAAGTGCTGTGGGCTCTTTAAAATCCACCTAAATAGACAGGGCCTTGGTTTAGTGTCTCAGCAAAGGACAGCACCTCCAACATTGCAGCACACCCCAAGCACTGCATTGAGTGTCACCCTAGACTATATGAGTTCAAAGTCCCAAAGGTAATGGGTGCTCCCGACTGAGGCAGGCTGACATCCAAAATAATAAAGCATCATTGAAAGCTAAAAATTCTTGGTGTGACATGTGATGGGAAATTAACCATCACATTGCAATGTTTCGATAATTAAATAATAGAAATGTCAGCGTAGAGGTTATTAGGCCTTTCAAATGTATCTTTTTCCCTTTAAAACATATGACAGGCAGCTTAAATAGACATGCGGATATTTAAATAGATATTTCTAAAAGGTACACATTTTTAAAAATATATATTGGATATTCTTTCATCCCACTCACCATACTTACTGAGCAAATGATGGTTTTCTCCATTGGCCTTAAGAGAGTACTTCCTTTTTGATAACTACAGTAACTTTAAAACTGATCTGTCACTTCTATATTTTAGATGCAACTTCCATCAAACATAGGCATGACATGAATGTATGATGCAGCGTAATTCTAGAATTTGATGTATAATCTGGAGTCTTGTTAGTTTTTTTCAATATAATACATAATGTGCCTTTCATCTGGGGAGGACGTCCTAAAGTGCTTAACAATTCCGGATAGGCACCATAACTGAGTTGGATGAGGTGTGGAAAGATGACCCAAAGGAAGATCAAAGAGTTACAGTTTAAGATGCATCTTGAAAGACGGGAGAAAAGAAGAAAGTCATATAGTCCTGGTAATGGAGTTTCAGACAGTGGACTCCAAGTACCTGAAAACCCACCTGTCGATTTTGGGAGGATAGAGCAGGGCCAGTCAAGCGAAAGTAACAGCCAGGTTAACATGGGTGGAGGAGGTTGCAGCAACAATAATAATAATAATAATCCTTGCATTTGATATAGTGCTTTTCACGTCAGGAGGACGTCCCAAAGCGCTTCACAGAACACACTGTAAAGTGAATTGACTATATTTGAAGGGCTAACGCGGCAGCCAATTTCGCACAACATGTCCCACAAACAGTCGTAGATTGAAAATGACCAATTGTTATTATTGGTTTTGGTTTTGGAGTAAGGAAACTTGCCCAAGGTTTCGCC